TATCTTAAGACGTACCTTAGAATAAAGAGTAACTAGGCCGTATTTTAGGATTACCTAGGACCTTTTTAACTACCTACTTATATACGAATAAAATAAGTAGCTTATATTAATTAAGGACGAGTACTTAGGTAAGATCTTCGTTTTCCTAAGAGTTATAAAAACTTACGATATAGTATTTAGGGTCTTATACTTATTCGAGCAATAGGTACGTACTTAAAAAGGTCTTATTATTTATAAAATTTAGTAAAACGTAAAACGTATAGTAATTATAATTAATAGTGAGACTCGTTTCTAAACCTAGGTAAAAGAGCTTAAAATCGAACTAAAGACTACCCCTCTGTATATAAAAAAACTAAATAGAAGTAGGGAGCGAGCTAGCTAAGAAATTATAAATAAAGCGATTAGTATAATATCTATAACCGGGCTACCGAATAACTTATAAATAGAAGCTATATTAGTAGTAGCCTACTTATATAATATTAGCCCTAAGTAATATACTAACTAGCTCTCGCTAGTTTAAATTAAGGAAGTCTAGTTTAGTTACTACTTTAAGTAATAGTAACTAATAAATATACCGAGGCTCGCCCGCAATTTACGTCCTTATTAAAGGTAGACATATACATATGGCTACTAGGCGTACCCTTTAAAGAGGGACCATAAAAAAAGAATTAATAAAAGACGTTTTAAAATAAAATAGAGGGGGTATATTAGATACCTTATAGGATACGTAACGAACACTTATAATATATATAAGATTTAAATCCCCTCGCTTTTAGAAATTATTATTATACGTAATATAATATTTAATAAAACCGTTTTTTATTTAAAAAACGATACGAAGGCCGTAATTTAATTACCCGAATTAAGGTCCGTAACGGATAAAATTTAATAACTACTCATAACTATTAATCCTAAGCTTTAGTTACTCAGAATTATAAATAAAAAAGAGGCCTCGCTAATAATAAACTAAGAGTACTTATTACTACCTACGCTCGCTCTATAAAAAATAAACTAAACTATAAAAAAGTCTAGTTTATTTTTAAGTAAATAAAGCAGGTAATTATTTACCCCCGAGCTAATTCCTAACTTCTAAAGTCCAGAACTAGGCCCGGCCCTCGCGTAACTAACTAAGGTTATAAATAAGGCCATAGGGGAAGTTAACCTTTTTATAAAGAGGGTTAAAGATATAATATATATATAAATAGAAGAAGTAACTCCTTCAAACTCTTACGAAGAGGACTCTTTTACTTAACTAGACCCTAATAATCCTATTTAACTAACGAGCTTACGTTAAAAAATAAGAGAAATAAACGACCTAGCTAAAAATTCCGAAGTAGCTAATTTTAAAAACCGTGAGGATAATAAGTATATTAAACAAAGCTAGAGACTAAGAAATTAGTTACTAAAAATAGTTACTTAAGACTTAAGTTATAAAGAGTAATTTGGGTAATACTCGTTCTCGTTTTATATAGAACGAGACTAAGACGCTTTCTTTAATACGTATATACTTAATTAGTAAAAAGTAATTAATAAAGCGACCTAGGGGTATTAAACGCTCTATTATTATATTTATACCGTAATTAGTAAAACGAAGTACGTTTTACTAACCGTACTTTTTAATAATAGGATATATATAAATAACTTTATTTCCCTTCCTAAGATATAAAAAGACGTCCTTAAAATACCTAAGCTTTTTAAAACCTATTTTATTAAGGCTACTCGTATAAAAATTAAAAAGCTAAAAAAAATAAATACCTAGAAAGTTATTAACTAAGTAATAATCTAAAAAAAGCTAATACTACTTAAATAGGTATTTAATTATAAGTTTAATAAGGACTATTACCTTAATTACTATAAAGCGAGAATATATATTAGGGGCGACCTCTAAAAGTAATACCCCTTAAAAAAGACGTACGTAGCTACTCTCGCTACTAAGACTTTTAAAATAGTAATAGCTATCGCTACTTAATTCAATTTAGAAGTTCACTAGTACGATATTATAAATACGTTTCTAAACGTAGTACGGAAACTAAGCGACCCTCTTATTATATATAAGCTCCTAAACGGCTTTAAGTAGCTAAGTAAGTATATTAAACTCAAACGAGCCCTTTACAGTACCCGTAACGCTCCTTTATTCTAATATAAAAAACTCTTAGTAACTTTAAGATCCCTCGGGCTTATACTTACGAACGAGGACTTATATTTATTTTAAACTTAAAATAAAAAGGTCTTAGTTCTTTTTTATATAAACAATATCCTCGTATTATTTTATAAGGACTACGTTTATAAGGCCAGTTAGGTAACCGAGGGGTTTAAAAAGAAATATAAGTTAAAGGACTAGGGACTAGTTTTATAATATCTAGGTATTAGAGTTATCTAAGATCGACCGAACTAAAAAATCTATCTCACTTATAATTAGTATATTAAGAGAGTTATTAAGAAGTTTAATCTCGTTAATATAAAAGTATTAGTAATACCGTTACTAACCGTACTAATTAAAAAGAACTTAGGAGTTATATTGCTAGCTAAAACTAAGTCGTTTTAAAAAAAAATAGGGTTAATCTTATATATAGTAATAATAATACGACCCGACGTTACTTTTATATACGCTTTACTATTTTAGTTCCTTACGAACCCGTCTTATTAGTACTATTCTATTATAAATTAAATTATATAATACTTTTTTTATACTCGCTATCTTACTATATACTTCGGTATTTCGGGGGGTAGGTAAGTATTAATAATTATAAGCGACGCTTCGTTTATAAATAACAAAAAAACCTAAAAATCCTTTTAAAGATATATAATCTCTTTTTTTAGTAAACTCGTTTAGTAAAAAGCCGTAAAATAGAACATAGTAATAACTTCGATAACTAAGGCCGAACTACTTAGCTTAAAATATATTATTAAAAAAATACTTATTTTAAAACGCTTTTTTAATAATATATTACTTAAACTCGGGGACGTCTAGAAAGTTTATTATAATAATCGTTAAATAATAAGGCTTATAATAAAGGAAGGGGAATATATTTTAACTCGCCTTTGTTACGTTAATATCTAGAATATATAGTTATATTTAGAGTACTTAAAAAGCTTATTTAAAGTGGTCTATATACTAATAAATAAGATACTAGCTAACGGTCTTATAAAAAGCCTCTTATGAGCGAAATTCGAATACTTCGTATCGCTCTTAAATATAAGGGATATATAAAGAATAGTTATATAAAACGAGGGAATATTAAGGAGGTAATAGAACGCCCCGGGGGGCCCGGGTTTTTAATTTATAAACGTAGCCTATAGTTAGGGAGTATAAAGTTACTCCGGTAACCCCGTCGGGTTATTATAAAAAGATTATTTACTTAAAAAGGTAAGCGTATATTTATCTAAAAAGGACTTTAATATAGGTACTACGTCCATAGAGATATAAATACTAACGAGGGTATTAATTCTAATTTAAATACTATTAGCTTTTATATACGAGGTAGCTAGTACCTTCTCTTCTTTAATAAGCTCTTTTAACTAGGCCTCGAGTATAGAGAGAGCGCTTATAAACGCCTCTCTTATTAAAGCCTTATTTATACGAGCTACCTCGTCTTTAACCTTACTTAGTAGCCCGTTAGCTATTAAGGCCTTACGTAACGCCGCTATTATATAAATTAGGTCTTAGAGATAGTTAGTAATTAATTTAGAATAACGAGTACGTATAGAGACTAACTTTTTATAAGGTCTCTACTAAATTCTTTTTTTTTACTTACTTAAAGTATAAGAACTTCTTACTTAGCTTATATATATGCCCCTAGAGGGGAGCGTAGCTAAACTTTTTATTAGCTTAATAATACGTATATTTATTATTAGCGCTTAAGCTTAAGAGGTACTACCCCTCTATTCGTCCACTAAGGGCGCTTTTAATATAGCCTAAGTATTTAATACTAAATAGCGGTAGTACTTATTTAAAAAGTCCCTTAGTATTAGGGGTATTAAAGGAGTACGTTATTAAAAATTAGAATTATAAATAATAATATTAAAAAAAAGATATTATATTTATAGAGAACTGCTTTATACTTATTAAGAGGGAGCGAGGGAGGGGGCTCTAAACTACCCTTATTTTTACTTATTTTTTAAATAGTCTCTTCTTTAGTTAGAAGGCCGTTGCTTATAAATAAGAATATTAATAAATTTAAAAATAAAATTATAGTACGATATTATTACTTAGCCGACCGGAGTTTAATATAAGGAAGGTATTACTTATTTATAAGTAGATCGTTATTATGGGTAGGGGAGCCGCCGCTCTCCCCTAAAGTTATTTTAAAGTACTTAGCTTTACGTATTATAGTAATATAAGCGCGCTTTTTAGCCTTAATATATTTAAGTATTTATTTTAAATAATATTATTAGCTACGATTCTTATTTTTATTAACGAGTATGCGTACGAATACAGGCACGGAAATAAAAAATAAAAGTATATATATATAATTAGTATATAAATATAGGTTAAAAAAAGAAAAAAAAGTTAAAATAGTAGGCAGCTATAAGGAATTTATTTACTTACTTACTTTAGATTATAAGCTAATTATTTAGTTAATAAGAGGCCGCCCCTCGGTCTTACCTATTATTAATAAAAGAGCCTCGAGATTACTTATAATAACGAACACGGCTAGTAAACTACTACCTATTTACCCTATACCCATAACTTAGCACGTAGCGTAATTTATTTTATAATTCTTTTTATAAATAAATTCCTATATAGTATTATTTAAATTTATACGTTTAGTAATACTTTTTATAATAATACAAATAGTTTAGCGCGCTTCTTCTAAACAAAGATTTATTTAAAAGGGTATATCATAATAGCTTTAACTATTTATAGCCTTACTGCATATTACGTAACCTCGGTTATATAATCACCCGAGGTCCACACTCGCTTATACTCTCTATTTCAGGGCGAACCTCGTGCCCATTTCCTACTTTCAATAGATAACCGTTCTCTACATTTAACATCGATGCCCCTATTTATAACTATACGACAGGTATCCATCAAAAAAGCGCGCCAGGAGAAGGAGGAGGAGGAGGAGGAGGGGGAGCTCGCGGCCACGCCGCCCGAGGAACAGGTCAAGATCCTAAAGGCCAAGAACAAGACTCTTGAGACCAAGATCCACGAGTACGAGTACAACTATCGTCATGAGAGAGATGCTCGCGCTCAAGCGGACAAGAAGTGGACATCCCATGTCAGTCACATTTGGGAAGTGGCTCGCCCTGCCATCAACAGAGATCTGAAGGCCCAGGGAGAGGATGAGGAGTGGGAGGAGGGCCATTTGCAAGGATTCTTGTGTTGGGATCATCTTGATGATGCTGCCAATGCTCTGCTTGGGATTGAGCGGGAGGAGCCCGGCTCCCAGCGATAGCTTGGGTTGCTTGGCGTTGCCTAATGTATTCATGACTGGCATGATTTAGAAGCTTTCATAGAAGTGGCAAAGAATTGTCATAGAGTTTGGCTCAGCCTCTACGGAAAGCTTTGGTGTTATCGTGTGTCGTGGGATTGAGTTGCGCGTCTTGCGCAGCCTTGGTAATTTCTTCATCCCAGAAGATTGATAAATCGTACAAGGTATATATCATATTGTAATTTCTTTTTCATTCTCCCAAAACCAGGCATTGCATTATCATACATGTCGTGCGCCTTGACTCGTGGATGTGGCCCTCTTGGGCCTTTATGAGTTCAGAGGATGAGGAAAGGTATAGCGGAAAGATCGTCCATCATTGAAATATTGCCTGTTAGTGCGGTAGGGATGTGTGGTGAATGTCAAGAAGAAAAGAAAACAAAAAGAAGAAAAAAGACTCCATGATAGGGGATCGAACAAAAGATTAAGCGATTGATCCGCTTGGCTCTGGAAGAACGGGTTCCACTGGCGCCCCCTTAACCCCTCGGCCACGTTTCTCATATCGCTTGATGACAGGAGGAGAGGAGAATGGACCCAAGTACCCTCTCTCGTTGGGATGGAATGTAGTCGTCTTGAACAGTGCAACTATTTCGTCGCCCCGCCCGTATCTGCAAACACTGTCTTGCAGGTATCACAAGGGCACCAGGAGTTTGCTTGCACGTGGAACACAACATTTGACGAGTTTTGCGCCTCGTACCAGTAAAACGCAGGGAATTGAATTGCTGCGACTTCAAGTAAAAAACATCTAGTGATCTGACCACTATTCTTGCAATCTAAGATATTAAGGAGGCGCGCGATATTGTAAGTATCATTTCCATCTACAACGGAGTAGAGAGTCTAGAACCATGGCAGAACCAAACCCAAAAGAATATCAACACTCCAACGAGTCCAGATCAAGCTCCTCCTTCCTCCTACGAATCAACAACGTCGCAGAAGGATCCGGCAACAGCACCATGCCATGCGGCATGGTCTGCGGCTTGAACCCATCGGGGAACTTCCAGTCGTACTTGAGCAGCAAATGCGCCAGCGCAATCTTGACCTCATTGGCGGCGAAGAAGCGACCGGGGCAAGCGTGCTGACCGTGGCCGAAGCCGGGGTGCTTGGCGCTGGTACTGACGAGGTGCGCGTTCTTCTCCTCGTCGGTGCCGCGCATGTTGAGGAAGCGGTAGCCGTCGTAGGTGGCCGGGTTCTCGTAGTAGTTTGCGTCCCACATGTGGGTGTTTGTGGCGATGATCTTTTGGCCCTTGCGGAGGACGAAGCCGTTGGAGAGGGTTACGTCTTTCTTGACGAGGCGGCGCCAGGTGGCTGGTAGAGGCAAAGGTTGTTAGAGATGATTCCGGATAGCTGCTTTTGGATGTCGGATGGAAAAGAGGTCAGCTTACAGAGCAGGACGGGCTTCATGCGCTGCGACTCCTTGATGACGCTGTCCATGAGCTTGAGGTTATACAGCGCCGTCTTCTTCAACCCTTCTGCACTGAGCACACGGACGAGCTCATCGCGCAGAGGCTGAACCAGCTCAGGGTGCTCCGCCAAATCAATCATAGTCTGCGTGAGCAAGTCGGTCGTAGTATGAATCGCGACGAGCGAGAGGGAAATCTGCTGCGTAGCAGGGTCAGGCTTGCGCGAGGACTCCTTCTCGAACCACTCAATAGCATCGTCAAAGACGGCGCCCGTTTTGCCGGCGGCCAGGGCCTCGGCCTTGCGCTGTTCGCGGCGCTCCACATGCGGCTGGAGGGTCTTGCGGCACTCGGCGAGGAGAGCGCGGACGCGCCAGCACGAGGGGAGGAACCAGTGGACGATTGGGCGGGACCAGCGGGGCCACTGGCCGACTTCGTAGCCTACGCCAAAGGCAGCCGCAGTGTACTCTGACGAGACGCAGACCCATTCGTCGTCGCGGCAGAGGTCTTCGCCGGCGAAGACGCGGGAGGAGAGGCGAGAGACAATGCGCATGATGTCTTGCTGGGGGCTTATCTTGTGCCATTCTGTAGTACATATCAACGGTTATTCAAAGCTCAAAAATGATGTTCTGCATGTGGGTACGGTGGGTAGAAGGTTTGGAGGTTATGCTCACCAGTCGAATCAGTGAGGACATGGCGGAGGACGAGTGTCGACTCTTCGGAAAGGGGCTTTGTAAGTTTTGCTATTTGAGTACAAGGTCAGTAGCGTCCTTTCAGCAGCGACTAGGGAGTTTTTGACTTGCTCAAAGCCTTTGTCAAATACTTTGTGACGACCCTCGGAAGCGCTTCGTCGCCATCAAAGGTCTCAAAACCGGGAATATAGCCGTGAGAATCCTTCCAACAAGTCAGTACCCCCACTCATCACCAGAAAAAGAAATAGAAAGGCAAAAGAGAGATGAAGACGGAATTTTTTGCCTCACATCTTTGGCAGGCTCCTCAAAAGCCAAGTTGGGATCACTACGAAGCTCGTGGATAAAGTCAGGGGGCAAAACCAGAACACTGCCCCATTCCGTCATGAGCTTGTACGGGCTGTCGCCAAACTTGGCTCTGCCCTTGAGCATGAGCTCCTTGCTCGTTTGGAAGAATTCAAGGATGCGGCGCGAGTTGGAGAACTCAAATGGCTTGAGTGGGTTGATCTCGGGCAGCTTGGCGCCATGGTCGCCGAGGGCGTATGCCAGAATGACGAAGAGGACGATGGTGGCGACATAGGCGATGGGCTTCTCTGTGGGCGAAGGGATGGTGTACGGCGCCCCGCCCAGTTCGAACGAGAAATTGGATGACATGTGTGCGCTGAGAGCAGAGTGTTTGTCTTCTGTTGTTTGGCTTGTGTCTTCGATGGGGGCACGGTTGCGTTCGTTGATCTGATATGGCTTTGGTGGGTGCGGTTGATGAGGGTGTTGTCTGGATCGATCATCCAAAGCCGGATGAACCACTGTCGGTATATATCCCATCCTTTCCTGTGATCGTCGTCGTCACGGCGGACCTTGGCGAGTCCGCCATTGTGCGAGATGTACGACGGACGCGAGTGCGAAGTGGATGAATGTTCTGGTTCAGTATCCAAGGGACCCATCATAAAGACTGAACCCCGTCAACATACATAATGCGTACAGATTCATGGTTACATGTTTCTCCTTCACCTGTGTAATAATACGCCGTGACGTCGCAGAGCTAAGCTTTCGCGCCACAGGGCGGGTACGCTAGGGCGTCCCGTTGTTCCGCCCGCCACCCGAAAGGTACTCGGAGGATTGAGCTGCATAGCTGCAAATCACACTGAACTCTGGAAGATTGTTATGTACTTCGTGACTTGCTTGACGGAGGTTAGTGCTGTATCCGCGCTTCCCACGCATCCCGACTCGCGTTCGTTGAGTGGACTTTCCGGGACTACTAGTCCACCGTCCATCCGCGGTGGTCGGGCCTTGGCCGCTGTGCAGCGTGGAGTTCAATCGGCAGTCGTATTCGTATCTCGGGGGGTTCATTGCGGTGGCCGCAACTGCCCGATTGTGGGGTAGTAGTGTCGATCTGCCGCTGGTTCATGCTTTGCCTTGCGATTTACGACGCTATATTGTTGTATTGACCAACCAGCGGGTTCTGATTTTCTGGCTTTCGATGCAGGTCTCGTGTAAATTTGTGGATTTTCTGCCTTATCCTTGGAGGTTATCTTACCTTGACGAGTCGATAGTAGTACCCAAACCTGCTTGTCATGAGTCGAGATCATGAAGACACTAGGATCGCGATTCTCGTTTTGCGATACCTGCATTTTACACACAATTGATGCCGCACAGCCGAGCAACTACAGGTGAATAAGCGGCATCATCGCACCTTCGGATAGAAGAGGTCAAGAGAAGCCGCCAAATGAAGTCCTACTTCGTGTATGCGTGCTTCTGAAATTCATGTTCGGGACTTGAGACCCGAGGTTCAGCAATCACGAAATTCCAATTCCGCCGATAATGATCGGACCTGTCTTGAAAGACCGGAAGGATATCATCACTGGCGACTTCAGGCCCTGAAGTCACTCAACACTGCATTCCTACCTAAGTGGAAGAAGTCCCCTACAGTAACAGTGCGATAGGATGTTACAACCAGGCACATGTGAAACTTTCAGCGTCACTTGCGTCATAGAGGCAATGACTGAATGAAGCAACTCCCCTCGGATTTGAGAAGGACGCCGTTGGCGGATCGGCCCGTGATACACGTCCCTGAAAAGCATCCTTCCGGCACTTGAGCGGACATGGGCGATTACCAAAAACTGTATCGGAGTTCATTATGCAATCGCGGACTTTGGCTAGGGGTCACATAACTGCCACCTTGCATTAGCCACCATCCGGACTGTGATGCCGTCCGGGCAGTAATATCATATGGAGCGATGAGGACATCGGATTACATTATCTGGTGGTAAGGAGTATTTGCAGGTTTGCGAATACGTCGGGACTCGGGATCGAAGGCGGCATAGGCGCCCGGGGTTTAAAAGAACGGCATTTGGTCTTGAACAACGCTACGCTAGTCATGATAATCGCGGACTTTGTCAAGACATTGAATGACACGAAGGACTCAAGAAGCCCCATTGTATTGACCAGATAAACATGCACCTGTGTTCACTCTTCGGCCTTTAATCAATTCCTGGTGATGCAAGTCTCTCAACTGATATGCTTTCAGAAGAACGACATTGTTACGATGACGACTGGATGTTAAATCTGTAGTAGGCTTGACAATTTGCCAGGCTTTCGGTTCTATCTACCTCGCACACGGTGATATGGCGCTTCTCAACCGGCTTCGCTGGACTAGCTCTTTTGCAGTTGTCAAAGGTGCAGTAACCGGGGGACTCTTAAGCCCGACTCTAGAGCGCGCCACTCTTACAGCTAGGTGCGTGGATGCCGAGTTCCTCTGCCATGCAACTCGCAAGCCCTCCGAGCATAATCTTCTTGGACATAAGCACTCACCGGTTGAGAGTTTCACATGAGATGCACTAGTGAAGAGCCAGCCCACCGAGCGGGCTAAAGTAGTGTCCATTATACCTACCGAATGGGTTACGTGCCCGACCTTGGCTATCCGCAAGAGGAACGTGATTACAAGACCCCGAATTGAAGCTTGGTGACACTTACGTACTTTGGGTGTATCATCGGGGCCTACCTACCTGTGGTGAGGAGGTTTAGCCTGTAACAGTACCCGCTTGAGATAGGGAGCTATCAAATGTGGATGACAAGAGTAGAGTCAACAAACGCCGTCATCGCAGGGTTTGTTCCCAAGAGACGGCGTAACTGTCCTAATGGATCGAAAAGGGGCTTCCAGTCAACATGAGAGCGCTCCTTGAGTGCTTAGCCAAGGCTGTCAGTTCGCTCGATCTCTTACAACTTGGCTGATAGTTTTTGTGGATGATGCGTCTCGGTCGAAAGGTCATCGTGGTGAATGTCTCTGAGATGACAGCACGACATGAAGCCATATGTTTGCGGAATTGATTTACAGTATGTGGGACCTGATGGTCTGAAGCAAAGGTCCTTTCGAACTAAACTTTGCGACAAACTGTGCTCGGAATAAAGGGCTGTTTTTTGGTTGATTTCCAAGCCGAATTGAATCACGGTGATGCTGAAGTGGGCGCCGATGGCACAATCAACTGGGATCCATCGGTTGAGCAGCTATGACAGAAAGGGAATCCGACATGCTGGAAGCTGAAGATGAGTAACCTGGGATGCAAGCCATGGCCGAGACTGTAATTTCGGCTCAAGCTGGCCAAGTTCGGACCGAACTGAGTCCGAATTGATTGACTAAACAGTGATTCATTGAAGCAATTGATGATCCGTACTAGCTTGATGCATAACACTCGGTGGTTTGGGACAGTCATATTCTTACCTATGAGGTTGTTGCTTTGTCAGAATGCTGGGTCAGTGTTCATTATGAGCAAAGTTACCTACTGCCCGGGCAGCACAGCGTTATCTGTACATGACGGGAGTCTAAATGCTGAAATTCGACGCTGCCGCTTCCTAAGTCCCCTTCCTAAACCCGGAAACCTTTATCCTTTGAAACTTCTCAAGACTTTACCAGTTTAGAAGGGGCTGTCAGTGATTATCTCTTTCCAAGAACGCGTCAAACCATCACTTGACGCGTCTCTTACACCGCTATCCTGCGACCTGCATCGTAAGCCTTGCATCCCCCCCGTCGATGGTGTTGGGCGGCCGCGCCCTTCTTTTGAGTGCTGGACCAATGCCGCGCAAGCGACGAAGTGGGGACAGTCAGCACTGAAAATCCTGCGTCACACGAGCCAAGCCGATGCCTAGTGAGATCGGAGGAACTTTCCAGGCGCCCAACAAGCTTTCTGACAACCGTCTGACAACCAGCGTATGAATTGCGCCATGCTCGACCGAAAGATTGCTGTGAACATTTGGTGTATGCTTACAGCTGATCCACGCAGGGAGGGTTTGGTGGCGCCGGGTGGTGCTTTGGTGAGGTGTAAGTGAGCGGTCGGTGAAACGTAAGCAGAGGAACTGAAGAAATTGTGCCAAGTGAGAGTCGTGTACTTGCCCTTCAAGATGGGTAAGACGACGCGCAAGTAACGACAGACGACCGAGCCGAATGACGGAGTAAACGTCGGAAATTACATTGCACGGTAATGCACTTCGTCTGCAGGTGTGTGCGTGTGAATCTTCATTGCCTGATCAAGTGCTTTTTTCTCGCAACGCGCAGTCCTTTTTTCATAGGCACCGACAAAGATGACGGCACTGCTAGCGCGCAGTCGTATCTGCTTCCCCGATTAGGCAACGGCGAAGGAGTCATTGTAAGTGTGGGTCGCACCTTACTTCTTTTTTCTCAAGGTGAGGTGTGGAGCCCAGTCAAGCCGGGCCCGCGTACCTGGCCCGGTGTCCACACTGCCGCGAGTCCGGGGAAACATTTTCCTCCTGCTTTGATTTCCAAATGACTACGAATGCACATCAGCCTGCCATGTTATTCTTTTGGGACAATCTAGCATATAAGGACCTCGATTTGCCACAAGAATGGCCGAAAAAAACAGGCAACAATTCCAACCTTATCCGTGTCAACGCATCATGTCTGTCAACGCTGCTCTACCTCCGTCTCACCGCGGCCAAAAAACAGCTGGATCCCGGTCAGATTTGATGGATGACCTCAGCAAACGACTTGAGAGCAACCCGTATGACGCGATAAGTAACCCCAAGGGCATCATTGATCTTGGGTCTGCCGTCAACGAGATTATGTTGGAAGACTTGGCATGCTGGACAAAACGAAATGTCAAGAAGAGCCAGCTCAAGGAGTGTAAGTGGTCCGGCCCAAACGCTGTTCGTCACATTTAGGTAGCTAGCCTACTGATGCCATCTCCAGCACTTGGCTACGGCGACGCCCAAAACTCCCAAGACCTCCCAAAAGCAGCAGCAGCTTTCATGAACGAGCACTTCAAAGTCCGTCTCCCCCTAACAGCCGACAACGTTCTCGCCGCAAATGGCGTAACAACACTCCTCGACGCCCTCACCTACAACATCACAGACGCAGGCGACGCCGTTCTTCTCGCCACGCCCTCGTACGGCATGTTCGCCCACGACGTCTGGACGCGCAACGGCGTCCGCGTGGTGGAGGTGCCCTGCGACGACATCCCCGAAGAGCGCTTCTGGGGCGAGCCGCCGCGCGAGGATGGGCCTGTGCCGGTGCCCGAGCTGGTCGTTCGTTTGGAGAATGCGATCCAGGTCGAGCTAAGCCAGAAGCGCAAGGTTGGGGGCGTGTTATTGGCGAACCCTGACAATCCGATGGGTCGGTGCTATGCTGCGCATGTACTGTTGCAGATTTCACAGCTTTGCGCGAGACATAAGATTCATTTGATCGTGGATGAGGTGTACGCCATGAGTGCTGGAGATCGGTTCTCGAGTATACTGAGTCTGGGCTTGGATGTCAACTTTAGGAATGTTCATGTGTTGTGGGGGTTGAGTAAGGTGAGTTGCATCCCTGCACAGAGCCGTTCTGCCGGGATTGTGGGACCCTTGTCCATCGCCTTCGGCTTCGGCTTCGGAGGATGAATCACGAACACAACCGACTGACTCTTTTCTCACCCCTGTAGGATTTCGGCCTCGGTGGGCTCCGGATCGGCTTCCTGGCGACGTACAACAAGGAGATATACGATACCATGCGGGCGTCGAGGTGAGTCACCAGCCTTTCCGGCTTACCAACACCAACACAGGCTGTACTCCGTACGCCCTACCAAGCACACCAGGCTAACCATTCCATATCCACGATTAGCACATTCGGGTGGGTCTCTGCGCTCAGCGCATCAACAGCCGCGAAACTCCTATCGGACGCAAAGTACCTCCGAAACCAATACCTCCCCCAATTTCGTCGCCGCCTGACCAAGAGGCGCGCTTTTGTCGAGGAGGAGCTGGAGAAGTACGACATCCCACACGTCAAAGCCGAAGCGGGCTTCTTTGTGTTTGTCAACTTGTCCGAATGGGTGGACCTCCTGCTCGAGAAGCACGGCAAGGAGGGAGATTTGAAGTTTGTGGAGTACTTGATGAAGTACCGCGTCTATCTTGAACCTGGACAGGTGAGTTTGGTGGTGTCTGTCGTGTGCCAAAGATGCTCCAGTGGTGGGAGCGGACCCAATGATGCACAGCTTGCTAATGATAGGTGATGTGCCGCAGGCATTCTTCTCTAACCGATCGGGATGGTTCCGGCTTAATTTTGGCGGGGAAAAGGAAATGTTCAAGCTTGGTCTGCAGAGGCTGTTCCAGTGTCTGAGGTTGCTTGACGGCAAAGACCACTTTGACCCGACGATCGGTCTTCCTGGGATCTATCACCCACCGCCAAAAGGCAGTCATATCGTCGCAGTGTGAGAGGAATTAGGTGAAAGTGTTGAGCATCTCTTGGTTACAAAAAAAAGTCGCCGGAAGGCGGACGCTGGGGGAAAACCTGAGGATACCCTTCCCGCGAGTCCGATCGCTTCGGATACGACCCGGTGAGGTTGACCGGGGGACTTGACATGTCGCGGCGCACGGCGCGGAGGCCGGCGAAACAGCGGAATTTTGAGTGGAGGTACAGTTGCACGAGACTTCTGCCAGCTGATGTGTACCACACACATCTCTGAGGTTGTGCATTGCTCTTGCTTATCTTCGGGAAGATTGATTGGTGGGAAGCGAGGTTCTCGGATCGACGGCGTTGACCGAAGTGTCGGGTGTCTCTGGGGGAGTTCTTGTGGATCGTCTGAGGTTTCTGTCCCATATTTTCTTCGCGTTCGTCTTATTTTATGTCGATCTCGGACTTGAGGCCGGTTGCGTGATCAACGTCTGAACTGTCTTCTTTGGTATTCTGGGTCAGGTTTCGGGGTTGGATTGCACGCAAGGAGCCGGCGAGATAGACAGTCCATGTATTGTATCTTGGATGACAGTACCTCTCGGGAAATGGTGATATGAAGTGGCTTGGTTTGATCGATTCCAGTGCCTCTAAGACTACGAAAGGCGCGCTCGGTCTCTCAATCGATGGGCTAGGTACCTTTAGGTTGCATGTTCTCTTTACCTCAGACTAAGTTGTAAACAAAGACGTTGGTCTACTGACAATGTGAACGGCAAGACTTAGAGTTTGCCCTTCTTTTGAGATGACTCCCTGTAGTTGACTGCCTCGAGTCAATACACCTCGTTTCAGTCAAAGACGGCGAGTCAGCAGTCATCACCACCGCATCGGTCTGTAAGTCAACATACGAGATAGGAAGATCCATAAATACAAAGATAACAGCTCTTGTACAATATAGAATAATTGAAATCTACTCTTCTTTACAATCTATCAATTGCCGGCGTTTGAACATATTAATCCTACTTCAATACTAAACACCGCCGTCATGCGTTTCTCAGCCATCGTAGCTCTCCTCCCATTTATGGCCACAGCTGTCATTGCTCAACAAAAGGGTGACAAGGGTACGTTTATAATCCATCATTTCTCAATCTCAGTGACCCAATAAAGGCCAGGAAAGCTGTACTGACCCAGAGTTGTCTAGGTGAATGTCGTAATGACGCCGACTGTATCAGATGCGTAAACGGTGTCACGCCACTTATCTGCAAAAGTAGGCACCACTTCCCCCTTCCTGCCACTCTGATTAATCGATCTTGAGCTGCTGATAGTTGGATGCTTCTGCTAATATTTTGTCAATTCAGCCGATGCTACCTCAACAACCGGAAAACGATGCGGTGTGACGGGCGGTCCTTGTCGTCCTATCAACAAGAGGAGGTGGCAGGAGCGTATGATTTGAAGCAGATTAATCTACGGCGCCCATATGCGTCGTTCTTTGTCTCTATTCCGTACAAAGGCGGAGCTAGTATGCCGCTTGTATAGCTTGCGCTCCTCATCCACAGGAGCAACGCCTGCTCAACTAGCTTGTTGGCATGGAAAGATGCAACTGTCGTTGCGAATGAGTTTTGCGACCACAATAGATTCAAGGCTGAAGGCCAACTCCTCGGGTCCCTCCTCGGGTTGTCTGATGGCCTTTCATCATCTCACTCTTCCCGCGCAGTCGTATAGTTTCCCCGGGGTATGGCTAGAAGTTGCAGAGATTTCGTCTATGCGTAATGGAGAATTCTTTGAAGTCTCTCTCTCACCGCGGTTGATCTGTTTCCGACGGCAGGGTCTTGAGAAGCTCAACTTGACAGGAATAAGCCCCTTTTGTAGGCGATATTACAGCCCTTATAGTAGGTCATCCTCAGCCATCTCGTCACATGCAGACATGTCTTTGGCGGAGCGGGCCAGTTCTGGATCCCTTCCGATTCTTTGAATGTATCGGAGGGGCGCGAATCATCGAGGCTCACATCTCCAGGATGAAGGTGGAATCCTAGCCAATCTTGTTTTGCCCAATAGGGTTGAAGTAGATGGAAAATATCTCCTATCCGGCGATGCTGCCACGCTGCTCTGCGGCCTCCATGTCGATCATACCATGAGCTACGACGCCAGTGATGGCATTGGTCAGGACAGCGGCCAAGGCGGTGGCCGTAGCCTCGACATTTTTGTGCTTGACCTTCTGGTTCTCCCGGTCCCGGGGATTTCCGATTTGAACCTGGTGAAGTTGGGTGCCTCCATAATGATGAGCTTGTGGTTTGCACGGATAGTCTTCTTCTTCGGGGCTTGAAGGGTGCCCTGGACAATCTTGAAGACATCTAAACAACTGCCCTTCTTCTGTGGCTGCTGCGGCGACTTCACAAGTCCTAATGGAAATGAAACATCACATTACTGAATATCACGATTGTGTATTTCCATGACTTACAAAGGAGCCGTTGAACGGGCGTGAGTTCAGGTAGTGCTGGTGACGCCTTCAAGAGCGTCTCCAGCGTAAAGGCGTCTGGGCCCAGCATAATTGCAGACGGGGTTGTAAGTCGCAGGGCCCCGATATATCTATCTACGTCCTTCTTGCAGGAGTTGTTCTGGTTTGCACAGTCAACGCAGCGCAAACGATATCCTGTAATTCCGTCAGCAAGAGAGGCGCACGAGCGGCTACCGAGCACTTACCGTGTCGTCCATGACACTCGGGATCTAGTTCGAGGGCTTTGCACCCGACGACGGGGAGAGTGGAAGAGGAGGCCTCGAATAGCAGCGACGGCGGCAACCTTCTTGCTCTTTCTTTTCCGGTCGTACATGATTTCCGTAAGTAGAGCTACATGGATCAGAGGGCCCGAGCAGGGAAGCCAGAGGGTAAGAAACCGGCTTGCAAAGGCACTGAGATATGCGTGCGCGGTCCTGCCGAACCTCATCAGTCAGTATGATTTAGCCGCCAACACCAGCATCGAACTTCAGACTGGGGAACGCCTTGAGCGATCGTAGCTATTTTCGCTGAATCTCTGCATGAATTTTGGAATACGAGTAGTGGAAATCAATTGGGGCAGAACAGCAAAGGGCAGCGCTCGATAGTGACCTTGTGAAGCCAAGCCGCGACCTCCAGTAAGAGATCGGCTGGTGAGAAAGACCGCCTGTAATGACGGGGCGTAGAGGATATGTAGACCCGTGGCCGTAATCGGCGAGGACCACCAGCCACATCTCGATGCGATCGGTTTCGCCTGGACTGGGTATGCCGTATGCTTTGGGGTTTGACCTGCCAAGAGACCAAATCTCGACCGCTATCGCAGCGATATCCTCCTTCAACCGGAAAGTCTGAGAAAGACTAGAGTTGGTTGAATAAGAAAAGAGAGTCGAGGCAGAGTTTCTTAAGATCCCCGCGAGGGAGGCACCCCGACGACAACTACTCTTCTGGTGTAGGCAGTACAAGCGGCGCTGGTGACGGGACTCTGGGCTTCGATGACCTCGATGGGACGCAGGAAGATTCGTGTATCCTAGCTAGCGGATCTTATGCCAGAGTCACACCACAATGTACTTTCTATGGCCTATGGTGTAAGTCGTTGCCTAATGCGGCACTCGCGAATAGAATGAGTCAGTGAAAACCAAAGCTGTAATGCCCGAGTCTTGATGAGTATCTTCATTCCGAGAACAGGAGCCACCTAAGTCCTTTGCCATGTCGATGAGAGAAGCTTTGTGAGCAGGTTGCCCTTCAATGGGCGCTAGATTAGCTTCAGGTTGGCAGTCTTAGTGCCACAAAGGAAGTCTCTGTGGCGCATTACCGACAGACACATATATGCCGCTAGTTGATAGGGTACCCAGGCTTGAACGTCGTCTGGCCTTGGGCCTCGAAGGAAAGGCTAGGGCCGATGAGAGACAGTCATGAATATTGAGAATGAGCAGTGCGTACAGGAAACCGAAAAAACTGGGGACGGATTCATTTGTGATTACATGACACTTGTTGCCGGGGACATGGTTTTATATGTGAATGGAGCAATTCGGCCGCAATGAGAGACTTGTCTAAGTGTCAGGAAGTGAGAGAGGCTCCTAGGCCAGAACTAAGAGGGGAATTGGACTGAAGGTTCATCAATTCAACCACCGATTGAAGAGAAGAAGGTTATAATGGACAAAATCTCAAGACCACTGGGCGTCTGGGATCCATGATGTGGATGAACATCAGCCTGGGGATTTTCCTTGACCGAAGATAACCGAAAGCTGTTGGCCTTCACAAGGAGATATAAATACTTAACGAAATTTCTCAATTGCTTGTCTCTTTATGACTCTAACCTATCTATGAGTTTGTCCCGAATCGTACTTGTTCTTTGTCAAATCCAGCTTGTGTGCTCTTGTGATTGCCAGATTGTCCGCAATGCACCTCTACCCAGCGAAGCCAGCAAACCAAGCTCCAACTGATACCACCCAAACACTGAATAACAAAGACCAAACCAAATGAACATGAAAGCATTCCTCCGCACCATTCATATGATTGATCTATCAGCAGCCAGTCCTTGTAAGCCGCTAGTTCACATGCGACGCAGCTCCGTCATGAGCTCCGCTTCACGAGAGCTAGCCTTGACAAGATCCCATTGCAGGGCCACCTTCTCGTCCTGAGATTTGGCAAGCAGAGAGTGCAAAGCCTCGTTCTCAGCGCGCAGCTTGTTGACTTCAAGCCGCATCTTCTCAATGGCAGCGCTCTGGTCGTTGTTCTTGGGAGTCGCGCCAGAAGCAATGGGGCTTTGCTGAGTTCTAGCGACCGGATAGCTATCGTATCGAGCTCTAGGATCCGGGTTTTTGGCAATCGGAGTCTTCTGGACAACAGTGGCGGAGGGACCTTTGTAGGGGATGGCTGGGTTCTGCTTGTACGCGCGGGCGAAGTCGCTCTCTCGAATGAACTCGCTCAATCTGTCGAGGCTGCAGAGAAAGCGCTTGAGCCCTATGACGGTAGTCGGCTTGCAAGAGTAAGGCTTTTCCCGATGGGCCCAACGTGCGTTCACAATGGTACTCATGACATTACCAATGTCCTTACAGCAGAAAGGGGCGCAGCGGAATGAAACCAGGCGGATGAGCTTCTCCACGGCAAGATCCCAGGCAGATTCCCAGTTGAGATCCACACCGCCAAAGATGGACTCCGGGTCTTCGGCAACCCACAGGACTAGAGTGATGAGGTTATGGCCGCGATTAGCAATGACGATCTTGCGATCAATGTCGAATTGCACTGCCTCGTTTCGCCTTTCGTAGCGGTCGCAGAGAATATCGATGAATGCCTTTTCGGCTTTGGTCGACATGACTTGATCACCAAAACCCTCGGTGAACTTTAGGCCCGGGAAGGTCTTGAGTGATTCGTACCATTGAAGCTTAGCTTCAGACTGCGGAATCTTGGTGATGGAGGATTTTCCGGCCATCTTGGGTGTTGCTTCTTCCAAGAACAAGTTAGTCCTGCGAATTTACCGAACCTCGAAGCTTTTCGCGTAGTTGTTACCTTGATATCAAGCAACGCTACTGAAGGATAGGTAAAGCGTAAAGTGACGCGCTCTCTTTCTGAACTAAGGTGTGCTCAGAGATTGGAATGAGAAATAAATAGGAAAACAGGGCGTAACAGAGGTGCCAGAGATGGATGGAATACAGTGTATGGTATAGTGAAGAAGTACGAGGCGAAGTGGTGAGTGGACGCGTCATTCCCTGGCCCGGGTTGCGGAATTGGAATGAAGGAGGAAGAGGCTGAATCGGTATGGAGAAGGAAGAGGAAAGCTGAGCACAAGAAAGGCGGTAGAGATGGAGGATGTGCAATGTAAACAAAAGAGGGGGGCAGGTAGAGGGTGAGGGTAGGTGAATGTGGCTCACTCGACGCGACGCGACGGTGAATATGGATATACGTGATGGGAATATGATTCATTGGGAAGGAGCCATACGGTCACCGGGTATGGTCTATAAGTCAGAAAATTTCTAAATCTGTCACCCATCGGATGAGGAGATGCCTTTGGCGTAATAGTCGGGACTGCCCACTCCCGACCTCAGCGCTAGGTAATTGACCCCGGTGGCTTTCTATTTTTGGAGGTTGCGAGTTCGATTCATGGATAGTGACTCTTTTTTTTTTTGATCCCTTCTCCTTTTCACATGCTCGTCTGGCTGTGTTGTTATGAGCCTCGACGTAGACCCAGAAATGCCTCCAGGGTAGCTGGCTTGAGTGCTTGAGTAAGTAGGTAAGCGAGCATTTTTCACCTTTCCCCACACGAACATAATAGAAAGAGGTAGACGCTAGTTGGGTGGATGTATCGTCTTGATCTTGTAAGAAGCAGAAGAGGAGGACCAAGATATTGCAACATCCGACGACGGCGACCTTTGGCGGCTAAGTGTCACTGTTAGACCTAGAATCCTCACGAAGGCGGATCTTTCCAGGGCATCTTCCATTCAGAGTACCCATCACAGTTGATTAAGCATTATTAAGTGGAGAAGGATAATCTCATTTGACGGATTGATTTACTAAAAGCATGAGACTGCCTCCAAATTCAACCATCCAGTCTTTCACTTACTCCATTCTCTGCGTTCATATTGACTTCCTGTAGCCTCCATTTACCAAATTCGGCGGCGGGCCTTCTTGGCTTCGCCGAGCTCAATACGAAGAGCTTCGTTCACTGTCTCGAGAGTCTCTTGCTCTTCAAGCCGGGCTATGTTGGCGTTCCGAAGGGTAGCTAGCTCCTCAGCCCGAGCCTGAGCCGCCTGCAGGGCTTCTTGAGACCTGGCATGGGAGGCTCGGAGCTGAGATTCCAAGTCCTGGATTCTCTTATTGAAATCCTCCTGGGGTCCCTGTTCTGGCTGCTCTTGCTTGGCTGTTATACGTTAGTGAAGTGCCGCGGAGCATGACTTGGATCCAGTGGCAATTGGTAACTCACCTGACTCATTCTTGGGATGAGGACGGAACGGCAGACTCATCTCATTGCAGGCAGGTGCGTTGGAAGCGGAGAAAATAGAAGCCTTGTCGGGATGAGGGCGAAGCGGCAGAGAGAACTGGTTGCCGGTAGGCGCGTCGGCCTTGAAAGATGTGGTCCCTTCCATGGACAGAATCGTTGTTACTGAACTGCTTTAGGTAGGCGGCATTGACTCTGCGGTTGAACAGCGGGACATCGCCTTCAATGTAGAAGTCGAGGCCGGGAAAGTCCTCAAGGGCTTTTACCCAAGGGCGATTGTTCGGGGCCATTCTGCGTCTTTGTACTGGTAGCTGATGATGTTGTTCTTGCTGCTACTAAGTGCCTTGGTTGGAAGTGAGAAGAAGAAGAAGAAGAAGAAGAAGAAGAAAGGGAAAAGTAAAAGGGCAAACGCAGAAGGGTGGAAGTGTTCGATGCTATGTGAAAGTCCGTTGATTCCTTCCCTATTTGTAACAATCAGGATTATTATGAAATTTCTGTCGCGTGCGCCGCTGGAAGTTCACGTTGTGCCCTGGCTAAAACCTCAGACAATAGTCAAGTGGGCCATAAGAATACGACGACGATACCAGGTATCAAGAAAAACACATAATTGAACGGGGAAAAGGAAAAGTCACGTACATATCTGTTTGCGATGAAGCCTCGAAATCGACCATGCTTAGACACGATGAAATAGTGGCATGGAACCAGACAATCTTTGCCGGCTAGCATATCGTTGTCTCATAGACGCCAAAAGGTGAACTTCGCCAAAACTAGACTCTATCTACAAGGGGACTCGAACTGATGACCTCCAAAAAAATAGAAAGCCACCGGGGTCAATTACCTAGCGCTGAGGTCGGGAGTGGGCAGTCCCAACTATTACGCCAAAGGCATCTCCTCATCCGATGGGTGGCATTTTCAGAGAAAAAGGTGTACAGATGGCCTCGCGACATCGCAAAGCCTCCACAAATACTGACAATGAGGTGGTCGCACCTAATGTTTGCGGACAAACATTCCGGGGCAATATGTTGCTCTGATCGAAAATCTCCATGCAAGCAAATACCTCATGTTCCTGTTTTCTTAGGCGTAATGACTTTGATGAGACGCCTTATATCAAGCACCGATTCTCTGCCTACATTATTGTGATACCCCGGCATGCCCAATTACACGCCTGGAGCACTCTCTTAGATGGCTGGTGGGTCGTCCGGAGGAGAAGGTTTGCGGCCACGATTATGTAATGACCCCTGTTTCCACAATGTTATTCCAACTACATCCCTTCGCGTTGCGACATTTCTTTCGCTTCCTCTAGCTCAAGGATTTTATTTTCCTTGATTGAGTTCTTTCATACGCCAAAGTTTTCGCCTTGATTCACGTTTGCTCAGTCCCACTCCTAGGAACCGCCGTTCGCGATGCCGAGATGTCTCCCTGTCCCGCCAAGACGTTGCCCAGACTTCCAAGTCTCCTCAAACCACTCATATTCCATTCCGATTCTCGCAAATGATGAGGCAAACGATACGCTAAGACGTAGGATTGGGACCAAGACCACCACCATTGTTATGACACCTTCGATAAGATTCTTGGCAGTGCGGGGAAGCTGGCTTGCAAATTTCGACTTGCGAAAGAGGCACAAGATGAAAATGAGGGAGGTGTTTTAATACGTTCTCTTCTGCGAAGCCTAGAAAATCTATAAATCTCCCCCATTTACCATTAGATTACCTTGAAATTGAGATTTTTATTATTATTTGGAATTCAAGCTAAAGCTGACTGTCAAAGAATAGCCCTTGACGCCTCGTGTACCCTCTCGGCCACTCCCGCCGCCATGAAACTCTCTTTCTTGAGCCGGAAGGCAGACCCAAAAGATCCCAATCTTGTCCCAGTTGATGTCGAAGAGGCCCTGAAAATTGCCCCCGAGGCTCGAGATTATGCTGGAGCACATGCGAAGTATGATCCGGCCGAGATTGCCCTCGTGCGCCGGCTCGACTGGATGATCATGCCCATACTGTGGTAAGCAGGCTCTCTCAACCGATTTCCCGCTACTCCGACAATATTTCACATCTACCGGCCGGGGCAGTAATAGACTTTGGTTTGCTGAAATTTTCCTCACCGTCCATCGAATATCTACCCATGCTGACGAAATTTCAAGGTTTATGTACTGGCTCAATTACTTGGTGAGACTGCTCAAACTCCAAGACTTCTAAGCAGACATTTCTGACCTGCGCCCAAGGACCGCAACGCCATTGCCCTAGCTAGACTAAATACGCTAGAAGAAGACCTCAACCTAACCTCGACAGAATACCAAACATGCGTCTCGATCCTCTTTGTCGGGTACGTCATCGTCGGTATCCCCGCAAACATGGTCGTGACGCGAGTCCGCCCGAGCCTGTGGATGAGCTCCTGCATGGCCGTCTGGGCCATCATCAGTGCCCTCACGGCAGTCAGTCAGAACTACACGGGCTTGCTTCTCACGCGGTTCTTCCTTGGCATCACTGAAGCTCCATATTACCCGGGAGCTCTGTATGTTCTCGCCACGTTCTACACACGGAAAGAGTTGGCGACGAGGATATCGATTCTGTATACTGGGAATATTCTAGCGACGGCTTTTGCCGGACTCATTGCGCTTGGGATCTTCCAGATGCACGGCATGGTTGGTTGCATCCCCTTACTATCCGATACGGATATTCACAAGAGCACAGGCCGGTATCGCGGGCTGGAGATGGCTCTTCATCATCCAGGGCGTTGTCACCCTCATCATCGCCATAATCGCGTTCTTCATCCTCCCCGACGAACCGCTCACAACGCGATGGCTCAGCCCCGAAGAGCGCATCCTAGCCAACGAGCGGATTCTCCGAGACACGGTCGGAAACACTGGCCAGACGACAACCTGGTCCGGTCTTCTGGAGGCTGCCAAAGACCCCAAGGTCTGGCTATTCACAGTGATGCAGCACTGCCACCTGGGTGCGAACGGGTTCAAAAACTTCTTCCCGACTGCGGTTGAGACCTTGGGCTTTGATGAGACGGTTACGCTGGTCCTTACTTGCCCTCCGTACCTCATTGCTGGAATAATATCAATTGCTTGGTCTTGGTCTTCTGGAAGGTTTAATGAAAGAACATGGTCAGTCAGAACGAGGAGTCTAAATTGGGTAATGGAAAGCTGATCGTGAACAAAGGCACATTACCATCGCAAAAGCGATCGCAGTGTTCGGCTTCATCCTCGGCTGCGCCACACTCAACACAGGTGCCAGATATTGTAAGCAGTCCTCCATCGAAACTTTCTTGGAGACTTGCTAACCTTTCAGTCTCCATGGTTGTCTTCTCGGTTGGCACGTATGCGGTGAACTCCATCATCCTAGGCTGGGTCTCGGCGACTTGCTCTCAGACAAAAGAGAAAAAGGCGTCCTCCCTCGCCATTGTCAACTGCATCGCCGTCGCATCCTTCATCTGGACACCCTACATGTGGCCCAAGTCCGACGAGCCTCGGTACGTCATGGCGATGTCTTCGAGCGCAGCGCTTAGTGTTGCGACTGCCATGGGCGCGTGGGCGATGCGGTTCTGGCTCAAGAGTGAGAACAAGAAGATTCGGCAATCAGAAGACGAGAGCGTTCTATTCTATGCCTACTGAGGTGTTGGTAATGGAGAAAAGCCTGCGGGCTGCTTTGAACAAAGATATTGTCAACTGGTTTGTTGGGATATGTGTCAGCCTAGACATTCAATGACATAGCAATCCCTGAAGTAGCCCTTCCCATTATAATCCCCAAAAGCAGCGACGGGATGCCTGTTGACCAATTGCCACATCTCGCAGTCCTCCTCGACTCCGTCGATGGTCATTCTGATTGCGCGGCCCTTTCTCCTCTCTCTCAGCTCAAGCTCCAACGCCGACTTCAGGTAAATCCACGCGACGATGTCAGGACCCGTGAGACCTGAAGAAATCAGTCTTGGAAGCAGATAGTCGAGAACGGTAGTGATGAAGTTCGTGCCTTCAGACAGGCCCGCCGTCATTCTCAGCAGGACATCCACCCGAAGAACGGTGAACTGCTGCCGCTGTTGCATGTTCATCCCACAGACGATGCCAAGAATGACCTTGGCAAGGGCATCCGTGCCCGACGATTGCACAGATGGATCGAATAGAGACCGCAGGTAGCTGCACGTCATCCTGCACACGAGATAGATCACGTACTCGAGAGCCTTTCTCGTGTCACCAAAACGGTAGGTGACAAAGGTCTCAAACGTAGCACCACTGATTAGATCCGAATCCGTACCAAGCTTGACGACCGGCATGTCGTGATCGCAGAGCGCCTTGTGCCAGTTATCCAGTCTGTGAGAAAACACATCGCACTGCCGTAAAATCATGTCTGGCGTGAGGTTCTCCTTATGAAAGTCCTTTAGGCGTACATTACGGCGATCAGATTCCCGGCCAAGGACGGACATAAGCCACAGTGCGACTTTCTCTGAAGCGCTGTGGCCGTCTGCTGTGGAATCTTGGCTGAATGTAGCCTCCATCGCATAGCGCGCATGGAGACCATGTAACCTGAACAGAATATCCCGAATTGCTAATTGCGGGTCTAGTAAACTCGAGACATCGTAATTGTCTACAACATTGCAGGTCGCTCGCGTCGGCAACATCATAAATCGAACATCGTAGCGAAGCATACGCCAGGCTTTGAAGAGGTCGGGAATAGACGACGCTGCAAAGTCAAGCTTGGAGGCTATGGCGTCGAGGCCGGTGGCGTGATTCCTGATCCCAAGAGCTGTGCCGGCTTCTAACTCGTGATATGCAAGCAGTAAAGCAGCGCCCGCGAGCTCCTCGCCACGGTAATTTTCAGCGTTCTGAAGTTGGGCTTGGAGTCCTTTGACGGCCGTGTCGTAGTAAATCCAGACGCTGCTATCGTCGCATACCCGGCGGAGCACGAGCGGATCGATGGGAAGAGGTTGTGTCAGTTTGATATTACTAGCGGACAAGGCCAGTACGGCGGACCGGAAACAGCTGCTCTGGCGGAAGAGGTTCGGGAAGGACAGAGCAACTGGTATGGATGGGAGGACGTTTCTGTCGAAGTGTTGGATCAGGACCTCTTCTAGAGGTATCGATAGCTGGCAGTCTACTGTTGGCTCGCCTAGGGGAGATGAAGTGGACGTGGAAGACCCCGGAGATGAACCATCCGTTACGAGGAACTCGTCCCAACCAGTCGACAAGGCTGGGCTTGGGGCTTCCCCTGCGGGTGTCGAGCTGTTTGGTCCTCCACTTCTCGGCATCAAGCGGTTGGCAGAACTCACGAGCGGTGTAGGTTGTTCTAGTTCAGTCAAGTTTGTTTTTGACTTGGCTACGTCTTGATGTTGCTGAGATGCATCTGGGACCGCAGAAGCACTACCGGACGTGTCGAAAAGTGGCCACGGTAAAGAGAATGATCCAGCAAGCCAGCCCTCGACGTTCGTCGAGTGCCATGGAGGCATAGGTGCCGGAACCGGAGCTGTCAACGTATCATCTCTCGCCGGCAATTCTATGATATCCTCCGATCTTAGTGGCCCCCGAGGGGCAGGGGAGGGCTCTCCGGTTGACCCAGTACGGCGTCGTTTCCTTCGCTCATCCTCAAGACGCAAGGCGGCCCATCTCGCCTCCTCAAACTTCCTAGAAGACTCAGCTGCTCGAGTGGTGACGTCTCTGAAGGTCACGGGGCGCTCGTATCCGCTGCATGTCACTCCTTTCTTCACGCAAGCGAGGCATTCCGGGCGTGTCTCATCACACTGCTTACGAGTCAGCTGATCAGGGCTTTTATAAAACTGGGCAAATGCGAATATTAAAAGTGTGACCTTTCTTCTTTTCTTTTTGCAATTTTGACAACCTGTTCGCTTGCGAACAATGTCAGTCTTTTTGGGGCGGGAAGAGTAGGATTCCATGGCTGGCGTCGAGCCGAGATTGACACCGTTGAAGCCAAGCTTTCACCTGTAGGCCAATGGGACTGGTGGCTGTTCGAGTCGCTCAGGTGTTTACCGGAAGACAATAGATACTCTGATACGTTCTTGAGTCCTGTAAAACATGCAGATATGGTCAAGGGCCGCGAAAATGCCAAGAACATTCAGTGATGCCCGTCAGAGAGCAATGGACGTAAGGTGAAGAGCAGGAGCAGGAGCAGTCGCAGGACCAGATCGAGCGGATAAGCGAGCGAAAGGAGCTTTCCCTAATTTGGTCAGCGGGTGCGCCGCTAAGCCTGTTATGGCTGTGCGGAACGGCGCAAGGACGAATCTCCACTGGTTCCGCACCGGCGTTCGGCGATAAAGTCGCCGGGAGGTGAACCGAACCTACCTTACCCAGGAACCTGAACGAATCCCTCTACGCCAGAAGTTGCTGCTTCTAAACCATTGATATATCCTTCCAGCCACTATCAGTGTAGCAAAACAACAAGGGCTGTCCTTGAAACCCTTAAAGAGGAGGCGGTCCTTTGACTAGGTTGATGTGCAACAAATGTGTTTCCAGAGGTACAAAGGTTGCCGTACATTTATTCAAATACTTACGCTTGGTCTGGGCTGTAAAAAAATAAGATAATCTTGGAGAATTCCGACAGAGTCTAGCAGGGGCACTGAATAAGAAGTTATAGAGATGAAGCATTGCCTTTTTATTACTTTGCGGTAGTAATAGAACCCCATTTTCTTTTAGCAGCTAACTGGTACTCGCCTCCGCTAGTGCAAGTTCCTGAAACTGCTTGAAAATGGCAAAGGCATTGGCCACGATATCATCCTTCTGCGCCGCAGCCGACTTATTTTCGGCCCCGGCGAGATCCTCTGAATCGAAACCAGGCGACGGTGGCAGCTGGACCCAACCGTGTTGAGCCATCACCATCGCTGCCGTCTCCCCCTTCTCATTCGTCATATCTTGAACCGCCCCAGCCTGGATCAACGCGTCAAAAATTGCATTCGCGTTTCGCACCCGCTTCTCTTTCTCTTTCGGATTACTAAGTATCGTGGTGAGGAAACCATCGAGTGTTTCTTGGCCGAAGGTGTTATTGGTTCCAATAGCCCAGCCCACCATGAATGCCTGCTCCTCATCAAGATCCCACTCCAGGATATCGGTCGTTTCCCCGACGGGCCACGGGCTTTCTATTGTGAGCGTATAGGCGACGTGCAAAGCTGTCTCCCCATCGGCGTCGATGTGGTTGACGGGGGCTCCGCAGCGGATGAGAAACTCAATCATCTCCCGGCTCTCGTGAAGCACTCCTGGGATCTGTTTTACTCGGTGCATAACGTCTGCGAGAAGACTGAGTTCCTCTTCGAACGAGCCAAATACTTTGTGAAGAACTTTGAACCCCTGATGGAGTTCCGCCGGTTGCGAAAGTTCTAGGGTAGTCATGAACAATAACATCCGGTCGAATCCGCTGGAGTCTGACTCTGCTCTCTTGGCGATCAGAGCTTTAAGCTTTGCGCACTGTAACGACGTCCTTGCGGGCTCGGTCATATTAGTTGGATACAATCTCACTAGTGAGGATGAAAAACCGAGCAGGACGTTGTAGTTCTTGTCTCCTGCCCTCAAACTCGTCGTGTTGTATGGATCTGCTCCGGCGTCGAGGAGAAGCTGGAACATCTCGGTAGATGTATAGTAGATGAGGCTGTCCACCAACAAGTTGACTTTGGTTGTTGTTGGCCCACGAAGGCGCGTACCCTCAGGTGTCCACCCGGCCCACTCGGTGTATTCGCGGTTAACATCGAACCCATGGTCGACAAGGAGGCGAAATATCTGCAAGCTGACCTCTAGATCCTCCGGCTTGTGCTCCATGAGGAAGATTCTCATCGCTTCGTGTAAACCAGTCACTTCGCCCTCGTCGCTGGACCTGTATACCGTTGATGCCCCGTGTTCTAGCAAAAGCTCAACGGCATCCCGGTCCAAGTTCCAGATGGCGGCCTCGAGCGGTGTTTCGTGATCTAGAAAGACGTGCATGGTCTCCTCCTGTTCGCACTGGCAGAATCCGATTCGCTGTGCCGCCGGACGTGCCCCGTCCACATGAGCGCCAGCTTCCAACAGTCGGCGGAGGCCTCTGACATCTGTGCCTCTTTCGACGTGCCAGAGAAGCAACGGTTCTGTGTGCAAGAATCTGTCCTTGTCGATGGGAATGTTCGGGGCAAGCTCTAAGAGTGTCTCGATCATGGGACCGCTGCTCGCCAGGTGCAGGACACTGATTTGGTGACTAACATCCACCGGCATGCCACGGAACGCAAAGACCTGCAGCAACGGCTTCTCCAAATCTGCGCCGTACTTGTGAAGGAGTCTGACAGTTTCAACCTGGTCTTCCAAGATGGCGTGAGCGAGGACGGAGTAGTTTATCCAGATCTTGTGCGTATCGCACTCGGGACGATACAGTCGCTCAGTCACGAGCGCAGCCTGGCCCTGCCTTCTGATGGCAACGTTTGACGGCGCTTGAAGCATCAGGTTGTCGACTGCGAAGTCAAAGTCGGCCGGGCAGGCAACCGCAGACACTGAACAGGCAAAGTTTGCTTCGTAGCCGAGTTCCAAGAGTTCCTCGGCCCGGTCAACTTCCTTTTTGACGACGGCACATATCATTGCGTTGTATTTATGTGATGCTAAATCGCGGTGCAGCAGGAGACTCCGCTCAAATGACGTTGCGAAGCGTTTTTGAGTGAGGGTAAGTTGGAGGATATCGCGGAACGTGAGGTATTCGCATATGCCGTGCATGATGTCTTCTGCGAGAGTGGATAGTGACGCCATGGTGCACGACGCACTGGTGGGAGCTTTCGGCTCCTGCTTCTCAACTAACGGCGATAAAGAGATTGAAAGAAGCGCAATTCTGTCTGATGGTTAGTTGCGCCAGGCTGTCAAATATAAAGAAGACGATATTATCCGTGACTGAGACATTTCTTTTCATCGATACAGCCCTGGCAGGGCGGACAGCTCGGATGCCGGCATGACCAAGGAACACGGCGAAGAGCGGCCAAGAGCCTGACATCAAGGGAATGAAACAAGAAGAGAGCCATCTTGGCAGCTGAAATGCAAGTTGGGTCATAAAGTCAAGTCACAAGGCAGACAGGGCAGACTTGACAGCTTGGCTACCTGACCCCATGGGGGCTATGGGAGCCCGGATTAGGAGATCCCAACGTCGAATCAATTCGACTCGGGGTTTGGAGGGGTTTTTGGCGTCGCGGAACCGCTCCGCTCCGCATCGCATCGCGTGCTTTTAAGAGCTTCCTCCCACCGGCTGCATCTTACTCAAGAATCTGGAACAGCAACATCAGGAACTCTTTAAGACGATCAAGGCGATGACATCTTACAAGTCACCTTTTTTCTCTCTTCCTATTTCTTTCCTTTTTGTCTTTGGTCCTCATGATGCACTATATTCGGAATGCTTTAGATCTGTAAACCCACTCTCTCCCATTCTTAACTAGGAACCAAGGACCTTGGCCGCCGATCTTCGCTTATGATTTTCCCTGATTGGTTGGTTCAGTTCTCCGCCAAGTCAATTCCGACATCAGGTTATGATGGAAGGAGACCACCCATAGATTCCGTGAGTAATTAACAAGAGGAAAGGCATCACAGGGCAGTTTCCACCGTGTCGCATCAGCTGATCGTCGGAGTCGACCCCGACTATCAATTAGGGTATCAAGATCAATATGCGATAACCGTTACACCGACTACACGTGCATCGGCTGTGAACAGAGAAGACTCCCAAACTGCTTCGATCTGGTCTTCAGAGACCGCAGAGGATATTCCGCGGCAATGTTTGACCCAAATCATCTCTCATAGACCTTGGGGCTGCTCCGCGGAGAGTAGTAACGACTGCCATGGTAGATCGCAAAAGGCTTCAAGGGTCAAGTTAACTGGCCAACATGGTACTTTGAGGCCAAAATACCTTCAGAAGCTGACTGATTCCCTCTAAAATCGGTCGGAAAGTCGAAAAAAGAGACATACCGCGCTATAAATATGGATAAGTGAAGATGCGGTGTATTGAGAATCATGTGAGTGAGCGCCAATGCTCGCAAAACCCATGTTCCATCGGCTCCATGCCGAGGCCCACCGCCCGAACCTGCCCCGCTTCCCCGTTCCAGCTCGCCGGCCGAAGTGGGGTGTCACACCGGCCCTCCGATGGTAGCATCGCAAAAAAACACGTCAGGAAAGCTAACCAAGCCGGAGCATGAGAAGGGGTCGAAGGAGCCCGATGGTCGAGAGCTAGTGCAAGGTACTTTACCCGGCGTGTCCTCAATGTTACATCTTATCTACAAGCGGCTAATCCTCCTGAGTTTTAGCTTCGTTACTCGAAAAGAATTGCATTGCGAATTTAGGCAGCAGACATGTTGCTGTGCCGCAAGGCACCATGGCACAGCAAACAAATGGTCCGCCAACAATCAAAGTGGTGAAACTTGAAGGAAGAAATAAGGAAATTTCGCTTGGCGTTTCCTTTGCCACAGAGTGCCACAGGGTGGAAGTTCGCGAACTTGGACTATTTAAAGTGAACTGATATTCCTCCCTGTCCCAATTCTTTCAGGTGAGTTCCCTCTGAATTTGAGTAACCTCAAGACTGACAGGAAAAAGGCACTATTACAATCCAAAAAGGATAACATCGAAGGCAAGATTTGGTTTTTCAATTGACCTCACCACGCAAACATGCATCTCCTGAAACTCATCTCCCTCACAACGGCCATCGCGCCAACAGCCTTCGCCCAACTCTGGTTCGGCACCACCCTCCCAACCTCGACTGCCGCCGACGAATACCTCTCTCAACACGTCAAATCCGTCCCGAGCACCGTCACCGGTGCCGTAGCAACCTCCCTCGCGACGGCTCTGTACAGCGTCGACCAAAAGTACTTCAACGACAAGGAGTGGACGACGGTCTACTCCCACATGTGGTCCGCCGCCGCCAAAGCCACCGATGCGCCCGACGTCGTCGCATCGATGGCGGTCAATGGGTATAGTCTGGACACCCAGCAGGAGGCCAAATGGTGGAAGGACAACGTGCCGGATAAGGACGACAAGTGGGTTTCGTCGTATGTTTCGGATTGGCAAAAGGCGTGGCAGGATAATACGGCGGCAACGAAGACTTCAAAGGGTAGTGCTGCTGGTGTGGCAAGGTGTACTGGAATGGCTATGGCTGGTGTTGCTGCTGGTGTGGCTGCTGGGGTCATGGTCGCGATGTGAGGTGCAGAGTCTTGTCAGTTGTTGACATTTTTGAGCTTGTCGTCCAGACTACGCGGTTTGTGGTGCAAAGTTAATGGATTGAACCTGGGACTGAATAGTGCGGCATCTTACCTTTCTTCGTGCCTCTCAATGAAGCGATTGACTTCGCCCAGACTCTTCTCAATTACTTTCATGCGAATGTTCCTCATAGTTTTTGCTCCCCAAGAATCCGAAGTCTCAACCTCGAGCAAAACTTCCAAATCCTGGCTCTTGATTTCTGCGCAAGACATCTTGTGGTCCAGCGATTGGATATCTGCCTTGCCGGCGTCGATTCTCCGCTCTAAGCCGTTCCGCATCTTGACCAACTTCTTGCGCTTCTTCTCGGCATTGTTGAGCGCCTTTTCGAATAACGATATTCTTTGACTCAGTAAGTCGTACTGGATTTGAAGCTTTTTGGTGTCGGCTGTGATATCTTTTACACCTTTGGGTTGTGGTGGGATAGATGAAGCATTGTCACTTGGGGGTGTGGCCGACGGAGTCGGGATTCCCTCGTTGTTCTGCTGTACAGTTGCTTGTACTATGTCTTCCGATACTTCTGAAATGACTGCATATGCCGATTTGGGAAGATCCTCGACTATGTTGGTCAGCACCATTTTGTCATATTTGCCGAAGTCTGTCGTTGAGCCGCAGTGAGCAAAGAGGCTGTGACCGGCATGGCAGGGAGAAAAGAAGACAAAAGGGTAAGAAGTCTTCTTTTCTGATCATTGAGCTATGTGAATTATGTGGGAAACGGAGCAGGTTGAGATTTGTGGGACCTGTTAAAATAAAGGTTCAAGATGAATACTAATGTCTAAAAGGGTCAACACGAAATTATTCTCAATCAGTCAGGTACGAACCGGAAGCACAATTTCTGAATGAAGGAAGCCCTACCAGAATTGCCATGGGACCGATAGTTTGTCAAAAATCCAACCCGAAAGCAGCGCTTATGTTGTCCAGGTGACCGCAACAGAAACAAGTCGTTGTCGTGATGGCATCATTCACCTTTGCAAAGACCTCCGTCACGTGACCCGAACGAACGACGGCAAGGTCAACCCACAAGACTCTCCCCTTGAGTCATTTTCTCACCTAAAGCGCCTTTGTGAAGTCAAAAAAGGTGCTCGTTCAGCAATGCGACTTTCCACGGTTGGTTGTCAAAGGAACCCCTGTTAGCAAGAGGAGACCCGTGAGCATGGAGGTTTTGGTAGAGTGATCAGACCAAAGTCGGTATGCGGTGAGATACGCATCGTCTTATTGCCGGCTGCCAGAGAAGCCGCGCGGGTGGCTGGGTAGTGGTTGAGCCGCAGCTCGCTTGGGTTGTGTGTCTTGTCCTTCTGGCATTGACGCGCGAGGCACTGCGGATCGAGGGAAAAGGACAGCGCAACGGCCTCGAGGAGCAGGATGTGCATCGAATGGCACTGCTCGTAAAAGTCGCCCATGAACTCGCGGAAGCCCGGCAGGTCTGCCTCGGGCACCCAGAGATTCGGAGTGACCGTGTCCTGCTCGGACCCGAGATCCAGGGACTCCCTCACATCGTAGCCACCCCTCTCGCCATCACGTGCCGCATTGAATTTGAGAAGTTCTGCTAACTTCTCTTTCACAACAGCGCTCCAGCCGCGGTGAGGGTTTGGAGCTGGACCGTGGGCGAGTCTATTCGACCGACGACCTGGAGGAAAATGCCAGCTTGATGGCGCGTGCGCTCGCGCAAGAGCTTGGATGGCAACAAGAACAAGACCAAGAGAGTGGCAGGCATGAGGCGAGAGTGGTGGCCTTGTACAGTGCCAACGCGATGGACTTTCTCGTTATAACTCTCACGCTCCACCGACTCGGCGCGGCCGCTCTCCTAGTCCATCCGACCAGCACAGCCGCCGAGTTCAAACAGCACCTCCTCAAGGTGCGCGCCGACGCGGTCTTCACTTGCGCTCATCTGCTCGCGGAATGCCTCACGGCATGCGACGGCGAGGTGCTCAAGGCCCGGACGTACATTCTCGACCTCCCAGGCACGCCAACAGACCAGTCCTTCACATCGTCATCGCAGCTCCTCGAGATAGGCAGGCAAGCTCCCGAGTTGCCACCGCGCGGACTCGCGTCTCCCAAGACAGCAGCCTTCTACTTCGCCTCGAGCGGGACCTCGGGGCTCCAGAAGCTCGTCAAGGTGTCGCACTACAACGTCATCAACAACGTTCTGCAGTCGTGCGCGTTCGAGAATCGCAAGGCCACGGGCGAGAAGCTCGACCGGATGCTGGGCCTTTTGCCGCTCAGCCATGCCTTCGCCCTCGTCGTGGCCTGCGTGATGCTCTACCGCGGCGACACGATGGTGCTGCTGCCCAAGTTCGACATGCAGCAGATGCTCAAGAGCGTGCAGGTCCATCGCATCAACCGGCTGTACCTGGTGCCGCCAGTCGTGGCGGCGCTGGCCAAGAACCCTTCCCTGCTGAACCTGTTTGATCTGAGCACTGTCGAGAACGTCGTTCCGGGTGCCGCGCTCCTTGATGGCCGCATCGCAGACCAGATGCGGGCGCTGTGTCCCCATTGGGCGCTATTGCAAGGATACGGCGTGACCGAGGCCGCCGTGGTGATAGCGTACTCCAAGCCCAGCGGCCTCCTGCTCGGGGTCGGGTCCTCGGGGAGCTGTGCATCCGGTCACCGAGCGTGGTCGAGGGCTACGTCGACGACGACGCAGCCAATCAAGCTAACTTTACCGCCGATGGATGGCTGCGCACAGGAGACATGGCGGTATTACGACAGAGTCCTGCGACCAGCGACGCTCATCTGTGCATTGTGGACAGGATGAAGGACTTGATTAAAGTCTACAGCTTGCAAGTCTCTCCCGCTGCGATCGAGGCCGAGTTACTTTCGCACCCGGCCGTAGCACAAGCTGCCGTTATCCGGGTCGCCGATGACGCGTCGGGCGAGGTGCCACACGCCATCATCGTCTTGCAGCCGGATGCTCTCAAAGGCCTGGAAGAAGCAGGTGAGAACGGGGAGGAAGCGCTCAAGGACAGCATTGCCCAAGTCATTGAGGAGAGAATGAGTACATGGCATTGGCTGAAAGGTGGCATCGTGTTTGTGGAGAGTATTCCGGTCAGTCCGGCCGGCAAGGTGCTGAAAAAGGTGTTGCGTGAGCAGCATGGCACCCGATGAGTCGCGAACAAAGCTATCGCGTCACAGTGTGTGTACTTTGTTCAAGTAGGATTGGGGACGGAACTTGAAATTGAATTTTGTTATACTTTCCCGCAATGCAGACGGAGGACTCACTGTTGAAGGTGGCCGTATTATTGACACGCACCGTAGAACATGCCATGTACTTCCGAAACCGAGGCGCGTAGACTGCGGAACTTGTTAATAATTAACCGCCACAGTTTCTTGCTTGGTCCGGTTGCTGGAATTCCTCATCAGTAAGGAAGTTTGGAAACCCTCTAGCAGCTAGGATCCGGCATTATCGGCCAGGAATGCGCGGCGAATGGGAAAGAGTCGAATTACGCAGGCTATGTGTTTTGGCTAACGGGCTGTGTGCCTCCGAGCTCTTGTCTAGGTATTTGCACTATAGGTACGAATCCCCGCCTATAAGAATACCAATAAGATAGATAAACTCGTATATTTTTATTATTCAATGACCACGATTCCGCATACCTATTTACAGTCTTTATGTTGGCGCAGAAGTAAATTTTACCAACTATGCATTCCATTTTGCACTTATTGGAGCTGGGCGGCCTACAGAGGGACTGTGTAAAACAGATAATCTAGGACTACATGTATCTACAATCTGCAAATTCTTTCCATTCTAATTCCGTGGCCCTTAGCCAATCCTGTCGAGTACGATCCAGCATACAAGTTACATGTACCTGCGAAGTCTTCACCTTACCGACGACATCCGTGTGTCAGGGCGTATAGAAGACCATTAGCATTACCCTGTTCATCGAAGTTTAAACCTTGGCGTGCTCAGCAGCAAGCTCAGTTCCACCGCTGTGCGCCGAGTCAACAGGCAGAGAAGGGTGAATAGCCTTCTCCATATCGTCATCCTGTCCAGGGTTGGCAGTCTGGTACTCAAGCCACTTGAACAAGGCGTAAACCAAGAAAGACAGAAGAGCACCAGCAAAGGGGCCAATCCAGTAGATCCAGTGGTAGTTTACAAAACCGATAATGACAGCAGGGCCAAATGATCGAGCAGGGTTGATCGAAGTGCCGGTCCAATTGGTAGCCGTGATGTGCGCGATGAAGACGGAGATACCGACGCCAATGGGCGCAAGGAACGTCGCGCGATGCTTCTCGACGGCGAGAAAGTAGACCGTCAAGACGAGCTGCGCGGTCAGGAGCATCTCGATGAAGAAGCCCTGGGGCACGGTGGCGCCGCCGCCCAGAGTGTTGGCGACGCGGAGAGGGCCGGGGAGGACTCCGTATACCACGGCAGCGGCAGCGATACTAGCGAGCAGCTGGGCGGGTACGATGCAGAGACCTCGGAGCGGCTTGACTGCTCCGACGAGAACGAGACCGAGGGTGACCTGTTATGAGAACGTTGTTCAGCCTTTGAAGTAGAAAGGGTTAGGAGTTAAGATGAACTGTGTCGAAATCATACCGCAGGGTTAAACATGCCACCGCTGACGCGGTAGAAGATCCAGACATTGGCAGTGATGGCTGTGCCGAAGGCGGCGGCGATGTAGAGCAAGCTGTCAGGAGAGAGTGTAGCCGCTGGGTCGTCGGGGTTGTTGGTGACGATGGCGGTCTGGGCTCCGAGGAAGGAGAGGAGGAGGAACATGAATGTTCCGCAGAACTCGCCCAGTACGATAACTAGGAGGTTGCGCTGGGGCAGGGAGAAGGGGTAGCCTCGCTGTCCCGCGGGAGGATGGGTAGCGTGCACCGCATCGATGGCCTGCTTTACGGGCGTGTGGTGGGCGTTGGAGGCTGACATCTTGATGGTCGACGGGAGTCGTCAAGGATCGGAGTAAGTGACTGTGAGATGATTGTGATACTGGTTTGTTCGATGGCTTGGATGATAGGAGTTCCTTGTGAGAGCCAAAGCCATCTATAAATACGTATAGTGATGAGAAACGAATGGCTGGTCTTGAGAAGTGAGGCGGTTGTTGAGCTTGCTCGTCACCCAGGACTCCACTGTAGCCTTCGGCAAAGACGAACTTTCCCACGATCAGATGCATCACCGTGGGCCGGATTCTTCCAGTTGGGCACCAAGCGGTAGGGACAGCGTCAGTACAACAGTGAGGAGGTTGGAGTACACGAGAGCAGTACCGAGCTTGGCACGAGGGATGTTGTATCACGCAGAGCCGAGCATCTGTACCTTCACATCGACGACCACAAGGTTCCAATTGAGTGGGGTGTACTTGAGAATCTGGTGATAAGCCAAGCAGATTGTTCTGTCAATCTTGCCTGGGCACCAATCGCCATGCTGTGCTATTACGTGCTGCCGTGCTCATCTTCTCGGACGACCTCAATCATCCAAAGGTCAGGTTGCTCCCCGTGTTGGGCCCCAATCTGGGTGTTTCGCTGCTTCGGCCGCGATCTTTACCCAGCCTCTCCCTGTTCTGAAGGATCTGTCGCCACGATGTTGGGCTCGACGCTGTGTGTCTCGCCTCACGGTATGGAGTCGACTCTTGAGATCGAATGAGTCCTCTGTCAATCGTATATCACCAACATGGTCAAGGATAGAAGCAGTTGATCACGAAAGCGGAAGGAGATGTGAAACGTCCGATACTTTGCATTGCTCTATTACGGCTGTGGAAAGCTAAGTACCATCCTGTTTCTACAGTCTGTTCAACAACAGTCTACTCTGTTGATGGGACATACTGTATTTCTCTGTCAGTACGCACGCACGGAAAGGCAGAAGCTTCAAATGACGTTCCTCCGCGATCGCTATCTGATGTCTGATCTGTCGCTTTCTATGATGCCAAGTCCGTGCGGGCACCGACAACGTGCACCGTTTGTCTAGGCTTAAGCTTTCCGGGCCCTGACCATGCAAAGCTCCGCCGGAATTGGGCTCGAATCTGTATGTCTCGCTATCGCAGCGATGATCTATACAAAGAACTTCACCCGTCCGACGGAAAAGGTGCTCCGATGTCAGACTAGTACTATGCGTCTTGCCGCCTAAACTTGGGGGACAAGAAAAACGGCCAGTCTCACCAAACTCTCTTCCCCATAAAGTCTCGGGCTATAAAGCCGAGTCTGTCAAAAGAAACGAAGAGTCAACATCAAGTAAATTAATCTATCTTAAGACTTTGAACTTTGCTGGGGCCGAAGCTCTTTCCTTCGGAGCCGATGCCAAAGGCTAGACTGGCGGTTTTGCCTCCCACTTTCCGCCACACTTTACACAGACCTTAAGACCATGTACAATGATGATGATGATGATGGCAACGATGATAGGAACAAAGCAGTTGTCATTACCGGCATGCTTGGCTCGCAGTGTCTTGCCATCGTACGTTTTCTGGTTGGCATCCTCGCTACCTCATTGGTAGATCCCTCCGATGTCATGCTTCAGTTTGCATCTCCCGCTAGTGCACGTCGACACCGACGTGATTCGCCAGTGTAAATGCACAGCGGTATCACCATCTAAGGTTGACAAACAGAACGCTGCATTAGGGTTCCTCTGGACTTTTTGTCCTTTCGTCTGAACTGGTGGCCTGATTCTGGTCTGGGAAGACACATCATGTTTGGGGTAACCGCGGCAGGTTTTCGCGCATGTCGTGCCGCAAACTCTTCGTTGTTTGTCCCACGGAATCTGGACGCTTGCGCATCCTGCAATCTTGGTTCCTGTTGCTTGTGGTATCCACGTGAGCTGTGTAGCACAAACAAGCTCTTCTAGTCACCCTGATGAATGATTAGCTACTGATGTCACGGGCTCGTTTCCATAACCAAATGCAGAATGCAGAACGGGCCAAAGAAGCACAGAAAAAGAACCACAAAAACGGTCCACCTCTCTCCAAAATTCCTCCGCTGCAACATTCTTATTTTGAGAGAACAAAGTCATACTGCCCTTCCATTATTGGCCGGAATCCCCGCCCGCTCTTTACCTCCTGCATGTGCGGGGGTTTCAAGTATGAACTATGGCCGACCGGAGGTGAAGTGCCACGCGGGGCAGACGAATGAACGTGGTTGCGCAACAACGGTGGAGCGTGGGATCGCGGGTCAAAGTCTGGGTTGATCGACATGCGGGCCGGTCCTGAGCGCTAAGGGCAATTGGGGTATGATCCGCGGTGGAAACGTGAGTGATCTGCGGGCTGGGGGCCAGCCTCTTCGATACCACCTTATAATTTGCCTGATGGCTTGATCAGAGAGCGTTGTTTTGACGGTCTTCTGGAATTTTGAGGACCGGCGGTCCTAGAATCCCTTGAGTAAAAGACGCACGTTGGTAGCAGGCAGGGAGAGCATGAGACAAACTGATCTAGAGTTGAACTTCATCTGGGAAGCCAGAGAAAGACTACCCGCGACTTGACCCCGGTGTCGGAGTGTCAGCTGTCAGGATCAATGGCTGTCCATGTAGGTGAGGGATTGAACGAAGGATTGAACCTCAATAAACGGAAAACAAGACCCATTACCCATGTTGCTGTCTCTAGAGAGCAAACAGACCAGACCGACTGATCATTTTCTCAGCAGGCAAGTCTTGCGCCACGAACGAAGGAGGCGGGGACAGTAAGACATCAAGTGAGACACGAAGCGGAGCCCGAGGCGTCAAGTCGCAGAACGTCGCAATCTGGACCGAAGACTCGGGCGAGCTGCCCAACGTGTTGGGGGCCAGAAGCTCACAAGCTGAAGACCATAACTTAGAGACCCGCGTCTCTCGGCTCTTGCAATTGAAGGCGAGGTAGTGAGTGGGTCACTATCATGCAATGTGTCCGTTTGTCCACGTGTCCGAAAGCCGTAATTATAATGCCACTTCCTTCCAGTCCCAGAAATCCCTCGTTCCATCGTGGCAACTTGATGATCTAGGCTTCTGCGTCAAGCAGACTTCAACCAGGTGGTAGGAGTTGGGTTACAGACGCAATGTCCATGGTCGAACATTGGCCAAAAGTTTGGGACAATGACGAAACAGACAGTGGTAAAAACGGTGGTGCGATGCAAGCCGGACGGGATGTCCTGGTCTGAGGCGGGGTGGCGCTCATCATCGAGGTCGATCGTTTCGAGACAATAAGGCTGGACTCATGAGGGTGGCAACGGTATACCCGTAATGGCTAGCCGGAGCATGACGGTCGTCATAAATAGGCCCGCCCGTTTACCTTGACCATAACTGTGAGGCAGCATCGATTCTCATGTGCCAGTCATTGTCATCCAACAGATTTTTGAACGCCGTCTCACAGACGATAGAGAGTGCAGTTTATCTGGTAGGGTGATTGGAGCCCAAATTACATGAGGGCTCGAAGGGCAAAAAAGGTGTGACAAAAGCTGGTAGTTACTCCCACCTGCCTTTCTTTTGTCGGGGATAGAACGAAAACACAAGTGTTCCGCGACTCGGTCCCAAATGTATAAGGGAAGAGGAATGCCAGAGTAGACTTGGACTCCGAGGAATAGCAAGACTAATATCAAAGGAAACGGTATCAAGAAACAATACGCTCAATTCCTAGAGCCTTGAAGCCAACATGTGCAAGAAGATAAACGAGCATTGGGCTGATATCTCTAGTATCCTATCCTACAGAAAGTTCCATGCCCAGAATCTTCGGCTTTGCTTGTCCTGCATTGAGATTCAACCATCGAGAATCCCCCAGAAACCAGCTCTCATAGTTAATCAAAGAGATCGACCACTTCACCAAAGACAAATCCATTCGATCTCTCCTCAGTGCTTCCTTCTGATCTGTAGGGTGCTGCTTTCTGCTGTGATGCCCCAAGTAGGTCACCGAGCTCTTTGTTGATTCTGCGAAGCTCAGAATTCTCCGCTTGCAGATCCTCAACCTCCTTTGTGATGGACTTGTTCTCATGTGCCACCTGACGATTTCGATCCATTGTCGCCCTATTCAGTACGAACAAGTTGGCTTCTTCCTTGCGTATCTGTGCCTTCATCTCTTTGAGCTTGGTCTTGTACTCACTCTCACCCTCGCGCTTTCCCTTGCGATATGCTTCTGAGTAAGTCTCTTCCAACTCAGGCTTGTAATGAGCACGGTATCCGGCCTTAAAATGACGCCTGGCGAATGATATGCTGTTCTTTTTGCCACGTACTGTCTGCCGAATGTACTCATCTGTCGCCGCGAGGAGTTCGTCCTTGGAGGAGGCCTTGGCTTTGACAGCGGTGCCATTGAGTTCCATGATATCCTCCTAGGCACACATGGCTAGATGCAGCTGGTGAGCCGCTTTGCTCTCGGCACTGGTAGTGTAAGGCTCTTGGATAAGTGTGCGAGACATGCCGGGGTTTCTGTCCCTGAAAGACACCCATGCCGAGTAAAATCGGTAGAGAAGATTGTCGAATTTGACAAAGTCGGAGATTGGAGCCGCTTGGAAGGTGCTGTCGTCGGATAGCAGGTTCTTCACTTCCTTCCAGAATGCCCCATCACGAGTGGTGTAGTCAGAGCTTTCGAGACACTGAGCAGCAGCATGGATGATGGCGGAAAGACGGGAGGCAGTCGTGGTCAAGCTAGGATTAATGGTTGGAAGTGTAAAATCGAGGTGGAGGAGCTTGAGAGCATCCCATTCGCCTTCAGCAACGGGGCCGCAAGCAAAGCCTCGAAGGTCGAATCCAGTCTGGCGGAGGCAAATGTCGATGACTTTCAGCTGGTGAGCCGAGAAGCGCTCGTCAGACGGCATACCAGTGGCAGGCGCTGTCAAGCTCGAGTTGGTCTTTCTTCCCTTACGTGTAGGAGGCATCTAGGTCTCGTTAGCGATGTGCGCCACTCGCTGCCTGCCCAATCACGATAACACACACCAGTACACGATACCTCCGGAGCCAGCGTTTATGAACTGTGAGTAATTCATAGAGAGACTCCGGGCAGTAAAAGTCTGGGGCATGGACCAGGGGGTAAGAAAGGCAAGCTTGAAGCACTACTCACCTTGAAGGACGAGCATAGAGATTCTCATATATGGATGTATATACGAGGCTTTCATTGCTCTCCCAGTCTCTGATATTGATATTCACAAAGCAAGGTGAGAGGGGGAAGCAAAACCTGTGTCGAGGTTGACAAGTGAGAAAGGTAATGAGGGTAAGCAATGAAGCGAGAGGGGTAATTGACAAACCGACCCGTGCCCTTGAATATTGAGGGACCGATCGCTCTTTCCGTTGGGATACGGGTTTGATAACCGGCTCCTTTGCTGCCTAGAGCTGGTTCGGGAAGATCTCGACAAGGGAAAGAGCGACTTCAAAACATTGCAGTGAGGTATGAATCATTGAATTCAAGAGATGCGCATACTGCAAACAAACACCAGAGAGCGACTGTGTTCATGGGATCATCAACATCCGAGTGCCTATCTTGGCTTTGGTCTGCGGGGCGGGCAGCAAAAGGACTGGTGTTGGCCATAGCTTTGATTGAGTAGTTCTTGGGGTAATGCATCCGAGGTTCTTCGACTTCATAGGAGCAGGTACAACCCAGTTGTAAAGGTAAAATGGCCGACGGAATCGAGATTTCAAGATGGCGGTAGAGCCACCAGATCTGATATGCGGATGTGAAATCTTACTCCAAGCAATCTGGACCAGTACTATCTTTCACGCAAGTCGATGGATGGAATACCTGGCTATCCTGAAGGACCGTGGTCACTGGTGGGAAGGGTGATTATGCTTCGAAGTGCTTGATGCCGAGATTATCTCTACTAATACCTTTCTCCGGTCGTTTCCTCATGAACTAGATGAAGAACTCTGACTTGCGCGTTCCTACTTGCTTTCTTCAACTTACCATACAAGCATTACAACAATTTCTTCACAATGTCGTCTTCCAATGAGGAACTCCGCAGGTCAACCCGGTGGAAAGACAACCCTTTCAGTATATTTTCCGAATCTAAACTTCGTCAAGCACGACGCGTCGATTGCATGGAGGTATCGGAATTTGAGTTTGATCGGTCATTTCAAGACAACCTTCAATTCTTCCAGACTCGTACAATTATAGAGCAACTACGCGGCCACAGCGGTATGATTGACGCCCATCTGGAGCTCATTGCTTGCAAAGCAAACGACGGAATCCAAGATTGGGATGACTGTGTTAACTGAAAAAGCGGACAGATCTTTGTCACAAAGTTCTTGGCCCACGTGGCACTGGCGGACCTTCCCACCGAAGTAAGCAAAGAATTGGAGCAACCTGGCAGTAACACCAACCAAAGACCAATCGGTGGTTCATTGAGAAGAATCTGCGGTAGGGGCAGTATGACAACAGCTGGGATGGAAGTTAGCGACGAGATGCTAGGTAGCATGTTCGAAGGGCAGATTCGTAACAGCGACTGTCCTAGAGACGTCTACGGTGCTAAAAGTTTTGGGAGCTGGGATCCCGTACTCCACGACTGGGTCGAGCAACCAGATTGCAGAGCGGCCCCCTTATTCCCGGGGAAGTATTACTCGAACAAAGAGGCCGTCCTCGGCCTACGCTGTATGAAGGACGTAGTACTTGACGTTCATCCGATAAATGGACCTTTCCTCCACAAATCCATTGAGTGGGCACTGGTACATGGCATCATTGCCATTGTCCCAGACGTAGACGTATATCCCGTTGACGAGACCACTATTTCATTCAACGATAAGCAAGAAACAGAGCTCATAGAGGAAGAGACCCAAATCCTGAGGGATTGGAATGCCGACAACATTAAAGAGTACAAGATCGTTGTTCTCGATCGAAAGCACGCCATGGCCAGCACGCCCCAGACGATCCACGACGGCCGCTCGGTCCTGCACCTCCACCAGCTCCACAACTGCAAGCTCATCTTCCTCACCTCTCACCGCCCGAAAGCTCGATACCTGTGGTGGACCTTCTTCTCCTCTGCCAACATCGCGCCCTGGCGATTAGACTCTTGCGAAGGCGACGCTGACCGGTATCGGCTGAATCGCGGAATTCTCACGGCGGTGCGATACTGGGGTTCCACCGGACCGTATTGCGAGAATGGTGTACTTACGTCGTTTGCCGACAGCGTTCGGGCGGAAATAACTTTGATCCACGACAGCTTGGTTGGAGCGTCTGACGCGGATTTCGTGCTCGATCATGCGGCGCTGGCGATCCTTGCTGCTCGGATTGTGAGCACTGAGTGGGAGGGGTTGCGGGAAGCTATAGACAGTGGTTCGGATGAGGGCTAAAGTTCCAGCAGCGAGACGAACAAACTGGGCACAGACGTAGACTAAGACACTGCGGCAAAAACTGGATTGAAGGGAGATTTGAGCCTGGAGCGCTTGCGCTTCACGTCTATCGCAACGAATGGCTTCACTTTAAAAAGCCTTATTATCGAAAAAGAAAATCATTGAAATACCACAACGTTGAATACAATGAAATTCTTCCCATGAGGACCTTGGAAACATGATTCTCGAACAACCCCATTCTCAAACATGGACGTGAGCCTAAGGCCATCTCATCTTCCAACCAGTTCCACCTGAAGGGGTCTTCTCACGACTAGTCCAGCAGATTAATCAAGGTCCCCTCAGACGAACTGTCTTTGGATTGCTGTACCCAGTCAGCAGCGTTCCAGGCTTGACAGTCCGAGGCACAAAACACACCTTGAGCTCCGCAATCTCTTGCTCCAAGCGAGTAATGGTGTCTTCCTGTGCGGCCAGATTGAACTGGAGCCGGGTGTTCTCCCTCTCCAAGGTGCGGTAAGATTGGAGCTGAGACGCCTGGAGAGCCTTTCCCAACTCATGATAGGCAATGTCGAGGGTGTCGACGATGTGGAGGAAGGCAGCGGCGGCGGGGATATTGGTGCTTGTGTTCTTGCAGCGACTTCCCTCTGCCACGGTCTCCGCTCGGATTCGAGCCATGGCCTCAGCCTCCTTCTCGCCAGCAGCCTTCGATCTGGTATTCGCCGCAGACATGGCATCTTTGACGACGCCAATGACGTGTTCGATGTCCTTCGTTGTGATGACGGCCTTTTTTTTGATGTTGTGGAGGTTGGTGATGACGGAGGCAAGGGCTTGGATGATCAAGCTGGTCTCCCCGGAGACCATTTGCTGTACTTTAACGTATGACTCAAGCTCCGCAATATAGTGCTGGATGAGGTATCCAGTACGCTGGACATCTGGTAGGCCGTGGCGCTCCGCTGCACGACCTGAACGCTCCATGGTCGGGGCGACCGGAAGGTCTGCGGCAGAGTTGCTTTGAGATTGCATCGTTGCGGCCTGCAACAGATAGTAGTTAGCTTTGAACAACCCAGGTAGGTTCGCGAAGGCGACAAACAGATGGAGTTTGATTGTGATGAATTTGGGATAAACGAACGCGATGAATAAGGGATTGCAAACCAGTTGGGACTGCTGGCAACAATGGCGAGGGCGGTGTCGTTGGCTTGGGGGCGATGCAAATGCGATCGAGGACGAGAATGAAGTTGGAGGAGAAAAGAAAGATGGTGGTTGTGAGTTTGGAAGCCAAAGTAGAATTTGAGGCGAAATTTCAACTCCTATGCGGCATTCGAGCAAAGTGTGCCTGCCCTCGCTGGAATCTTCTGCGGATGAAAAAGACGGAAAGAGATGGAATCCAAGGTTGGATGGAAGGAAGTGTCCGATCAGCCCTTTCCCTTGTTGTCTTCCATGTTGGGTATGGGAATGAAGAGTGGATCTACGTCTTTGATGGCGAGAAAACCTCGCGCGGAAGGTGCGAGGGCAGCCACACATGTTGGGGGGCCAATCCAGGCCATTAGCCTCACCTTCCCATTCAGCGAGGTCACCTGACATGAGGGGGGGCCTTCTCAACCTGAATAATTACCTGGAATGTGAGGTACGACGATCTAATAACATGGCGTTCCTACCTGCCCCGGCAGCAGCCATTAGACCTTGCAGAACCTCAGAAAAGGAGGTACTCCTCAGCCTCGTCATGCTACACCATGAATGGCTGGGATGCCTGCGCTCTACAGAATTGGCAGTGACGACATGGACTTGGATTCTGGTGCCTTCGGTCAGTTACCTAATATGACATTGCAAAAATTGGAGGCCAAGCATTGAGCTGAAAACAAACAAGTCCGACAGGATGTGGTAATATTTGGCACTTCACATTACAAAACTAAAAGCCCAAGAAAGCAGGTTTGCCCCTCAAAAATAGGAGTGCCCAGGGGACACTGAGAATGAAAACCTGGGTGTGCCGTCTGATTAGAGAGTTCTACCCGTCCCCCCGTTCTCCTTATCTCAGACCCACGAGACACGAACTTGCCTTTGAACTCTACACAGTCGGCTGAGCAATCCCCAGGACAGTTGGTGCAATCTGGCTTTCAGCTTCCGACGTATCTCATTCACGCCAATTGATTCACGGTTGCATTACGTAATCTTCGTGCTCTGCAAGCCAGAATTGGTCCCCTCCTTGATGGGCGTCAGCGATAAAACTGCTATCCTTGGGTTGCTCCCAGAGCTCTGAACATCCCTTGCTGGTGTGCTGATGTGAGGCATCTCATGCCAAGAGCTCTACGTCAATGCTGCTGTCAACTTGATGACTAATCGCATTTTTCCGGCTGGGAATATATCATCCATGAATACCAGGAGAGTCGTGAGATGACTACGGTGTTCCGTATCCACAGACAGTCAGACTGCCTTAGTCACTTTCTGTTAGACAAGTGAGCTTGTGACGGACTTGAGTGATTTGATTTAATCGATGGCGGCATCTTGGTCATCAGTTCAACGTGATCAAACTCACAGAGCCTTTGCCAACTGAAGCGCATTGCGCGCCCATTACATCGTGTGGTACCTCAGGCCGGGAGTTCTGCGATGGCGTTGCGTGGGAAGGAGGGGCAGCCCTCACAAGTGGGTCCGGGGCAGGGAGCACACCAAAGGTGGGGCGAATACTCTTTTGGGACGTGTCGCGTCCAGCGATTGGGACGGGCCCTGGCGTGGCGCTGCATCCACAAACTTTAGTCGAACTTTCATCTTTCTCGCTCCACCACTTTGATTCAACGACGAAGGAATGTGTCCCAACATGGCTTTGCCAAAGCCTAATGTAATCCACTTTGGATCCTTCTATTGTCGTGATCTTTGGCTATATCTCGTGGATCGTGAGACACGCCGCCGCCTCCTGATGCCCTTTAATGATCAGCATACTGAGGCTTGGGGGGGCGGGGGTGGGGGGGGCATTACTTTGCTTTGGTCTGGACAATGAATCCACGATGGATGCTGCAAGAAGTGCCCTGACCAAGCTTTTGTCAACAATCAGCCATTGGCAGCACAGTTGAAAGGTGTGTCGAGCCACAGCTAGATCAAAGAGGAGTCCTACTTCTGGGGCTCGTAGCTTTTGTGTGCCACCTGCTCAATGGAAATGCCGTAAGTAGCCGGGAGGAAAGGGAGTCGCTGTCGCACGTCAAATGAGAGTATATAGCTTCTCAAAGGTCTTACTGCTAGAAAACTCATCTCACAGCCAAGGAGAGGATGATTATCAATCGGGTTCTTGTATCAGCTAGAGCGTCCTTATCACGACGGCCGCGGTCGCGGTCGCTGGAAACCAGGATCACGGCATTGTCATTGCTAGTAAAAAAAAAAAAGAAAAAAAAAGAAGAAAGGATTTGCTCCTATGGAGCCTCGGACCCGACCTCTTGAGAGATCATTTTGGTACTGGGGGGCTTCCAGCGCCCGTCATGATGCAGAGGGGCCCAACAACTGCACCATCCAGCTAATAACCTGCCCCCTTTCCCTTGGGTCGTGTCAATTTACCGATCAATTAGGTATAAGAACCTCGCTTAATCCGTCAGGCCCGAAAAGTTCCCTAAAAATATGTTTTGATGAAGACTCGAAACCATGCTCTTAAGAGACAATTTGGAACAAGGGGGCGACCGGCGCCGACAATTCATGCAGAGGGGCCCTACATATGCACCATCCGAATCTCAACTGCCCCCCTTCCCCTGGGTTGCGAATTTCTCAGTCAACTTGATATAAGTACCCCCACTCCGACTTCAGGTCGCTGCAGCCTAGGATACTGGTCGACCACGCGACAGTCAAACCATGATGAGATTCCGCGACACGTGCTCCCTGACTGTTTGTTGATGGAAAGCCAGAGGCCTAATCAAATCTGGTACCAAGCACAATGACCTATGCAGCATCTTTGACGATGGATTTGAAGGTTGTTTAGCAACAATTAGCCCATTCACATCGGACATAAGTCACGGAGATGTCAAAAGGCTTTTTTGGGAGTACACAATTAGGTGGAACGTTCAGCTTACGACAGACGTCTTTTACGGCATAATTACCCACTCAACCAAAGCTGGATTTCATATCTCATCAATAGGCTCACAGACAAGAAAGCTTGACCATTTGCGTAGATCTCCTGGGTAATGAACCAAATCCCTCACAACCGGATTGCATGATCCTATCAAGTGATGTCCAACCGTGTCCATCCTCCATGTCTAGTGCCATACGCATATGAAACACCCATTCATCCTAATTGTCATTACTGGGTGTTCATGCGGAGGAATTCGGCCAACTCGTTGTGTTCGTAGGTGCGAAGGCCAAGTCTGAGCTCCAAGAGATGATTGTTCGCCTCCAGGATGAGGCCATAGAGTCTCTTGGAGATTCTGTGAATGTAGAACTTGATGACGTTCGTGTTCTTGGGGAGCTTGCGGTCATTCTTCATCGTCTGAATTCCCAGCAACATGGCGCATGACATCTCATCGCCCAGAGGGAAGTCGCCGTTATCGAGGAACCGGAGTCCAGGAATCTTGGCAAGGACCTTGTCGTTGAGGTTGCGCGCCCCGGGCGTGGTGAGAAGGGTGATTGGAGGCATTTTTCAGACACAAGGGGCTCAGACGACACTGTACGGCAAGAAAACATTAGACAAGAACTAATCGCAACATTTGGATGAGGCCGTAGCTTACCGTAGAATATCTGAAGATGGCTATAATCTGGATTTGGGTGCGCTAAGGCTACGATGACCCGCAATGCGAAAAGTCGGATGGCGGGCAACGGTGCAATGCAATAAGTAGAGGAATTGGTGACGCGACTGGTGCTGTGAGTGAGACGCAAATCCAGGGCAGTACGGCGTTGTTGGCGGAAAACGTAAACAACAGAAAATTCACAGTTCGCGTAGAAGGCCTCTGGCTGGATGGTCACGTGGTTTAGATGAAGTTATATTCACCTCATGCCCTTTGCGTATTCCTGCAGCAGCGGGAGACAGATGGAGTGGTGCAGCTTTCACATTCAGCTGAAAAGATAGCGTCATCGTTTTCATATTATATAGCTAATATGTTGAAGAAAGTCACCAGGTAGCCAGACTACTGTAAGTCTTCCACTTCTCTATTACACAGACATTGACCAACAAAATTTCAAATGATGGCAATAGGTCAATAGAAAATACCAATCAACCCTCCTCAACCATGAGGGGTTCTCTGTAAAGCGCCTGGGATGTCCTCCGCTTACACCTCAATTCTGTCGTGAAGCTGGAAGCTAGCTTGATGCTTAGACTCGGGTGAAAGTGGGCTCACTCTAGATTTCTTCTAAGTAGAACCTGAGGCTATGTATCCCCAGACTCGCAGCGGTTTGTCTGAAGTCACCAGTCTGATTGAACACAGTATAGCAAATAGACCGTGATTCTATCATTTTCTGATGGCAAATGAGTCCAAGCATACATACTGATGCTAAGTAAGAGGTCCAAAGACACAACTGCCGCTTTCCTTCATTGAAAAGTCCAGCATTGCTGAAACAACAGATTTGAACCTACATTCGTGTTCGTAACGAGGACTAGAAGATAGAACACAACCACACGTCATGAATAGACAAAGGCTAGCAAAGTTCCTAACAATGAGACCCCTTGTTGACGACTGAAGACAGTTCGCCACGGGAAACACTAGACACGACATCGCCGACTTCCCAAACCGCACATCCATTAAGGCAAAAGATCACCCACTTCGTAAACAATCCCGGATTGGGTACAAAAGTAACAAAAGACCCAATACATCTGTTTTGAGGCATGCTCGAATCTGGAGTCGGAGTTGTTGTCGAGATACTGCGTCATATGAATTCCTCAATACAGCGTAGATGGTATTTTCGACATGCCGCAGTTGCCAAGCCTTGGCGACTCTGTCAAAGAATAACGAGAACGAGGTCAAGGTAGATCGGCCGGACCGATTATGTACGCAAAGAAATCACCTCTGGATAATCATCACCGGCGACCGGCAACCTGCCGCGTAAGTTCTACAAGTTCTACTCGGGATACATCTTCGGCGATGTCAATCCTTGAACGGCGAAGAGCCAGCTGCCAAGGCGGCAAAGACTCAGCCTCCAACGATTACTTCATGTCTCTCTCATCATCTGCAGACTGTGGGATACCGAAGCCATCATATTGCAGCCTCGAAGCTTATGGAGCCCCGTGGCTGATGGGGTAAGAGTCCGTGGGAAGGGAGGAACGGTCTGCCAGAGAATCCCAAACTCCGAGAGACCTGTCATACGTCTCCCGCGAACCCCCTCCGCAAATCTGATATGGCTACAGGCACCTCATCATCAACCCTTCTAAGGCCGGCTCACCAAATTCCTCACACTCGCCAAGGCCAGTCCACGCAAAGTCCGCCCCCCAAACTCCCACAACCCAGGAAACATTTCACCCAAACGACAGGACCTTGATGCGATCCTAACCCCTTCTGGTCTCTCTCGCTACACGAAACGAAACAAAGTGAACAAGATTCAATCTCTGAACCGTCACACCCAAAGGAACGAACCGAAACGGGGCAAATCTTCCAGCTGGTCTACCGTCTATCGAGGGATATGCCTGGCGTCTGTACCTATCCAACAAAGGGGAAACCCCGTACACGATAGCGGTAAGAAATTTGGACAAGGAGTGAATGGGTGGAAGTGCAGGCTCGCAAGAACCCCACAACGGGAAGAGGGCGGATGCGTTGCAAGCTTATTTAGCGCCGAGAAACGCCCAAAGCTTGTTCCTCCCGTGCAAGGCACAAGGAAAATGAAGTAGGAGGAAGGCATGGAGGGGAGGGCCAAGGGAGTATGTGGTACCGGCTTGGCCTTTGCTTGGCGGGTTTGCTCTCACAAAGCTTCTTGAACATACGGACGAAAGGGGAAAGGGAGAGTGAGAGGCGGGAGAGTGTGTGCAAGGAAGGCAGCAGGCAGGCAGGTAAAGTCGAGACCTATTCCATGTACACACTGCCACTGCGCGATTCACGGCGCCAATGCCAAATTGTTGATCATGGGTTGCCGAGTGGATGGTTCCTGAGATTCTGTCCCAGGGAGCACCTCGTTTATCACGTAAGTGGTGTGGGGGTGGTCGAGGATCATCCCTTCTTTTGCCCAGGAGAGAATGTTGAAACATGAAACAAGGGGGAATTCTCCTCCAGATGCACCAAACGAGTCAAGCCATGGAGAACTCTGGGATCAATTCTTTTCCCTCTTCTAAGGTAATCGACCTAGTTGTGGAGCTGAGGCGGGGTAATAGCCCGAGAATCCGTCAGAGGCTAGCTCTAATTTAATAGGACTTAGATCTGCTGGCCAACAGAATTCCACGGATCGGGTCTGGTGATAATTTGGATAGGCTCTGTAAAGTTGCGGTTAACGCGGCCTTTTAGTTGGCAACGTTTTGTTGTATAGAGATTCTAGAAACCTAGCGCATCCGCTTGGACATCTTCTGCCCATCGAGGGGGAATCTTCCACCTCGGCAGGTTGCCACGGGCATATCTACAGTATAAATCGGTTATGAAGGAAATTGTGAAAAATTGTGCGGAGACATTCCATTTCTTTCTGCATGATCCAGTCCGAGCTCTGCCGCGCGTGCGTACTTCCGCCGGTCTCCCATAACTCCAGGCGAGACACCGCACGCACTCGTGTCCGTCAAGCAAATCAATCGAGATGGGATGCGCGTATGGATTGATGAGTAAACAACATCAGTCTTCCAGTCCTGCAACGCCGTTGGCAACTTGGCGTATGGCGGGTAGATGGATGGCGCCGGAAATCTTTGGATGAGATGGGTGGACGGGGTGGACGGTCAAAGGGACGGATGTAGAAGTGGACGTGACAGATGGACGGAGAAATGTTCGATTTGGGAAACACATGTACGCAGGATAGAAAGGAGTGTCCCGGCAAGGATATGCAGCCCAGTGAGGAAAACGCGGAGAGACCCGCCACAACCACCATCGTCGAAATAAGCTTTCGTAAGGCCCCGCTAGTCAAATTTGTGATCTCTCGCGCTTGGGTTCACCCTGTAAAATCTCTAAGGGGGAAGCCGTCAGCAAGCTTCTACTCAAGTATCCGTAACACACGTTGGCAAATTAGACCGAAAGCCTGCTCTTCCTTCTTAGCCCCCTATCCGCGGCTACAGCACCTGCTCATACGAGGAATCCATTTCCCTGCGGTGCCTGCTTCCGAAGAGGAAGGAAATTGTGTGGGCGCGTGTATGAGAAACGGAACTCTGCTCATCTCGGCCTTCGAATCCGTCCACGTTTGGCGCGTCGATTTCGAGAGTGGGTTTTCAGCTTTCACAATCGAAAGTGTCTTTTGTTTGGTTTTGAGGTGACTGGTTTCCTGGGATGCTGACTGTCGGCATGGCAAGCGATTGGTTGAGTTTGTTTAGTTGTTCCTGATGAGCTGCCAAGCCGTGCAAAATTGCCACTTGCTGGGCGATTCTAGGCTACTCCAAGCGGTTCGTCGATCACAGCATCGTGACACAGCTTGGCAGGAACACCAGAGGTTCGTCAAGAATGATAATGGTATTTCATAATTCATCGTATACATGGCGCAGTAATGTGCTTGCGCCTGAATGACTGTCTACTTTCCTGTGCCTCTTCGTGTGCTGGAGTTATAGATGTTTCTTCTTGTTGTTGTAGTTGTTGTCGTATTACCCTCCCAGAGCCCGTTTTCGTCTCCCCAACCATCTGTCCGCTCAATATGAGATGAGACAAGTAGGCATCAAAGGTGTTCCCCATTCTTGACCACAATCACATCCGATCTTTGTCCTTGACCGGGTCCTCAAACATCCAGATGTTCGTGCTTTCAGGTCTTGCCTTGCCTTTACTGGATTGCGCGTACTTGTCGATAGGACTTGGGTAGACTTTGCCGGGGCTCCGAATTTCCTTCAGTTCCAAACCAACAACTCTCTCGAGGTCCTTTGACTTGAAGTCTCCCGTCATCGGTGTTCCGCCTTGTTGCCATGGTGGTGTTTCGTACCATAAGTCGGGGTGCATTGTGGAGTTCCGCCGCCGCTTGTTGAATAATCTGGGGAACCATTGTCTCAGCTTTGCAACTACTCTGTTGAAAAGCTCTTCTGCCAAAGGCCTGAATCCTGGGATTGAGAGTGCGATGAGTGTGGCACCAATTTCGGATACTTCGATTGCGAGAAGCGGGCTGTAAATCCATGACTGGTCTGGTTGCCATTGACCATTGATGACTAAAATGAGACGGGCAATTGAAATCGCGACAACACTGTGGACGATTAGTACGTTTGTGATCGAGGAACAAAGGCTAGCCACCACTCACAAAACTCCGGGCAATAGGATGCAAGCAAGTTGAATCTTCCTCTTTCTTGTCATCTCCAACATCCATAACATGGCAACGGGTATTCCAAAGAGAACAAAGTCGCAAAGCAACGACACAGCTGAGTTAATTCCGTAGACAAAGCCCCATGGAAGGCATTTGTACTGATTGAACTGTGACTGCCATTCGTAAGGCCATATCGCTGTCACGGGAAGGCAGTGGAAGATGATGAGAAGCATCTGCGTGATGTAGCCAGCGATCAAGAATAGTCCGGCTCCCTTAATTGCGAGGAGGAATCGGCTGTGGACGCCGCACACTCGGTAGTAAAACGCCAGTCCCGAAAAACGGCAGACGAAAAGCGCGCTTGTGTAGATCAGGTGGGCGGTGAAATCGAGAATCTCCGTCTCTTCCAGGATGTCTTGGGTCATGACGAACTGGATGAATTCAAAATGTCGACCAGAGCCGATGTTGATGAGTATGATGCACAGTGGAACGAAGGCTATGAACATTGCCTAGCGTCGTTGTCAGCTTCGTTTCTCTCCCCATAATCACTGGCCAGCTAGCTCACCATAGATATCACTGCTAGAGTGTCGTCTATTCCAAAGCTTTTCCGTAGAAAGAATCGCGAAAAGGCGCGACCGTTAACAATCACCAACGTAATGGCGAACATGAAGATTGACGCATCCATTGAAGGCCCGTCTCTGTCTTCCTCCAGGTATGCGAGGCTGATTTCCGGTGGTACACGACCGGCCGCGACGGCCGCGGCGGCCTCTGAGTCGCCCATCATCTTGATGGTGACCGGTGAGATGTTGACAGTCTGGTTGAAGGTGTCATGCGGGAAGGAGAGATTTGCATCCTCATCGATCAGGATCAGGAACAGGAACACACAAGGCCTCGGACGACAAAATGCTACCCACCCAAAAGCTTTATGTTATTGCACTTCTCTCTTTACCTCTTGCAGCGGAATAATGCAACCTTGCATCTTGAGTTGGGATCTGATCGGATGACACAGATTCCTCAACTCTAAAAACAGCAAGGATAGGCAACGGTGTGGAAGTTGGTGTGGTGTGCCTGGTCCGGCGAGTGAGGCTGCCAAGAAGGTTGGCGCTTGTGTCTGGACTGAAGAAAAGCTTAGGAAAGCTTAACTCGAGCGTTTGTAACCAATGTCCGTGCTATCGGCAGTTGGCGGACTTTGTGCTACGATTGAGCGTAACGGCGATGCGTGATGTCATGTTTCTGGAATGAAAATGGTCAATACGTCGTATTCTCCTATTTACTTGATGTTGGATCTTCCTGTACGGTGGTATTGAGGTTGATACCATGTGGGTAAGGGGAGAACGCTAATGCGACATGGCAGAGTATAGTTGTCGCACACTACTGTGGGAAAAACCCGTTGCACTTCCTCTCAATGGTTGTTTTTCGGAAGAGAAAGGCTGAAGCCAATCGGGAGATCACGTACGCGATCTCCTTGGACTTTCCGACAACTGGGGGTGACCTTTGAAGTAGTCAAATCCCGAGTCTGAGAGCTTGTCACGCCTGCAGGGGTCCACCCATCTTCCAGATCAAGTGTTCGTTGCTTCGATTCGAGGGTGTTAGCGAAACGAGATAATCGGTACGTAGCGTGGGAAGCACCGAAAGTTTTTGCTCGGTTTTGCCCATTATGTTCTTTGTTAAGGGCCAACTTGGACGATTTCCATTGGAGCTTCCAGACGACTCATTGCGGTGGCAGATTCTGACAAGAACGTTTTGGACCATTGTGCTCGCGCCACAAGGAACGGTCTGCTGCCGTTGGTGCATGAGCTCCCTAATTCTCTCGTGGGGTATCAGACGAGAGGAATATTCGTCTCGAACGTCTCAGACGAACAGCGCTAGCGCAATTGAACCAAGTCCAAGCATCACCGAAAAACGAAACCGAAGCCAAGTGACTTTTGCTGCCCATTCCTACTCCTTCAGAAGATTCAAAAGCCCGAAGTCGCCGTTCTATATCGCTAGTTCGCGGGCCCCGAGTCGGCCATCGTCCGGTCTCGTTGGGCAACAAAAGAGCGCGGTTGCCAAAATACTGAAGCTGAAAGGGGTCGGGCTTCCGAGTACAGGAGTCATAGAATTGGGGCATCAAGCTCGAGGCTGACTCTTGTATCTGTGATCGGTGCGCTCTCCTGTGCAATGGAGTTCCGACAGCCTTGATCACAGGGGAAAGGCCGGCCGGAGTATTCGACCGGCCTCCGCAAAACTCCGTTGTTGGGTATATTGGGGCTCTTGTCTAGGCAGGTATCGCGAACCTCTCTTCTGTACTCAGGTGAGAGGTGAACTTGACGTGGGTCGCTTCCGACGACATTACAGTGAGTCCCGCTTGGGGGATGCACTCTGGGACCTGGCAACCGGAGCCGCCGACCTGTTTCTGGACAACAAATTGTCAAACTCTTTTCGGCGTGATTGTATCCTCTTTTGCATTTTGGGACAAGCGATTGCGTGCAACGTCTTGGTGCATTTCTGACCACCAAATAAATCAGGTAATGTCTCTAAATGACAAATATGGCGGCAATTTACCTTTTCTATATCCCTCCTAAGCCATGATCTGGAAACGCTCATATATACTTCCGTCGCTCAAGTTCTGATAGATTCCCATTTTCCTCTCTAGTTCAATGCTGACAGATAGCTCGTTGTGCTGAATTAATGACGAAGTTAGGTCACGGTGGATTCATGAAGAGGAAGTCAGGAGTTGAGATGATATAAGCCTGAACTGAAGTAGAAGGAAGCGACTTTTCTGTACGATTCCACCTCAAATGAGATTTTGTTCCGAGTTCAAAGGGAAAGGCCATGGGACTTGTAAGCGAACTGCTCAAGGGAATGAGCGAACTGTCACCCAGTTCCCCAGCTCTTTCCCACATAGAGAAAAGTGAAGCTGTGGATCCCATCATGAGGGCCCGTGCTCGGCAGTTGTTGTTGCCCTCACAAGCTCACCCTCACTCCCTCCCTCATTCCCTCACTCACTTTGCACACAACTTCTCACCGCAGAAGACGTGGGACTTTTCTTTCGCCCAGTCTCCTTAGAAGTATTTACTTCAATTGCATTCTTTTATCCATCGAATTTCTCTTTTCCACCACTCAAGTCTTCACATAATAACGACCCCGGGCCAACCGTAGTAGGCCATCGCCTTCAAGGTAAATCGTCCAACTTAGATATCTCATCAAACCATGAGGACTCATCAATTTCTCAATAGATGGCCGATATGAGATCCCAAAAGATGGGCGTTAAGAGAGAAGAATCTTGCGACATCCCCCTCCCGAGCCGCGAGTTTAGCCGTGAGCTCTCTTTACCATTCCGACCATCCCCAGCCGTCAGTTCTCATTTCGGAGCTCATCTCATGCACCTACTAATATATTTTACAGCCGTCTACTCGATCATCTTCTGCGGCCTTCCATAGCGACCTGGCTCCCAACAAAAGCGCCAGAAAGATTACAGCTGACCCCGAGATTCTCCGCGTTCAACCATACCTGAAGTTTCCCGGCTTCATCCAACCCGATGTCATCATCAGCAACGAGGACAGGAAGTTCATCGGTCTCCTAGGTCTCAACAGAGACCTTGTCATCCCCAACTCTCCCGACCTTCCCATTCACCCAGATCACATGCAGTACTCGGTCGCTCTGAAGGTCGAAGAGATCTTCTGTGCTGCCAACGGAGTTCTCTACGTCATGGGAAGATCCAAAGTGACCAATCGTCAACTCTGGGCAAAGGTTCAGCGCATTCTAGCAAAGCACAACCCGGCCTAGGAGGCCAAGGTCAGCGAAAACAGAATGAGTGACCTCATCGAGACGTATGCCCGTGGTCGGAAGGAGTACCTTGCCGACAAGGCGAACCCAAAGTTCTCGCGGCTGGCTGACCGCCAGAACTGTCGCCTCCTAAAGTCGGTTTACCAATGGATCGCGTTTCACGAGCTGGACGAGTCGGCCTCCTCCAACCTGTTATGGTTCGATGCCAAGCATCGCTGGGTCGAACTGCATCAAATCAGGACCATACCGGGCCGAACGTGGACGGCTGAGCAGGAAGCCTGGATGCGTGAAGACATCTCTGCTGGCCGGTACTAGATGGTGGAATCAAAGATCGACAGATTCCGTGGTGGAATTCAGCGATTGTGTTTGGACTGGGAGTGTAGATTAGAGGAAGTCTTGACTTTTTGCGTCTTTGGAATTTTCACGCTCTTGTCGTCTTTCTATGGCATAGATAAAACACCACCTCAGGAACAAAGAGAATGAGATTTATATGCATTGTATGGAATGGCCATGTGACTTTGTCTGTAATCTCTTAGCTAAGGTAGCGGCACTAGCAAACCTTTAGTGAAGAAGACGAAGTGCTCGCCATTGGACTAAGTAGCGCAAGATGGGTACGGTATCTCGGCTGGAGTTCATAATGAGAAGTGTCACATTCTTTTGATCATTTCGTAGTGATTTTTGTTAGAGCGTTAAAGCACTGGATATTGAACACTTGCGTCACACAAAGATTCCCTTTCTCATTTTCACTTCGTATTTTTTACCTTTGTCAATGTGACGAGCCTGCCATTGGTTGTGCACTCTCAGAAAAGGCCTCCGTGAGCCTCGAAGCGATTCCCGCTATGTTTCGGCCCTTACTGAGTCCCTTATGCCCTAGACTACCTTAAGCAAGCAATCAGAAATCATAAAACGAAGCCCTAGTCATTCCTCATCGTCGGGGTTTCTTTCCCCAGGCCTCGAGATATCCGTTGATTCGGCCGTAAGTGTTGGCACGGCGGCGTTCAGCACGTCTCATCGCGTCGTCAATCTCCATGGACTCCTCATGGGCCGCACGCTCCTCAGGGGTGGCCTGTACGGCTCTCTGAATACGCGCCTTCTGCGCCTGGTCCTTTGCCTTCTGAGCCGCCACCTCCAGGCGCTCCTTCTCCTCCCGCTCCGCCTGGTATTGGGCCTCGAGGCGCTGGGCTTCCTCAATATGAGCCCGGCGCTCTTCCTGGATCCTGGCATGAAGGCGCTGCAGCTCGGTCGCCTTCTCCGCCTCTTTATTATCGCTCTGGGATATACCATGATCGGCAGCGGTGGCGGTGGTGCCAAGGGCAGGTCGGGTAGAAGGACCCGGATTATTGTTGTCGTTGATCTCGGGATCCATCTCGTTAGGGACGGCGAGGTCATCGGAAGTCTTGTTGGAAGACATCTTATATCGCGACTGGTCTTCCACATTAAAATTAGCTTCATTCAGACAATATTTCAATTTTCATCTAGCAAAGAGCTTCCTACCTGGACTGAGGTGTGTAGATGAATCGATCGAAGAGGATGGCGTTGCTGTTTGCTGTTGAGGTGGCAACTGGTTGCTTAGACTAAAGTCTCTGATGGTCGCGCAGCTATTGATATGGGAGTAGAAGAAGGTGCGTCGATGAGAAGCCGCGAGAAGAGACGGCAGCAAAGCAGAGATAATAAATAGGATGAATTACAGGCGGGTGCCGCGAGAAGACTAAAGGGTCGACTGAACAATCGAAGGGGAAGATGAATGAGCAAGAGTGTGAAGCGATCCAAGGTGTGCCGTGGTGGGATAAGATGAGCAGCTTACAAAATAGAGGTGAAGATTATAAAAGAGGGCCCGGGGCGTCCAAAGGTGTGCTAGCAGTAGGGCTCAAACCATCTGGAATATGACTCCTGAATACTCCCAGGAAGATTCTATCAAAGTCGCCCCACTTTGCCTACGCGCAGGAAATCTGGGTTGGGTTGGCTTTGGAAGTCACGGTGTCAACCTCGGAGGCGCCTTCCTTGCCTTACGGTTGAAGGTGCAGCTCTCTGGGTCTTTAGCTTTAGTCTGCGTTTTCGTTAGCGGTACAATATCTATAGAGCTTTCAGTATCATAAGAGAGAAATAGTCTTGAACATGTCTCAAGCATTTCAGAGGTGCTTCCGGACTTCTAGGCAGATTATGCGATGGTCCTTAGCTAGCATTGATACATCACGTGTCTAGGGGACGAACCGCAGCTCGAAGTCGGTACGTTGGTTGTTGTTTCCCATTCGAATATATCTTTCTTCGTCTCAGAAGCGTCGTCAATCTTCAGTTAACAGCGCTAGAAATCTTGGCTAATTACACCCATTCTAAGAGCAAAGGTGCTCACTCAAGAGTTTGCAGGTGACTGAGAATAGAACAACATCTGGTGTCAATTCCAAAATAAATCATCCATAACACGAGGAACACAAAATTGGTTTACCAAACAAACAACTCAACTGCCAAGCGAAATGTCAAGGAGCGAGTACAAACCAGGCGTTATCCCAACCGTGCAACTGGGACCCGAAGCAACAGAACTATTCAATTCTTTATCATATCTGGCAGAAACCTGTGTTTGTCAATCCCCAATGCCGAGCAATCACGTCATCCTTGGTAGCAGACATCTCCCAAGGCCTCGCTTACAAACACCGTGAATGGTGGAAATATGTTCACCCCAACAATCACGGAACCAACAATACGTTAGGTAATAGTTTGCATGGCAACACTGCAAAGAGGATCGCCATCCCCAGACCCCCCACAACATGTATCCACAATCTTCTCCGGATTCCGCTCTTTGCTTAAATACTTAAGGGTCCGTTTGCCAGAATTAGAGTTGCAAACAAACGATGCATCCCCATCCCGTCGGCTTCTTAGGGCATACTGCAGTATCTTTAACACGCATAGACGTTTTCCGAAGTCTTCCTCCCCCGCGTCCAAACTGCAGATGGAGAAAGCGGCTTCCTCGGAACCAGGGCCCGAGACCCGCCAAAATGCCTCCGACCCCCACCAGCCAGACCGGTTCGAGCAAAGGCGCGTGTCCTCCGCATCCCACCCCCGCACGGATCTGGAGAACGATCCCGAGAGGCTGGCGGCCACCGCGCAGGGTCTCTCGACGACGACATCCGTAGTTGATACTGGCGAAAACCTGGATGACTACCCCGAGGGCGGGAGGCAGGCTTTCATTGTGCTCTTTGGGACGTGGTGCGTTCTCTTCTGTACATTTGGCCTAGGAAACAGCATTGGTGTCTTTCAGACGTATTACGTCAACGATGCCCTTCGCCAGTACACTTCGTCCACCATATCATGGATCACCAGCTTCATGCAATGGACTTTAAATTTCATGCCCATCGTCGTATGTCCAGTGCTTCCCCGACCTCTTCCAGCTTTGGCCCACTGACTTTGGGTCCAGTGGGGATTCGCCTTTGATAAATGGGGTCCTCGATGGCTCCTCATCTGTGGATCCATAACCTACGTCTTCGGCATAATGATGGTCTCCCTAGGATCCGAGTACTTCCACTTCTTCCTAGCCCAAAGCATCGTCTGCCCCCTCGGCGCCAGTGCCGTAACGAGCGCGAGTATGTCGTGCCTCGTAACATGGTTCCATCGCCGCCGCGCCACCGCCTTTGGGATTATGATGTCCGGGTCGTCCGTCGGTGGCGTCATTTTACCAATCATGATCCCGCGAATGATTGACAGTGTCGGGTTCCCGTGGGCGATGCGTGCTGTCGGCTTCATGTTTCTCTGTCTTCTGATAATCGCGTGCTTCACCGTAAGGTCCCGTCTGAAACCGCAAACGAAGCCGGTAGATATGAAGGAGTATTTCCGGGGCATTCGGGAACCGACAATGATGTCTACCGTTTTTGGTCTGTTTTTGGTCTTTTGGGGCTTATTTGTTCCCTACGCCTTTGTCATTTTACAGGCCAAGGCACAGGGTATGGACGACGGCCTTGTTATTTACCTGCTGCCCATCATGCATGCCGTAGGGTACGTCCCAAAAGCCTCCCCTTTCACCACATAAGAGAAACCCTACTTACTGGCTTTTCCAACCAGCTTAATCGGGCGCGTCATCCCAGGCCTCGTAGCCGACAAAATAGGCCGCTACAACATCATGATCATCCTCGCCACCCTCACCGGCATCGCGTGCCTGGCCCTCTGGATCCCAATCAAGAGCAACGCCGGCATCCTAGTCTTCACGGCGGCCTTTGGCTTCCTCTCGTCGGGGCTGACATCCATCGGTCCGACGCTTATTGCGCAGATCTCAGACATTCGAGAGATTGGCGCCAGGACTGGCACGGCTTTTGCGTTCCAATCATTTGGTGCACTTACGGGGAGTCCCATTGCGAGTGCGATTGTCGATGCGCGGGGAGGGGATTACTTGGGTTTGCAGTTATTTTGCGGGTTTTCGATCCTTGCTTCGGCGGGGGTGTTTGCTTCGGCGCGGTATGTTCAGGCTGGTGGGTTTGAGCTTAAAAAGGTTTGATGGGGATGGTCACGTTGTCAATTTCTGTAGAGGGCATCCTTGGGCGGACGCGTGAGGTACTTGGGTCATAGACCGTGAGAGAGGCAGATGTATTGATAGACCAGGAGCTTTTGCTGCTTATTACACCAATAGACTCTGATTAGACCAGTCCAACGCCTGATATGCGTAATCCCTAACCCATCCTTTGTCCGATGGTGCCAACCTGTACAGCAGTGACCCTTCTACTTTCCTCCAACGGGACACCGGCATCGAGACGTCTTGGTGTACAATTCAGAAGTCTGGGATGTTGTGCTTGTCTTTATAGTCGTCAAGGTCATCGGCAGCCCACTCCACATCCTCGCCGCCTCGAAGAGCCTCGAGCTCATTGAGGTCATCGACGATGTGGGCGAACAGCATCTCTTGGCCACAGATGCTACCGCGCTGCTCGGCAGCCTCAGTCTCAGCCATAGCATGAGTCACAGCGCCAGTAATGGTATCGGTCAAAGAGGCGACCACGGCGGTGGCCGTTGCCTCGGCATTCTTCTCCATGAGCTTCTCATACTTGGCTCTGAGGGCCGTGATCTCGGCCTGGGCCATCTGAGCAGCTTTGTTGGCCTGGTCGTTCTGCTGAGTAATGGTCTCGATGACCTTATCCTTGACATTGAAAGCATCGATAGCGTCCTGGATTGTCTTGGTCGTCGCAGCCTGGAGCTGGGCCGCCGAGGTCTGGAGACCGTTGCTGATCTGATCATTCTGCTGGTCGCTAATCTGGAGTGCACTGAAAGCATCCCGGATCATCTTGTCTGCAGTAGACTGGAGATGATTTGCCGATGTCTGGAAGGCAGACGGGATGGTAGTTGCGGACTGAGCAGGGGCGACCGGAGCAGCCGAGGCGGCAGCAATAGTTCCATGGCCTGCCTGCGCAACAATGGCGGTAGGGGCAGTCTGAATGCCGCGAGCGACGTTGAAGCGGTCAAGCAGATCGACGAAGCTCTTGAAAGGCTCTCTGTTGGGCTGGGCCTTGCAGGCGGGGTCACTGGCAAGATGACCATCGACGAAGCGCTTGCGAGCATCTCCAAAGGCGTCCATGACGGACTGGACCTGCTGGTTGGTGACTCCGGGGTACTCGTTCCAGCGCTTCTCTCTGGTGAGGATACGGAGAGCCGGGACCCAGGCCAGGTGGTTGTTGGCAGCGACCAAGGCGTTGCTACCATTGGCCGCGGTAGCAATGACCTTGAAGTAGGCCTCGAGGATGTCCACGCCGCGGTGCGCAATCAGCTTCGACGCGTCACGAATGGGATTCTCGTTGCAAAAGGCCTGTGTGAGCAGCTTGAGCTGCGGAGTGCCGGGGCGAGCCCTGATGCGACCGTTTGTGCCGACGACGAAGTGAAGACCGGGAATACGGTTCAGGGACGCCTGGTCAGAGTTGATCGGGTTGGACTCGATGTCACTTATGCCTGCGGCGGCTGAGGCGGGAAAGTTCTGAGGCAAAGACATTGTGTGCTTCAATCTTGATTAGCATTCAAGTACTAGACATTTGCCATGAAGATGGAGGGATGGAAGTATCTTGGTGGTCTCATCTGACGATACTTTGTAGTTCTTTCTGTCTCGTGTCGGAAAAAATCGCAGCAGTCTGATGACTTGACGAGATAAAGGTATTGCGGCTGGCGGAAAGCTGCGATGTGTTTTGAGGACGCAGGGATGAATCGAGATCGACAAAATAAGGTGAGTTGGGTTGGAAAGAGGGAAGATGATGTGAGTGACGGCGTAAAGTGGGAAAAGCAGGGTTGGTCGGTGTGGGAGGAAGTCTAGGGAAAGAACGTGGTTGGGGACTGATTTTGGATTGAAGATTTTTTGTTGATTACCTATCGTATTCACGAATGAATATGATCCCTAATGGGGTGATATATTTGTGTGTTGATGCTTGTTGTCTCGCGGTGAACACGGGACTAAGAAGTCGGGAAGCTTCACCATTCCGCTCTCAGCTGCTGAGATAAGTTCCCATGTGAGCTCTCATATCAAGGCAGCGGTACGGAATGATCATCTTAACTGTTTGATCGAGATATTGTTTTGTATTTGACTTTGCTTTACACATTTTTATCGACATCTTTGATCTCCTGTATCGAAATTTCCTCTTCATCGGTACAAAGGCTGTCCCATGAGCCCATCTTGATCCATTCCCGTAATCGCGATGACGATTTGGGATGGGAAACCCAGACGGATTCCATGCGGACTGTTTGTGGCTATTGACATAGATGTATTACTGGCTTGGCTTCTCCTACATATCAGCAAAATGATATTCTGTCCGGACAGAAGGCTTTTGGACGCGCCGAGGACGTACCTTGCAAGAGCCCATTCGATCACAGCATCACGTTTTGGCACATCACCTTTTTTATTTACCTCGCGTTCTTACAGATACGGAGGTCATATGTTCCACTTTAGGAGGCTGTCAATGGAATATTTACCTTTAGCCACGTGACGACTGAGGACTTGAGGCGGGAAACTCACCTGAAGTGCTTAAGGTGGGGCGAAGGGGGGGGAGAGGTATATAGGGACAAAAATGCTCAAAAAGTCAACCCAGTAGAGAGGAAGATGTTTTCACCCTGGAAGTGACTACCCGCCTGAATTTGGTCTAACGGTTGACGTCCCGTTGAGACTGGCATTCGATTGCCCAATTTGTACGGCCATCTGGAAATCTCGCGGGTTCGAATCACATACAAAGCAATTATTCTTTTTTTTTTGCCCCCTATCTTTTTGGGCCTGATTCTTTATCTTGATTGTTTACTCCTTTGCTTAATTGCCAATGTTCTTGATGATGATTTTCATTCTTCTTCTAGTCTTCTTTGTTGCCCACGAACAACATCTATGGTGTCTTCCTATCACGCCAAACCAAAACCTCCACCTAATCGACAAACATATGAGGTCGACCAAAGTCCCATCGCTTACAGATGTGCCCCGAAGAAACGGTTCGGCGCGTGGGGCCAACTTTACCCAAAAAGCCAATACCCCCGGCCCGTCATTTCCTTGGCTTCTGCGTGCCGAAGATCCACCTCCCGATAAACCTTCCTCCGTCTTGGCAAAGACAAACGAAACATCCGCATAGTATCTTGCCGAGTGTTCCTTCAGACCGAAAACCCGACAGTGCGGATCGCGTATCTTGCCATGGGAATTCCAACAAGATATTACCGCAACGCCAAAGGACACGCTCGGTTTCGCTCCACTATCAACCTTCGGACTGAGGCCCTGGGCCTTGTGGGTCGCCATCTCCACGGATCCATCCCGTGAATGTAACCACATCTCCGCCCCTTGAAGAATTCCTCGAACCAGCAATCTCGAGAAATGGATCCTTCAAAGAATTTCGACCTCTGGGCGGCCGCCATCGGAAACCCCAGTCGACAGCCCCGTCATCACCAAATACTTAACAGCCACAACCCCGATCTCTCTCTACCGTAGCGTCGCAGTCGATCCGTCTTGCCACCCATTTCCCTCAACCTTCGGCCGTTTCCCTCTCCGCAAAGATGGTCCGCGTCTCAATCGCCTCAGTCCTCTCCCTTGGTGCTGTAGCCACACAGGCCCTAGCTACAGGGAACTGCACCGGCGTCAACGCAATCAGCACAAAATGCGCCTCCAAAGAAGCCGCCCACACCCGCGACTTCTTCTACGTCGGAGGCCGCTACATCCAAACCACCTCAGGCAACGTCACAGTAGACCAGCTTTACGTCGAAAAGCTAGTCCCCGTCACCACCAGCCAAACCCGCACCCGCCGCCGTAGCAGTAGCAGAGGCAGTATCACACCGCCTAAACCCATCGTCTTCTTCCACGGAGGCGGAACAACAGGCGTAACCTGGCTGAACACACCCGACAACCGCCCGGGCTGGGCAACCTACTTCCTGCAACAGGGCCACACGGTCTACCTCGTCGACACCGCCGCCATCGGCCGCTCGACAGAGAACAACCTCGCCAACTTCACCATGATCGCCGGCACGGCGGCTGAGGGCGTGGAAAAGGGGTTCACCCACGTCGAGGCCTACGACGCATACCCGCAAGCCGCACTCCACACCCAGTGGCCCGGCACGGGACAGAAAGGCGACCCGACGTTTGAGCAGTTCAAAAAGACGATCCTCCCGCTGTCCACGAGCTGGGTGCCGCAGGAATACGCCCTCCGCGCCTCGGGCTGCGAGCTTCTTTCGTTGCTGGGCGAGAAAGCGTACCTCATCTCGCACTCCATCGGCGCCCGCGCCCCCATCTTGCTGTCGAACGATTGTCCAGAGTATATTGCGGGCAACATCAACCTCGAAGGCACGACGGTGCCGTTCTGGTCATTCGAGAGCCGCTCAGCCACCAACGCGTGGGGATTGACGAACACGCCCCTCGACTACGATCCGCCGGTTGCCAGCGCGGCGGAGCTCGAGACCGAGGTTGCCGGAAATGATACGCTTACGCACCGGAGCTGTTACCGACAAAAGGAGCCGGCGCGGCAGCTGCCCAAGATTGCTAGCGTGCCGTATTTGATGGTTACGACGGAGGCGAGTGTGCATGTTACATATGATCACTGCACTGTGGACTACCTGAAGCAGGTTGGTGGGCAGCCCGATTGGATTAAGCTGGGGGAGATTGGAATTCATGGGAACGGGCATTTCATGCATTTGGAAAAGAATAGTTTGGAGATTGCCGAGGTGGTGAATAATTGGATTCAGGAGAAGGAAGGGGCTTGATGACATGAGGTGGGAGCCTAAGTCACCCTGGACGAGATAGGAAACATGGTTGGATTGGATGACAAAGTCGACCTTGAGAGATCATGACCTGGTTTGGAACAGCATCGGACGTTGAGGTCTGACTATGAGATTCCAGCGAGGTACATCAAGTGACTTCCAGGGTTTCTGAACACTAAGCTCTGGTTTCTCATGGATAGAGGGGACCCGGGTTAATGGGAGACAATCCTCAGAGTAGTGCAAGACTATAACAGTCCGCTGGTTCCATCACATGCGGAGGTCATGACGTCGAGAACACGGCAATGTCCAGACCTACATGGAAATCCAGAAACCGTTGGGTCATGTCTAGTAAGCTGGCTCTCATAGTTGAAGAACTTACTCACTTATGAGAATTTCCAAATTGCGGGGCAAATAAAAGAAAGTCGAAGAAGATGCCAAGCAGGCGGCAAATGAGCTATTTCCGACCGACAGTCATCAAGTTTGTCAGTGAGAACTAGTGAAGAACCCGTACGCGGAAGATCTACGGTGATACACGCGGCGATGTAACGTAGGGATATTAGTGAGCCTGCAGTAAGGGGTATGAATAGGGGGTTCCTGAACTGGAATGGGGACAGCTTGCCTGCGGACAGGAATTCATGTCACCGCAAGGAGGAATTATGGCAGACATTGTGAGGTGAAGTTTAATTCCATTATGACCATCATTGCCTCGATCCTATTTAATCTAAATACATCTTCATACCTGACACAGGTGCCAAGCTACGAATACATAAAATAAAATGAAGACATTGTAGTATAGAAACAAAGGGGATAGAAATCGACTTTGACCACCCAGGGATATCACACGCTAGATCCTGAAAGAATACATATCATCAAATCACTTCCGTCATAGTACAGTCTCGCCGACAAGCAACTGTTACATATGGGGCACTACTGTCTGCGACCACACCGGTAGGAAAATGAAAATCAACGTGCTTAAACAGGCAAAGATCGCGCCACCGACCATGGCCTGAAGGACAATCTTGTGCTGCAGCCTGCGCAAATGGACATCCTTGACGCGAATCTTACGATCAAAGATCATCATTCGTGACACAAACTTCATGAGACCAGAACGTTGCGATAGAAGAGAGGCGCTGTCGTCGAAGCGTTCCCAGGGTAGGGGCTGACGTCTCGTGAAGAGCAACAGGAAGAAACAGCTACCTCGCAGACCGGAGAAGATGAGGGACATGCCGACGAACCACATTGGCCAAGGGGCGAAGGCGTTCCATCTGCTGTTGGCGCCCATGAAGGGAACGAAGGCCTTGAGGAGCACGCAAAGGAAGCCGCCGATAGTGAGGGCAATGCCGACGCTGGTGGCCATGCAGAGAGTCTCGAAGGTTCCGTTGGAGACACCGAGGCGGACAAAGTTGCGATGGGAGCAGTTCTTCAGAAGTCCGTACACGTGATCTGCGATTGGCTTGAGGTGGATCGGGTCGGAGGAGTGCTGAAGGTTGAGAAGGGCGGTATCGCGAAGCGCAGGCGGAATGTTGAGCTCCTTCTCGGCTCCAGGGACGAGGAATGTGTTCACGACGGCGTTGAGCTCGACGCGGTATGCCGAGTTCGGGGCGATACGGGTCGGGATGACGGCTGGAACGTTGTTTGCGCAAATTGGCTTCGCGCAGGCATTGGCCCATGACTTGATGCGGTCGCGACCGTTCGGGCCGACTTTGCTGTTGGGTCTGCATGCGGCTTCCGGGGCGATGAGATGAACAATGTTGGTCATTGTCTCGTTGGCTTCGGCATGTTAGCTACGGCTGACGATGTAGGACTCGAGAAATAACACTTACCTGCTTCGGGGTCACACTCGAACTCGGACATCTGGATGGAAGGAAGCTTGATTCCCGCTGCATCGACAGCACTGTCTGCCATACTGTCTCGTGATGAAGACGACTGGTCGATATCCTTCTCTATAGGGAAGTTGTTGAGACTTCCAGTCTTGGCGTACGATCCTTCATAGTTGCGGAACCTGGGAGGACAGTCAGACCACTGTTCTTGCAATCGTGTCAATGGCCGAGGTGTCACTTACCAGACGAAGAACTCGAGGTTCTCGGGCGAGAATTCGATGTACTTGAGGTACATGTAGAAGTCATACAAGGACATTGGCGAGCCTTGGATGGAACGAAGATTAGCTTTGGGCCCTATATTGTCGGTGGCAGCGTGGCTTAAGAGGCATGCTTACAGGTCTGGTTATTCAAAACCCTCTCCAAACTCAACCGTGCTGGAATTGGACTCTTGTCTCTCCCGTCCCTGCTCAAGGGTCTTCTTCCGGTCCGGATGGCGGTGGCATACTCCTTGAAGTCCCTGTACTCCGGTTTCTTGTACCAAACCAACCAATCGGGAAACAGGCTTGAAATCTTGGACGGTTTCGCTGTGGTATCCTCCTCCTCCCTCTTGGTATTCCGTTCCTTGGCGGCGTCCATGTTGAAGAAATCGTGCTGAAGAATGTATAGATGTTGGGTGTACGACCGAGTTGTGTCGAAGAGAAACCAGATAGGGCAGAGACAAGGGACGCCTTGACTTTGACGGCGGACGAACCTTCCCCATCATATATCAGAGTCTTCTCCATTTTAGCGCCATTCTATATCTGCATGTGCCATGGGGCGCTCGATGCAGGCTTGCAGCAGATCAGACCGGGATTCCCACGACTGATTCCATGCCAGGGCCATTTGGCTCGACCAGGCCGGGACATAGCTCCACCTACTCCAGGTCTGCTGCAGACAAACTACGCACAATGCACAGACAGTCCCGCCGGTGCCTCATCAGGAAAAGACGAGTCGAACGGGATGATTCGGTCAGTAACATCCGTTAGGGTGCTTTGCAGACGCCCAGTCGGCATCGAAAGCCTCTTACCTCTCTCCTCCGCCCATTCATGTCTCATGACGACTGGCCAATGGCGGTAGGGGCAGAGAAAACGCCACGACCGCCTGGTCGTGAAAGAGGCTTGCGCCCTTGTATCCAAACTTGGGATGCCTCGAGACGTAGGGGATTTCGGACGAGTCGGCGAACCAACCGATTCCAGCGTGGACGAGTCAAAGCGGCTTGGTGTCAAGGTACCTTTTTCTAGTATGATAGTTAGCGCCTTGCACTACTCTGCGTTGGGCTGCAGAATTCTCACGCTGGTGCTAGATTTTGCAGCCAGTGCTGGTGCTTCATGGCAATGTATTTGTGGAGGAAGCCTTGGATGAATGAGAATCCCTCGGATGCGGCGAGACAGGGGACCCGCAGCGTTAGTTTCCTCCGTTGGTGAGGTTTCGCAGCCAATACTGCTTGTGTCCATGGTGTGGAGGGTTTGGGCCGATCAGAATCTTGTTTGTCTTTGCTAATGTCGACATGAGCAAACAAAGGAATTGGCCCCCTTCGCCCAGCAGCAGACTCCCAAATCCGGCCGCGTTTGCTGTACGTAAGCTATGAATGGGCGGGCTGTCAGATTGTGCCGACCCAGTAATCAGAGTTCAAGGCATGCTCGAAAACCGGGGATGCCAGAGTCATTGTCAAAGGACGAGTAGATTAGCGGAGCAAAGATCGGAAATTCTTTCGCCATTGTTCGCATTCTCTTCGTTGGAAAGGTGAGGCGGTGCAGGGTTTTCTTCTGCCCGCCGACAATGACAATGACAATGACCAGGACGAGGGCGATTCGAGGACGGCGCGAACGCACACACACACACACACAATGAATGCAGAGCAAGACTTTGGTGATTGCGGTGCTCTGCAGACGGATACGGAGGGCCTACGGAAGGATTTGGTGATAGGCAAGGCTCGGGCGGGACGATCTCCTCGTGGGATTCTTCAGGTAACCGGACCGACCTTTGCTGCTTCGCGCCTTAGCTCCAGAGTAACGAATTCTTATCGACGGCGCCAGATGCGGTGATGCGGAGAGAAGCTTAGGAAGATGCAAGGTTACCACGTGGAAGAGAGACGTCGAGCTTGGAGATGCAGGGGTCACAACCCAGGATTTGGCGTGCATTGGTCGTAAGGGAGAAGGGCGGCGCGGCACTGGGGGGGTCGAGCCGGCGAGTTAAGCAGTCTAGGTACTCCGTAAGCACGGGAGATTTGGGGATGAACCTGCGCAAGGGCCGCCTGCCTTACCATTTTTAGCCACCTCACAGGAACACTCTGTCCGGAGTACGTACCGCACCTACCTCCTGTGATTCCATCCGCGATACCTCCCTTCCCGGCCTCATTTCCTGCCTGAGGTGAGGTGAGGGCACTCAAATCGATAAAGTAGGTACCTACGCATTCAGGTATCTTATCTCCGATGATCGTCGGCTTTCCTCCTCCTCCTCCTCCTCCTCCTCCTCTTCTGCAACTGCAACCATCTTCCTCTCCGCCGTTTCGTGCCCATCTCCCTAATCAAGCGTCACATTTCAGTTGACAACGCTGCTGCAGTTGACCATCTGTGCCGTACACTTGGATTTGCATTTCGCATTCTCTCCGCTGCAAACACAGGCCATTGGTTCTCATCCCTGGACTGTATGACCGGGACACCACCAAATTCTTTGGACGTGCAAACAGGAACACGGCCTTCCGCACCAACAATGACGGCCATCCCATCACTTGGTCCGAGCAGACCGGACAACGAGCAGCAAGCAGCAAGCAGCAAGCAAGAGCGTTTGCTCCCTAAAGTACGGCGCCGATCAGATCAATTGGGATTAGCCTCGGCAAGGGTTATGCCGCTATCGTACGAGTGAGACACGAATTATCGATTCGCACCAAGCTGACTTCGCCCACTTTCTGGCGGTTGAGAGTCATGCAATTTTCACCACGACGGCATATTTGCCCTTTCCTCTCAAGTTGACACTCTTTTAACCTCCTTGCCTCCCTCTTCGCCGGTTCCTACCCCTACCTATTCCTTTGAAGATGTCTCTCCCTACGTCTAGCTAAACAATATCCTCCAGCTATTGGCCTAGGTCACGCACTTCACCTGAGGGGTAACACCACACTGCTGCTTTAGCTTCGAGTCGCATGGGCTGATAAACGGCGGCCCGAGTGGTTTTGGTCTTCAACACTTAGCTCGAATCTTCACCTTCTCCACGTTCCGCATCCCTCGATTGTTCTTCAGCGATCGGCACGCACATATTCCGGACCTTCAGCTCGCGTTCGCGTCGCGGTCAGCAGTATCTCTTTCTCCATCCCGAGCCACGCGTGTGAGATCTCGAGTGCCCCCAGCGGCAGCGGCTTCAAAAGCGTTGTGTTACCACAGCTAGCGCAGGTTTGGCAACGCGGTCACCTGCGTAGTTATCACCGGCCATCACGGCGGCGGCGGCATGCCGCGCTTCCATAAACGGCGCAGGCCTACGAGACGATCAAGGCCGGTTTGTGCAACCAACTGCCTCAGCCTTTTTTTTTTTTTTTTTTTTGTTGATTTGGCTCTGTGGCTCTGTCTCTTCTGTCTTTGTCGTGACTGGGAAAAGTGCTACTGATCCTTTCCTATTTGATCTGTCATCCCCGCTGCATTGGGGATGGCGTCTGCGAGAAGGCTTCAAAAGATTTTGCTTGCTTCTGACTGAGTATAGTAATCATGACGTTGGAAAGCCACCACAGATCGGACTGCCCCCATTTCATCTCCCTCGGGAGTCGGCTGCCAAACTGCGCGGGCTGCCTATCTTGGAATGAAGCCTTTCGGAGTTTGCTCGATCCCGGCGGCGCCGCCGCCCAGAGACTAGGAAGCCGAGGCGCTCTTGTCGTTGGCGTTTTGGCACGCCATCTCCTATGCAAGCGCACAAGCAGGCAAGCAGGCTGATGCAAAGTCTCGGAGCCACACTGCGAGCGAAGGCTCTTGACAAGCAACGGCTCTCTGAGGGCTCTCTATGCTAAGATCGCAATCGGGCAGTCGGGTCAATCATTTCTTTATTCGTGTTCGACACGTTATCCTCCCTCGAGGGGCATTACATGACAAGTCAGGGCTTGAGTAAGCTCATGGACAACAGCTCCTGCCCGCCGGATCGCTGAAGATCCGGATGCGTCCGGCGATCACGTCTTCAAGCCTTGGCTAGTGACCACAATCCGCAACTCCAGTACCTATCACCATTTTGCATGAAACGCAAGCCACTTCAAGCCTCTAGTGGGCAGGACCGATGAGGTTGTACGTTACTAATCGTCAGCATTTGCCTCTTGGGGGAACTGCACGGGTGGTTACTTGGTGTCGATGTTGGTGTGACCCAATGCCATGGTTCATTGCCCTGGTTCGCACAAGATGAGCTGCATGAAAGTTGCAGATGCCCACGAGGATTGAACAATTATCTCCTGTGAGCAGGGGGTAAACAGCGGTACTTCATCTACCTCTACCCAATACACCCAGTAGGGCGTACCTCGGAGGTCGTGTGCATCAAGTTCTCACTACAGCTTCCGACCGGCATCCAGAACATTTCCGGCGCCGGACCCTCTCTTCCATCCGCCGTTGCCGATCCCGGCCGGGTCTCCGAAACTCTTCAAGTCGGCCCACAGTCGCGTGCACCTCAACCTCAATTACGGGATCCGTATCACTAGAAAGATCGACCATGGACTTGGTAGCATCCCTCGCAACGTCGCATCAACCCGTATTCTGGGCAGGGGCCGATAGCCTTTCTAGGAAGGCCTAAGCCTGCCGATGCTTGGCTTGGGGACCATCGGCAACTCCATTGTGATAAACACCTTCCTCTTCGAGCCTTACAGAAGATGAATATTTAAACTCGCAACTCGCTGTTCTCAGTGCCTACGACACTTCGGAGAGCGTTTGATCCGTTCAACACCGCAACTATCGCTGCCGCCATGAGATTGAAGGCCCTACTCAGGCGCTGCGCCGGCTTGGGGACGGCATCGTTAGTGGTGGCTCAGGAGAAGTGCGGCTCGGGGCAGCCAGGACCCGAAGCCTATGAAGCTGCCGTAGCTCTCCGCGCCGCCCAGCGTGCAGAGGGACTGTCACCTTTATTCCTCCACAAGCGGGCGGAGGGTCTCCTCGTTTCGACGTATCTGCACGTTGTCGAAGACGAGGCTCATAGAGGGTTTGTCACCGATACGATGATCAGCGATCAGGTGCGCCGCAGGCCCAATCCCCGCACGAGCTGACTAAGTCCTGGGATTGATCTTGGTTGGAACAGATGAGAGTTCTCAACGACACCTTCGCCCCTCACAACATCCAATTCCTCGTCAAAGACATCACGCATACAGTCAACGACGCCTGGACAACGCAAGCCCGCATTAAGGAGAAAGCAGAGGCACTCCGCCGAGGCGCCTATGACGACCTCAACATCTACTTCGAGACAGGCATGATGACCAACCCCAACTCCGCGACGGGAATCTGCAGCTTCCCCGTCGAGGACCCCTGGAACACGGGAATCAACGGCACCTCGTGGTATACCTACGACGGCTGCCACGTCAGCGTCGGCACGATGCCCGGCGGACCGGGCGTGCCGTGGGACCCGGAGGATAACTTGGGCAAAACGGCGACGCATGAGGTCGGGCATTGGTTCGGGCTTTTTCATGTGTTTGATGGGTTTGATTGTGAGGGGGAAGGGGATTTGATTGATGATACGCCTGCGACGAAGGTTGCTACTGTTGGGTGTCCGGTGACTCAGGATTCTTGTCCTGAGCAGCCTGGGTTAGATCCCATTCATAATTATATGGACTACACGAAGCATGCATGGTAAGAATGGCTTATTCGGGGTCCTGTGGTTGCAAGGCTAACATTAAACAGTCTTTCGGAGTTTACTCCTTTGCAGGAGGAACGCATGTATCGATCCTTCAACACCTTGAGGTTAGGTCGATAATGTTTGCGTGCCTGACGCCGGACTATCTATTGTTTTCCCGGAGGAGTTTATTCCGAAGCCGGAAGAGGACGTGGCTTATGACCGACCTAGTCAAGTCTGCGTGTTAAACCTCACAGTCGTCGTTTCCGAGACACTTATGAAGACGTCCCACCCGATACTTTCAGCAAAAGCATTGGTGTTCAGCTCCAATTTCGGCATGTTATATCTACCGTTAGGCTTCATCGTTTTTTGTCTTGAGAACAACCTTTGCGAGAACCTACCACGGAAGGCCTTCAGCTCAGCGTTAGTATCTTGTCATCATTGACACAAATTTCAAGACATATTCTTTCTGTTGCTCCCGTGGCTTAAGACATGTCATCAAGCTGTGCGGAAGCGAGATCCTTTGGCAACTGACAACAAATTCCGTCATACGAACTGATCCCTGCGCTCCACGCTTTCAACTCCAGGTTTCGAAGAGCTACATGTCAAGTTGTCTCAGTCTTTGAGACTCGGACCACTGATCCCATGACTCCCAGAGGTTTGGCAGAAGCACTGACGACTCCCATTCGTTGACTTGCAACGGCTGAGATGCAGCCATCCGGCGTGGTGTGCCATCTAGTGCCCTCTTGCGTGAAGCTGAACTCGTGTTCGGAGAGATTTTGGAAAATCTTACTTGATGGTAAGCCACTGACACAGAATATGGTTTTTATCAAAAAGAGCATGGAAAGTCTTTCATAGTGTCCGAGAGGAGTATAAAGCCGTGCTATGAGATGCAAGATTGAGAATCAAAACAGAGTCTCCACGGACCAATTGACCAACCCTATTTAACTCGTTCAAACTTAGTACATCGTCAAACATAATGTTTGTCTCAACTACACTCTCAATCCTCCTCGCGGTGCTCGCCATCGGGACCCATGCAACAACTACCCTCGCAAGATGCAACGCAGACAAGTACTATTCCATGCTTCCGATTATCTATCACGATAACTAACACCACCAAGCTGCTACCGCGCCCTCTTCCCATGCCCCTCCCCGTCCGCAGTCTCCTCCGCCTCCGCCTTCTGCGCAACCCTTACAGCAGGCGGCGCAACGGCAGCAAACTTTCCCACCCGCGCAACCTCCGCCTGCGGCACCTTCGCCTCCCGCTACATCTCCGCCTGCGCCTGCGGCCCCACCTGCACGCCCACGCCGACTCCCCCGTGCGGCAGCCCTTCCGGCACAAACCTCCTCACCAACAGCGACTTCGAATGCGGCATCAGCCCCTGGATCGTCCAGAATCTAGACCGATACGCTCGCGTCGGCGTCACATCGGCAGCATCCCACACGGGAACGCACTCCTTTGAGTCCCGGCTGCTGTATGATAGAAACTCGCAGGACCCGGTCGTCAGCGCGCGGCTTTCGACGCCCGTGTTTTCCGTGCAGCCGGGTGTGCCGTATAAGCTGAGGTTCTGGTCGTATTTTGATAACCATGCGGCGGGGTTTATCGGGATCCAGTTTAATGGCCAGCCCGAGAGGACGCTGGACGCGGGTGATGCGGGTGGGTGGGGGATTTGGAAGGTATTTGAGGTGGAGTATACGCCGGTGACGGATAAGCTTGATATCACGCTCGAGTTCTTGTACGGGCGGGTTGCGAGTGTTGTTCGGGTTGATGGGGTTGAGTTTGGATACCTCCATTAGATGGTGGGATCGACGTAAGTTTGGTAGGCTACGTACACGGATTGTTCAACGCGTAGCTTGCGCGGCAATCATCTCGATGCTAAGCTTTTCCATCTGACTTGGCTTTTCCTACAGTCCTTGGCGAGCGGGTAGCGGCAATTATGGAGTGCAAGGTAGAGTACCTTTGAGACAAGTTGAACGTCGACATGTGGAGGCAATTGCGTTTTATAGCTGCTTAATGAAGATTCATGCATACATCGTTGATTGCTGCCAAAGATTTGATTGGGTGAAACATCAGAAGGTTTTCGAGACGAGGAAAGGTGGATTGTGGATATCGCAGTGATGCATCAACATGCATGCATTTCACCTTCTACCCACGGCCCGGTCCGAGAGATTAGTTCGCATGGAGATGTGATGCGGGAACTTCTGTAATTCCCATGCATAAAGGGAAGGGCCGACGGAGGAAGGTGTCTATCGTGAGGTTTAGAAACAATGGTTCACATATGACCGTCGTGATAGTCGTGATAAGAGACCCACATCGCGCTATGTTTTGTCTGCAAGTGAGTGGAGATAGCTTCCACATTCGCCGATGATGCACTCGAACGCCATGTAACTCTGAACCGGGCAACTCCCATCGGCCTATCTACTCTGGCCATTTCCAATGGCAAGTGCTACGAGTCAATGATTTGAATCACTCAGCGTCACTGGTGATTAGTGTCCGGTAGTGATAGACACAAAAGTGTCCGGATCAGAGCCGAGGACAATGCTACGGTACTTACGTCTTACCTGCCCCTTCGGAACTTGCCAGACAGCGCCCGGTGATATTGTAGCAGATAATCCGATGCATATGAACAAAAGCAGCCGTGCAGAACTTGTTACCTGAACCAGCAGTAGCAACGACACCTTCTGGATTTGATCTGAGTTGGCGCCATGTTTGCTCTAAGTTCTGCCCATTGTCTTGTCAGCTAGCAAACTTCTAGAGGCGAGGCCGTAGAATTAACCACGGAGGCATTGGTAATCACCTATTGACTGACTTCTTGTGTTGCGGGAGAGCTTGGTCCTGGACGTCTTTGCAAGCAATTGATACTTGACCAATATGTATGATCGCGTCCTGGATCTCTAGGTCAAGACTTCAAAGTCTACCTCGTAACAGCATCTTATCCAAATCGGCTGTGTTCGACGAGCATACAAAGAACAACATGGTTGAATCCATATCCAAATTCGGGCTCGCTCGCCACACCCTTATCTTCGATTCCTTAATGAGAACCAGGCAAAGATCTCACTGGGAACATACAAATCCGCTACCAAGCTAGCCATCTTGGCGTCGGAAAAGGCCAAGAATGCATCTTTAATGTCTCTACCCATGCGGAAAGGAATCTTTTGCGCTGATAGCCGTTCATGGCCATTTTGATACGAGTAGCTAGATCTGTCCCGAGCACAGTTACACTGATGAAGCCTAATTCCGGCGCTGGTGTCATTAAGCTTTCAGGAATCCGCACTGCTGGGTCCAGAGCCGCCAAGATAGGATTGAAATCTCTCGTTCAGCTATGAGCGGCCACAAGCGTCCAGAGTGATTGATGACGCGTGGCCCCAATAGGATGGCATGACCCTCGCATCTGCACGATAGTGTTGTCTTTCGACGAGCCACTACTGAACTGCCATTCTCGTCTGTGCAACACTGCATAATCGCGAGCTTTGTCAGATATGATGCTGCTCCAGAAGATGTCGAGACTAATTTGAACATTCTCTTGGGATCCAGTTCGAAACGAGACGGAGATGTGACAAGCATCGACGAAGCTGCTGGGGACTGGTGCTATGACAGAGAACGATATCATGGGCGAATAAGAAAGCATTGGTGCTTTTCCGTCCCCACGTCTTCAATCTCACATCTCTCAAACAAGCCCACATGCCAGTAAGCAACGCGATTCCCCACCGTCTTGATGGAACTGCGCAACAAAAGCCACCAAGCCAACCGGGTCTCTTCAAGCTCGCGCATGCGGCTGTCGCGCAATCTATGAATCCAATGAACACACAGGGAATACGACCCCCGGCTGGATTTCCACCAACGGCAAAGCCATGTCTCGTTCATGTCTTGCCACCTATCCCAGCCGGCTTTCTCCAATACCGTCGACCTGCTCGAACCAGCCTCCTGCAATGTGACTCTAGCAAATGCTGGCAAGAGCAGCATGTTGGCCCCTGCGGACATGACGGATACCACCACACGGATAAGGTATCGGCATCTGATCAAGAATCCGTCTTGCAGTCCGACATTTCCGACTAGCAATGGCACCATTTCCCCGCACTCTGCGGCTGCCAAGTCTGGGGTTAGTGTGTGTTTGGGCCGGGGTTTTTTGGGTCTGGGGTAGAGCCGGATGATCCCAGCCTTTCTCCGCAGTGGGCTTGATCTGTCCCCTTTGTATTAAGAGGAGGTCCTGGTCAGATATAAGTATCCGTGAGCAGAAATGTTCATCTGTGAAGTTTCTTGAGACGAAACGGTTCAGAGAGCTGGAAGAAGCAACCTGTCCGTCATCTCAAAGTTGCAGAGCGTCTGTCGCCATTGCTCTTGTTGTTTTCCTGCCCTCGAATCATCCAGACGCCACAGACTCCGTTCAACATGGCCACGCATAGGAGCTCCATCGAAAAGAACGATGCCGTCTTTGGCCACAGACCTTCTGGAGAAGCTCATCTCGAAAAGGTACCGGAGGCCATCGAAGTTGGTCCCTACCGCGTGTATGGATTGACCCCTGAAGATGCCGACTTCTTCAACAACTACCCCGAAGAGAAGCGGAAGAAGACTTTCCACAAGGTGGGTAGCTGGGAATGCTGAATCACCACGTTTATACCGACTGACAGGCGAGAATAGGTTGACGTTCGTCTCATTCCCATGCTGGCTTTGCTTTACTTGATCTGCCACATCGATCGCGCCAATATCGGTAATGCCAAGATTGAAGGCATGGTGGAGGACCTGGGCATGTCTGGTGTGCAGTACAACACTGTCCTATCTATCTGTGAGTGCCAGAATCGGAGCCTTGGCCTTGGAACTGGAATGACATTTCGCTTACTCGTCTTAAACAGTCTTCATCCCCTATGTCCTCTTTGAGGTTCCCAGTAACATCATCCTCAAGAAAGTCAAGCGTCCTTCGTACTACCTCGGCACCCTTACCCTCTGCTGGGGTATCATCATGACCTGCACGGGACTGGTTCGCAACTTTGGTGGATTGATGGTTACTCGCATTCTTCTCGGCGTCTTTGAGTAGGTTCCGCAAATTTCGTGATTTAAGTACTCTGCCTGACATCCGCAGGGCTGGATTCTTCCCTGGCGCAATTTACCTCACTTCTTACTGGTACATGGTGAGTACACAGGTTGGAACGCTCGTCTGCCGCGTACTTCTAACAAACATCTCTAGCCCAAAGATCTCGCGGTCCGAATCTCGTACTTCTACTGCGCCAGCGCCTTGTCCGGAGCCTTCTCCGGTCTCCTCGCCGCCGCCATTGCCGAAATGGACGGTGTCGCCGGCCTCGAAGGCTGGCGCTGGATCTTCATCCTCGAGGGTCTCGCCACCGTCGCCATGGGGGCCTGCTGCTTCTTCTTCCTGATCGATACCCCGACCCTCTCGAAGCGCTGGCTCGAGCCTGAGGAGATCCGATACCTCGAGCTCTCAATCTTCATCAAGTCGGGCGGCGGTGGCCGCGAGGAGGCCGGTGCTGGGGGCAAGGTCAACTGGAGGGATCTCAAGATGAACCTGACCAACTGGAGAATCTACGTCCAGGCGTACTTTTTGGTGTGCCAGTCGGCTCTGTCGTACGGTATCAAGTTCACCCTGCCTACCATCACCAAGGCCATGGGGTTCGCGAATACGCAGGCCCAGCTTCTCTCTGCGCCGCCCTACGTCGCTGCCGCCATCTCCGCCATTACCTTTGCTAAGATTTCTGATCGATTCTTCTGGCGCATGCCCTTCTTAGCGATCCCTCTTGCCATCGTCGCTATTGCGTACGCCATCATTCTGTCTCTGAACGGAGCGCTCGAGGCGAAGAAGGGAGTCGCCTACTTCTCCGTCGTCCTCGCCGTTGTCGGAATCTACCCCATTCAAGCTGCAGCCGCGTCCTGGAACGCCAACAACATCGCCCCCGCGTCCCGAAGAGCGATTGGTATCGCGCTGATGAACTGCGTTGGCAACGTCGGTGGCATTGTAGGCAGCTTCATGTACCTGGAGAGCGAGAAGCCCAAGTACCCAACCGGCTTCGGCTTGAGTTTGGCCTTTGGTGGATCTGGACTGATTGTAGCTCTCTTGCTCGAGTGGAGTTACAAGTCAGCCAACGCACGCAAGGCTGCGATTGCGGAGGAGGCGAAGACGAAGTACACTGAGGAGGAGCTGTTCAACTTGGGAGATAGGTCGCCCTTATTCAAGTATGTGCTTTGAGGACGAAGAAGGAATTTGGCATTGCAACTGTCCCGACTTGAAAGAGTCGATGTGTTTGAAGCGCTGTAGTTAGGATTACGAACAAAGCGAATCTTATTATGAACAATCCTAAGTTGCACCTTACCTTTTGTTTGATCAAAATTTCCTGCTCAAGTCGACTGTAAAACGTACACCATGGCAACTTATCGCCGAACCCGGTTCATCTTCCGACTTTTCGGGATTTGAGACGGCGCGGCCCGGGAATCGGTCCCGGCGAGGACATGAGTCCGGAGAACAGCCGGCAATACGGGGAAAGCACCATCAAAAAGACAAGAGTGTCTTGACCTCACATTGGCGCTTAAAGAGCGGCCGAGATCGATGGAAACATGCCGACAACGCTGTGCAATTGTTTGTCGGCGCTGTACCCCAATGTCAGCCAGATTGTCGAAGCCACACACATCATCTCAGTTGTTTGTTGCCAGGAATCTCGAACCACAGCAGCGGCATCGCCCATGAAGACTCACGGAGGCAGGGAGAGGCTAAATATAAGTGGATTGATATTCTAAACCACCCGCGACCGTCCGGCTTGAATCTGAAGATTGCTCATGTCTTCTCCCATTGAGATTTTACCTTTCCGAGAACGGATAGGATCCACTCCGGCAAACATCAACCGGGCGATAACGCCAATGAGATGATTTCATTACACATCGCGGACACCGACTCCGGCGCCACCCTCCATCGGGTCTAGAGCGCTGACTTTGCAGCTGTCAATTGACGAGTCAATCTGGCCTGTTTGCTTCCCAGGTGTCTGGCTGCAGTGCTCCTCGAGTCCTTGTCGCTGCCGCGCCCTTCATGCGTTCATGGCCTAGCGAGCAACGGCAACCCCATCCTATTCCCGGCGGGGACCAACAGCAAGCAAAAACTCAAACACGCCCAACACGCGCTTCGGTTCGGAGAACTCGAGAAAGGATTGCTCTCACTGCTTGCCAAACACCCATATCCCCGCGGGGTCTTACTCTATACGGCTTTTGGTGAAATCACCTTGATGATTCAGGTGTTAGCTTTGTCAACCACATTACCCCCGAGAACGTGAGTCAATCGAAACAGAAAAAACGGTCTTCGGCCCGCCGAGAAGCGAACTAAATAACCCCGCGAAACTCGTCAAACCCGTCATTACTTGCCGAGGCAGCTGGCGTACTTTCTCTCTTCCTTTCCGAAACCTGTTCTGTCTTGTCGCAAAACTCCCATCTCTCAGTTTGCCAAGCACGAAACTTGCACCTTTCGTCTTGTCGCTGGGGCCCGGTATGCCTTCTCACTCTGATTCTTCCAGTCAACAGGATAGCCACGATGCCGTGGTACGGATGCCTGACAGTGCTTCCAGGGCAGAGGAGAATGAGAAGAATGGCTCTTCGGCGGCGAGCCCTGTCAGTCAACGGCCGAGTGAGCAGGTAGAGTTCAAAGAGGGCGGCTATGGATGGTAAGTTGCGCTCTCTATGGTGATCGCATACTGATGAGACTTGAGTCACTGACATGATGACAGGGTCGTCGTAGGCTGTGTCTTTCTCATCAACGCTCACACCTGGGGCTTAAACTCAGTGAGTTATCATACAACACTATCCGTTTCACTTTGAATAGCAGAGTTCTCACACTCAAATCTAGTCTTATGCCGTGTTCCTCGCCTACTACCTCAACTCCGGAGCGTTTCCCGGCGCAAGCCCAATCTCACTCGCCTTCGTCGGCGGGCTGTCCTTCTCCGTCGGTGAGCCTTCTCCCCAATCCCCAAACTTCTCCACGTCATCTCGCTCACTCACCACAATCAGCCCTTCTCATCGCCCCGATTGTCACCTTCTGCATCCCTCGCATAGGCACGCAACCGACCCTCGGCATCGGTGTCGTGATCCAAGCGTAAGCCGGCCCGCTCACCCCCTTCTCAACCCCCGACGTCTTCCGAGACGAACGGAATTTCCGTCACCGGGTTCCTAACTCGCTTCCTAGGGCCGCTCTCATTGGTGCATCGTTCACGAGCCAGATATGGCACCTGCTGCTCTCTCAAGGCATCGGCTTCGGCATCGGCATGGGATTCACCTTTAACTCGACCGTCGGTGTGGTCCCGCAATGGTTCGTCGTGCGCCGCTCGTTTGCAAACTCCATCGCCACGGCTGGCTCCGGCCTGGGAGGTCTTATCTACTCCCTGGCTTCCAACGCCATGATCCGTAACATCGGTTTGCCCTGGGCGTTCCGAATCCTCGCCATCTTGTCGTTCGTTGTCAATGGCGCGTGTTGTTTGATGATGAAGGACCGGAACAAGGCCCTCGGCAGCGTCCATGTCGCGTTTCACAAGGACATCTTCAAGAGGATTGAGTTTTGGTTGTTTGTCGCGTGGGGCTTCTTCGGACTCTTTGGATACGTCATCTCTGTGTTCTCACTGGCGGACTATGCGCAAACAGTCGGGTTCAGTGCTAGCCAAGGGTCTATTGTGTCGGCTATGTTCAACCGTAAGTTGCCCTCCCCATCCCACACATCCCCGTGAAAGTCAAGCTGAGTTCTTTGGCAAAGTGTCTCAAGGTATTGGCCGCCCGGTTATCGGTCTGGTTAGCGACCGCTTTGGCCGCATCAATGTAGCCGGGCTAGGCACCATCATTGCCGGTCTCGCTACGTTCTTGCTCTGGATTCTCGCCGCCAAGCACTTTGCAGGCCTCATTGTCTTCGCCCTCTTTGGCGCATTCGCCGGCGTGCTCTGGCCGACGGTTGCACCAGTTGGTGCTGAGGTGGTCGGAATGCAGCTGCTTCCATCAGCACTGTCTATCTTCTGGATTATCCTCGTTATCCCGGCAACGTTCGCCGAACCCATAGCTCTGACAATCAAAGGCTCCGGACTGAACGCGTATCTCCCTGTTCAGCTGTTCACGGGATTTATGTACGTTGCGGCGTTCATCTCTAGTAAGTCGTTGCAAATGCCTCCATCCATCTATCCGCTCCGTTTGACTAATCGCTCACAGTCTGGTTCCTCCGCGTGTGGAAAATACGGGAGCTTGAGACCCTGGCCCTATCGGAAGAAGAGCAAGACGACGCTCTGCGCAACAACGATGCTGTCTCGCTGACAACTTCACGACGTACAGGACCCAAACCTGGTATGATGAAGTCGCTACTCAAGGGCATGCTCACTATTCAGCGAGTCTAGTGATTTGCAGATGACGGGATTGGAGAATCGTGCATTATCCTGGACATCCGGACCATGTCTAATGTAATCTAATAACGCTACTTGTAAACAAACTTCATAATTCTCACACACTTGGTACGACCCTCCAAGCACCCGGAATGAAACTAGCCATCAGTCCAAATATGACTCTAGGGAGGATCTCGGGCCCATATCTCGAGAAGCCCGCCTTCGCCATTCCTGATGTAACACCAACCGCACTGGTCTCCTTGTACGCCTCCTCGGTTGCCAACTCTGCGAATGCCGCGCCAAGATCCGGATACGAGCACGCGAGGCCAACCGATTCCGTGCTGATGGTGTGCCCACTCGCCTCTTCGTCAATGATGGCGGGCGGCTGCACCAGCAACAGTAGCAACAGCTCCGGCTCGGCCTGCAGGTTCGCGTGCGCCTTGCGCAGGTCCGCGTAGGGCCAGTAGAAGGCGTTCTGGATCATCCATCTCACGAGCCACGGCTGCCTCGCCGCGAATCGCTCGTTCCATGTTGCGGAGGAGAGGAGGATGAACCATGGCTTCTTCCAGTCTGCTCCCCCTTCCTTTTTGAGCTGCTTCAGTGCTGAGACGATTGTCGTTGTTGAGTCTTGAAGAACGCTGACGGTAGGCTTGTTATCGTTCTCGCCCAGGGCACAGATGATTGTGTCGGCGCCGATGAGACAAGCTTTGACGCGAGTCTCGTCGGTGACTTGTCCCTCGATGATTTCGACGCTCTCATCCGTCTTGAATTGTGGAAAGGTCTTGATGAGCTTTTCGCGGGAACGCACAAAGATCTTCATATGAGAAAAGGAATTCGTGGATCTGGCAAGAAGGGCTTTCAATGTCTCACTCCCGGTGCGGCCGGTTGCGCCGAAGATGGCCAGGGTTCGGCCTGAAGTTGATGGCTTTGCATCAGATGGCATATTGAGTATGCGGGGATAAGGTTAGCTTTTTCGTGAGAGTTTGCTAGAAGCTTGATCGAGAGATTGTCAGATAGACTCGCGGGCCGCGAACCTATTTATTGAAAGCTTCTCTCTTGAACACAATGATGCCATGCCGGCATGGCAAACATGAAAGTCGGTGTCCATGCCGGCCCCTTAATTGTCACCGACCGGAACGGCACCGCCCCGGACATTTATAAAAAGTTAGCCCGCTTGGGAACTTTTAATATCTGAAACAGATAAGAGAACAGGACCCATCGTTTATGATTGGCAAACAAGGTGCGTCAAGTTAGGACACTACAACAATAGGCACGGCTCGAGGCCGTGCGGGTTGGCACGTCTTAGCTCGCGGGATCTTCGTCATAGACTTTAGACGCAGTGCAACACTACTAAGTAACACGCAGTTCGGAATCAAGCAAACAAGCGTCATAGGTAACTGCAGCGCGTGGGGTTACGTGGCTATGTAACCCACCTTAGATGCCATGAGTCCTTCGTACTTCGTTTTCGTTACAAGCGATTTCGAGGGTGCAAGATTTTAGGTCGGTGGACGGTGGCTGGAAATGTCCGTCGTGAAAGTCCGTTTTTTGTCCGGTCGCCGCACCACGTTCTTCTCGGCGGCTGAAAAGCTTGTACCGACGACGAGTCGAGCCGAACATCGGCCGACTTGCAGTCTCATCGGTGCCGGTTCTACATGATAGCGCACTTGGGCCTTCGGCGATGCACGGAAGCAAAATGCACCCATTGACGCGAGTAGCCCTGTCACTTTTGGCACACGATTTACGATTTGCAGCCCATTTTTTATCTGCTTATATAATAGACGGAGTTCACTCAAGAGTATTTTTGGTTTGCAATCAAGTTAAAGTCTATACAACGAAGTCTCATTTAAATCTGCCTAGAGAAATACAATTCGTCATTTCCCACTGTTGGCCACAATATCGGGTAACGCAAGTTTCAAGGGATTTCGGAAAAGTACGTATATCCTCTGCCGACCGGTAATCTACCGCATGTAGGTTTGTCGAACTCGTCATGAAAGAGTGCTCGGTATCGCTTCATCGGTCAAGAAAAGATGGAGATCACTTCTGTCAAACACCTGGATAACTGGGATTGTCGGATGATGTTTGTTGCGTTACAGCCATATGGACAGATTTCAGCTCATACACTCACTACGAATCTTACATATCATACTAGAGAAGAGAAGCTTCTTGGAGGGCGAAGGAGGATCTGGCTGCTTCCTGCAGCCCCTAAACAAGCATGTGCTTGGATACAAAGAGTCAAGGACTGTTCTCGAAATTTGCTTGTATTGGTTTGTACATTTCCAGCAACTATATCAGCCGGAAATTACATATTTACAACAACCAGCGATGCATGCAGCATATGCAGCGCGCCTGAGGTAACTATCACCGGAGGCAATAGGGAAGGACATGATATGAAGAATAATCAAAGACCTAGGTTTATTTAGTAAAGTGCAGTCCGTCGCTATGTCGGGGGCAAGATGCTCACCATTTTCTGAAGCAAAGTCGAATGAAAGCTCGGAATGACAACTATTTAAGGGCAAGAGCTTCCAATGCAGAAGTACTCGCCGTTACCAATAGGCTTGCAGCTGCAGCCGCGCGCCTGGATCTCGGTGTCTCTCTTGGTCATGGCGGCCGTAGGGATGAAGTCCTTGGGGCAAAGTTTGCCGCTGCACAACCACTCGTCGCCGATCTTGTGGCAAGAGCACTGCCTGGCGACGAGCTCGGCTTCGGGAGCGGGAGCTGCAGCCGCGAGGGCGGCGAAGAGAGTGGCGAAGGTGAGGATGGAGAATTTCATGTTGTTCGTATGTTTTAGTGAGCTGACTGATTGATTGCGGAGACGTAGTTGAATGTATTTGGAGCTGTGAGTTGTTGGAAGTTGCAATTTGCTGTATCGATGACAACAGAAGGGGACTATTTATGTTTCAATGGTAACTCGGCATCGGCGACTATCTCACGTCTCAATTGGGTTATACAAAGTCTAGAAACTGCTTCGGCCTGTTCGCAATCGTTTTGAACGCCTTGAACTTTTGCGAGCTTCCCCTTCTGGTCAATGTGATTCTGCAACTCAATTCTCAGTTTCGCCCAGTTTTGCTGAGACTGGAGCTATCTTACCGCTATCTTACCTCAATAGCTTGTGGTTATTCGCGAGTGATTCTGTTGATTGGAAGAAGCGCTTTTCGAAGGATCACGCATGTGGTGGCCTTTTGCGAAGCTGTGCCTCTCAAAGTGGCACAGCCATACCCGATCCAGCAGGTCATTAAAGCAGATCCGCAGTTAGTATTGCTAGTGTTGCCTTCAAAGGCTTACGAAATCTGAGACCTACCTAGTTCTTCTGAGAAAACCATTCACGCCGGGCACTTATATTTGGGTTGTCAACATGTCCTGGGAACTTTTGAACTCATAGTCTGTGTCGTGACGGTTGATGGTGGCATATCGCCCACTAGAGAACCCATTGTCAAATCTGTGAGACAGGGAGAGAGGTAAAGTCACAGGCAGGCCTCGGGAGCTTGGGTATGCCAAGCAATGCTATCCAATAAACTATGGTTAGACCAATAGAACCTGGGGCTGCAAGTGTATGTCCCAGATCCTGCCAACGGTCCAGTCTAGACCTTCATCCGCCCGGAGTTCCGCGAACTCGCCAAGCCCTATAACATGCGTGACTCGTGAGATGCCAAGCAGTAGGCTGATGCACACCAGAGGCGCGGAATACCACATTCCCGTTTAGAACTATGCTCTGAGTACGATACAGTCTGGTAGTTGATTGGATCATCGTCGGCAGTAGGCCCACAGGACGACTCTTTCTGTTAGTAGCGGGTTATGACCAAGGCCGTCGACGCATTATCATCGTTTACTAGAGCATCTGAAAGTCTGTTAATATTCGTACTAAGTATGACCACAAATGATCGTGGCGTAGAATTGAACACTCCCGCTCCCTCTGTCTTCGCAGCTTGTAGGTTGTTGTGCCTCAAAAGCCGCCAACGTTTTGAACATCTGCCTCCGACTTAGAAAAACCTTCAGGGTTTCTTTCTACTCCAGCAACTCCAGATCAAATTCCCGAACCAAGATGCTACCACCCAGACGAGTCTTGGCCCAGTTGAAGACGCTGAATCGATAGCCCATGAAGAAGAACCACTCATTGTTCAGTTCGTAAACGGGTCCAAGCTGTTCAAAGTTATCACCGTCGGTGCTGAACCAAAAGGTAGCGTTAGGCCACGCGCTCGATCCGGCCACAGGTGGTGAAATATCGGCCTTGATACGGAGCCATAGATCGCCGCCAGAGATGGTAGGTCCTTCCGCCTTGACATATCCGTTGGAGGTTGTCACCCAGTCCGTCAATGAGTCTCGCACGACCATACTGATCTCGTCAACGTACACGAGCTTAGACACGCCATCCACTTTGTGAATCCCGATATAAGCGCTGAGTTGGCGCAGTGCTGCTACACCTGCCTGGTCTCCGTCCACCATTCCAGAAATATCGAGTTGGAACGTGGCCTGGCTTCTGGGACCGATGATTCGTTGAGTGAGGGTGTTTGCGGCTCCATACAGCCCCTCGCATACTGTTGCAGTTTGGAGTGTGAGACCATCAGGCCCCAAGCTCCAGGCATCGTTGTCGGGGTTGTGGTTCCACTCCCAGCGGGGGTTCAACGCGTCACCCTCGAACTTGTCGACATAAGATCCAACTCCCTGGACTGTTTTCGAGGTTGTGACAGGCTTCGCGTATTCGACACCCCAACCGCCGTTTGCATCTGTGACCACGGAAGGCCAACCTTCGGCGTCAAACTCGACAGGGGCGAGAACGGGAGCACGGCCACCGGGGTACACGTCGATGAAGGCCATGTAATACCACTTTCCATCCTCAGTCGAGACAAGGCCACCCTGGTGCGGCGCTCCTGCACCCTCGACGGGAGCCTTCATCTGCGCGATCACCTGTCGAATTTCATACGGACCCCAGGGACCCGACGTAGATTTCAAAACGTGCTGCTCGTCGCCAGGCTTGGTAACCCAAATGTAATAATTGCCGTTGATGTGGTAGAATCTCGAGCCCTCGATGTACCTGTGGGCATCTTCAGTGTACACAAGCTAGTAGGAGTCAGCATCTGCAGGAAAGCCATGGGAATTTGCCAACATACCTCGTTGCGGACCTCCGTGAAGCCATCAGGTGACAGCTGTGCAAGACGGATGTCGACGGCACCGTAAGCGATGTACATGGTGTCATCGCTATCAATCAACAACCCGAGGTCATAGTAACATTTCGGAATGGGGTCGTGATGAGTCCACGGCCCCTCTGGGCTAGACGCAGTGTAGATGTGCGTCTCATCCGTGCCTTGGATGCAGCCATACCAGTAAAAGACACCATTGCTTTCGCGATAGCCCAGAGAAGACGCCCAGACGCCGTTGACGTAGCCCGCACTGTCACTGCCATTGAGCGAGAACTTCGGGCCAGGAAGTTCGGGCACCGAGTGGGAGACGAACTCCCAGTTGGCGAGGTCGTAGGATCTGAGCAGTGGTGCGCCCGGAGAGTAGTGCATTGTCGAAGCACTATAGTAGTACGTGTCTCCGACTCGAAAGACTTCATCGTCGGCAAGGTCGGCCCATATCACTGGGTTGGAAAAGGTGGCTTCCTGGCGGGGAGCCAGTGCCTGGCCGAGCTGGCTGAGGCCAAGAAGGGCGAGAGAGAAGAGAGTAGACACACGGAGTGTCATAGTGACTGGTTGAAGGTGACGAAGAGATTCTTTCGAGTGATTCCAGGTCAGGAACGAAAGGCATGAGAATGAAGGTCCGGGATGCCCACTATCTTTCATGAGAGTTCACTTCATTGATTTAAATATCCAGCATTCTCCAGCTCCCAGTTTGAGGTTAGACATTCTATCTAGCCTCAAACTATGTCGATTTGAGTTTTAGGCAGAACTATTAGCCTCTCTGGACGCTCAATCGCTAACATCGTACAGAGATCGTGCGAGGCGGCAAAGTCGGCTACCGGATCAGACGACAAGATTCCGCATGAAGACGAGGTTTACAGGATGGCCACCACTTCTCCCGAATATGATCCGATAGCATGCTACCTCCAGAATTCCGACTTAATCCTCTGTTTTGCAATGTACCATAGAAAGTCATGTGATTTTGTAATCTTAGGAAAATCCAACCGCAAGTGAATCATTAGATCGGAAGGATGAAGTCGATGAACTATGCGGGGTGCATGTGCAATTATGTAGCTTTCGGCAGTACAATACTGGCGATCCACCGTGCCAACGTGGTATTCAACAGGCGTGGTCAAGTTCTTTTTGATCTAGCCGGATGCATGAGATGAACACTCTGTGCCAAACGGATCGGGCCGCCTGTCAAGCACGTTGCGCTTCTGTTCCATTATGGGCTCGGCAATCGGCTAATATGGCGTTGTTTGTAAGCTTAAACGTCTCTTACCTACTCAAGCGATCTATTTCAATTGGACAATCGTTCAATTATGGAAACCTTGCTTCATGTTCCTTTAGTATTGTCACCGGGCCTGCCCTGCCTTGCCCTGCGCATTCTTAGCAAGACCTTCTTCAGTGGTATCAAGGGCTGCATACTTTTGAGACTCGGCGTCAGGACTGATGGCGGGGAAGAGCTTCCCCACACAAAAGCGAATCGATCGTTCCTTGCATCATGATGCTAGGTGAGAGGCAGATCATTTAGCCGGAGTTTGTGGTACCACCTAACGCATCTCAACAATGGGAGTGAAGTTCGGCAAGAAAGAATGTGAATCCTCTCCCTGACATTCTGATGAACATGTAAATATGACCTCGTCCTTCTCAAGTCAGTAAATTCTCGAGGGGTATATAGTGTAACAAGTAGACCACGCCCACTCTGTCTAGACTGTCAATGCGCTTGTTCATCACCTCGAGTACCTTGTAACCTTCAATCTCTTTCCAAATGATTCCTCACTTGGGCCGTCTGGTCCTCGGACTTTCTCTTACTTTTTGGGCAGCTCTAGCAGCAGCTGATAACTCAACATTCTACAACCCAATCCTGCCCGGTTGGCACTCCGATCCGTCATGTATCCACGTTGATAGCACCTTCTACTGCGTCACCTCCAGTTTCATCACTTTCCCTGGTCTACCGATATACGCCTCCAAAGACCTGGTCAATTGGAAATTGATAAGTCATGCCTGGAACCGACAAAGTCAAATGCCCAACGTTACTCAGCAAACCAAAGGCATGTAAAATGACTTCTTTCGATGGACGATCGAAATTCTTGAATCTTCACTGACGTTGACTCAAAGGACAACAAGAAGGCTTCTACGCTGCAACTCTTCGGCATCATGATGGGGAATTCTGGGTGGTATGCGAGTACCTCGGCCTGCCCGACGCAATGCTGGGGACAGTCTTCAAAACGAGCGATCCGTTCGACGCAGACAATTGGAGTGATCCTTACACATTCCCGACTCCCAACGGAGATTTGGATCTTTTCTGGGACGACGACGGAAAGATGTACATCCCGGGAGGCGGCCACGTTCTCCTCGACGTCGACCTCGAGACAGGGACAGTTGTCAACAACACTTTTCTCTGGGCTGGCACCGGCGGCGTGTGGCCTGAAGGTCCCCACCTCTATCGCAAGGACGGCTGGTACTACATCTCTGCCGCCGAGGGAGGGACCGAGACTGGGCACTACCAGGTCATGGCTCGATCTTCCAGCCTGACGGGCCCGTACGAGCCGTGCCCGTACAACCCGGTCTTGACCAACAAGGGTACCAATGAGTATTTCCAGGTAGGCAAATATGTTCATGTGTGGCAATTGGTACTCAGCTCTGACTTTGTGACAACAGACCATCGGCCACGCAGATCTATTCCAAGACTCTGATGGAAACTGGTGGGGCGTCGCACTTGCGACCCGTTCCGGGCCAGAATGGAGAATCTATCCCATGGGCCGAGAAACAGTCCTGTACCCAGTCACCTGGCGAGAAGGCGAGTGGCCGATACTGGAACCTGTTCGAGGTAAGATGTCAGGTTGGCAGATGCCCCCAGCATCCAGAGACCTCCCGGGAGACGGCCCATTCAACTCGGACCCCGACGCGTACGACTTCACGACACTGAGCGTTATCCCTCGGAATCTCATCCACTGGAGAGTTCCAACTGACGGCGCCTTTTCGATTGATAGCTCGAGAGGACTTCATATTGTGCCTAGTCGCGCGAACCTCACGGGCGATAATGCGGATCTGGATGGTCGTTCGGGGCTCTCTTTCATTGGACGACCTCAGACCGACTCTCTTTTTACGTTCGAAGCCATCATTGATGCACCGCTGACTGAGGTTGACCAAGAAACTGGCGTTACTTTGTTCCTGACGCAGTTCAACCACGTCGATGTCGGGGTAGTGATCCTACCCAAGGCCGACAGCTCCGGAGGAAGCGATCGCATGCTACACTTTAGGGCCACGGGAGAAGATGCTCCGGCAGAAAATATTGTCAAGGTACCTGAAGCGTGGGGAGAGGACTCGATCCGCTTTCAGATTGCCACAGTCAACAACACTCACTACACAATGGCCGCATCCCAAGCCTCTCAACCTGACCAGCAAGTCGTTATGAGTACGTTCTCAGCAAGATTGGTCAGTGGACAGAGTGGTCCTTTCACCGGATCGTTGGTCGGTGTTTATGCCACCTGTAATGGCGCTGGCTCGGGAGTTGATTGCCCATCCGGAGGTGATAGCTGGGTGAAGGAATGGCTTTACGAGGGCAAAGGTCAATACTACACAGCAACGGACCTTGTTCCAGAGTAGCGTGTGTCGGTAAATTTGATATTTAAAGGCTGTGTTCTGTAGTCTTGAGATTCAATCATCATCTGCTGTCCTCATCTCTTTGTTGGCCTGCTTCCAGATCTCTTTCATCGTGACCTCCCCCTCGGCGCCTCTCCATTTCCTCCCATCCAAGTGCCTGAGACACAACTGCTTTCCTTCATCAGGGTAGAACAACCAACAAGCCCATCTCGCCCACATTCCCTGCTCCTTCATCTGAGTCCGCGCCCGGTGCCCAATCGTATCCTCGATAAATGCCCCTCTAGGTATCGCCAGCCGCGTCGGAAAGACACGCGTCAAGTAGTGCTCCGTCGCTGCGATGTGGGGTTTATCATGCCAAAAGAACATAGGGGTCAACGGCACCTCCGTCCCGGGATGTGATTCTGACGTAAAGATTCTCTTCAGCTTGTTCGTCAACGTTCTAAGATGGGGAAACTCCTGCGCGTGAGCAGTTTCGGCATACTTCAGCATCCGCACTGAAGCAAGACAGACATATTTCACCGGGCTCTCCTCATCTGCGTCCTGCGTCTTCATGACGTCTAGTATTGGCACCACTGGAATGTCATAGACGAGCGTCCAGTCATGCTGATGGACCCAGACGTACGGTGTTGTCGTGATTCTCAAGGCTGTCCGCACCGCCAGGCCAAAACCGAGCCTCTCCGACGGCTCCACGAAAGACATGCGAAGGTCCTTTGTCCGGCTTACGGTGAACGTCGCCGAATTTGTCGTTACGGTTGCCGCTCTTCCGTTGTAGCCATATTCGGCTTCCCCTTGCTCTCGAGTCAACTCGCCAAGCGTCTCATGTTGGTCGTATTCTCTTAGCACGAGCTTCTTGACGTTATCTTTGTACTCTGCAAACTCCTCCGCGCCCTTCTCCGTCACTTGGCCCTTCTTCAACCTCGGTACATCTCCGATACGTTCATACGTGTCCAGGACCACAATGATACGACAGGATAGTAGGTCGCTGCAGTGAAGGCGGATTGATTTGAAGACTGCATCCAAGAGTTCTGTGGAAGGTGCGGACGGAGTTGGCGATGTGGTTATTATCAGCGTCAGAAGCTCTGAGACCGACGCCGCCGCTGGCGGTGCAGGGGTTGAGGACATGACTTTGCCCACCGAGCGGCTTGTATGAGGAATGGAACTATCCCGTTGAGACCCAATGGGAGACGTTGAGAGGTACGTATCTGGGCGGAGTTCAGACTTTTTTCGGCGAAGTGGGGCACCACACCGGAGCGCCAAAATTGTTGGTCACGGCGGCCGGCAGAAGATTGCGTAGCTTACCGCGCAACGAGGCAGCTTTCATGCATTGAAAACAACAACCCATGTAAAAATCAGTCCCGTGGCATGTGCTTAGTACGAGTTCTCGTTGCGGTAATCACGTTCTTGTAATTACCGTTTGACACTGTTTGGCGACGCCTGAGCGTTCAAGGCCACTTCCGGGCCCGGACTAGCAAGCCCTGACTCGGCCGGGGCGCCGGACCCGCAACCCGCGCAAAAATTTCAAACCCGGCATTCAGTATGCAGAATTTTGAAAAGATTATGACCAGCCTGGGGGTCGAACCCAGAATCTCCTGATAACATTTTCAATCGTAGTCAGACGCCTTGCCATTGGGCCAACCGGCCATGGTTGTTTGAATCCATTGCTGGATGTTGAGGAGGGAGGCCAGATTAGGTAATATCCAGTCTGCATGATCGAGTAACACGATGTGAGTCTTCCATATTACAACCACACAACGACCGCCTTACACCCGATTGCCCTTCGAGCAGCCTCCTAGTGGCCAACACGAAGTTTGATAAATCAAAACAAAGACTCTTTTCATTCTATTACCATAGGGTATCTCAATCAGTCAAACCCAAGAAACTCCAATCCTTATAGCTGGGTATGAAAGGAAAGCTGAAGCAGACCTCGATTCACGTCGTCACCTCCAATGACCCCATCCAAAGACCTCATGCCCAGCCCTCAACCTCAGACCTTCTTCTTCCAAGCACTCAAAAAGAAGAACCCCCCACAAATCTCCGACGTCTGCGCGCCAGTGCAGTGCATATCGCAATTCCACGCCGGCGCAGCCGTCGTCGGCGGCGTCCGCGAACAATAACACTGGTCACCGAACTCGGTGCCAAAGTACTCGTACCCAGAGCACACACCCGCGCAGAGCCGGTTCGTCTGGTCGTCAATTTGCGTGAATTTATCCGGGAACACGCGGTTCGAGGTGTCCTCGTAGCAGCCGATATACTCCCAGTCCACTACTTGTACCCATGTCGTCGTCGCGGCGGGTGCTGCTGTCGTTGAAGTGCCGTTGGTGTCAGGTTTGGTTGTTCTATCAGGGGTGTTAGTATCAACCGTCCAGTCAGAGTGTTGATAGAATGGTTCACGGGGAGGGGGGGATGGTTACTTTGTTGCGGCCACGTTCTTGAGGTCTAGAATTTCTGAGCTCTGCTTTGCGAGCATGCTCCCAAACACACCCGCGACGATGGCCAGCAGCGCAAGAAGGAATCCCAGTATGCACCAGAGTATGAACATCGTCAAGCTCATACCGCATATCCTCCTTTTCGATGCCGCTTGTTCATGGGGATGGCTCGGCATGCCTGGAATTTGATTGTATTGGTGATAATACGGCGCGCCTACGATCTTGTCCGGCTCCGGCACTGGATGAAGACCATTCTCAACATACGAATATACGACTTGTGGCTGGCTGTAATGCGTGTTCATGTCCTGTGCCGTCCTCGCATCGGATCCTGTCGTCGGGTCGACATTGTAACCTCCCGTCTGTTGCCCGTAGGAATGATCCATCTCGTGTGCTTCGTCTCGCCAACTTCCACCTGACCGCCGAGTATGGTTGATATCAAGCAACGCCTTTTGCTCGGGTGACTGCATCCAATCGTTCAATTATCAAAGTTGATGAAAAGGGGAGTATCGCTTTGAGGTGATGTCGACAAGTGGTAACGAAAACCAGAAAGGGAAGCAACTTCAAACCATGAAATAAGTTCTTCTCGAGCAACAAATTCGGACAGCTTGTTTAAGAAGCAAGGTTAAGCGTTGCCAGTGCTAGCGCTAGGCAGCCGAATCACAAAAGAAGGGGGCTCAACCACTGGGTACAGAGTAGGATCCTATCCCTTGCCGGAACCGCGCGCCACTGCCATGATGCTGCCAATCGCGACATCTTGACATTCGCGTAAATCTTTAGAGTCCCCGCGCCTTCAGCACCAAAGGCGCTGCCGGCTTACACACCCCCAGGCCTTGAGAGAAGACTATCCGTAGAAAGCTGAAAGCCACAAGAACCGCCACTCAGGCTCTTGCAGAGACGAAAAGTTTCAGGCAGGGCTGCGGAAAGACTCCGCATATGTTAGCCGCGACTTTTACCTGGCTTAATGGTGATCCTCTCCCCAAATCAGCCTTACGAGGGATCGCAATGAGCTTGGCATTGGGGGCTTGTGACGACGTGCTAATCCCCTTCGAGGTCTGCTCATTTCCTAACTATGCCAATTTCTTAAGAGACTGTCAGCCCGCGAGGGGTTCTGGTGCTTAAACTCGTCTGCCTAGAGTGGATTAAGCATATTCACTAGCGTCTGCCACCTGGACCTCAGTCGCTTTGACGTGCTCGAAACTGCCGGGAAGGAAATGCCATCTTAAAAAGTTCTTTCATCCACATCAGTTGGCTTTCTTTCTCCCCTATTGTTCATGGCCTTACTGTATTTGATCGAGAGCTCTCCGTCCTGAGGTCTCTCTTTGGGGCCAACGTGGGAGCTCATGCAGTGGCAGCAGCAACAACGCCGTCTCGGCTCAGGTGGGAGGAGGTAGCTGAAGGTCAGGACTTACTCATTGTGCATAAAGCGACATGCACACCGAACCCTTTTGAAGCGCCGCAGTAAACGAGAATTGGTATCTGTGCCTCTCATTCTCTAGTACGACTTCGTCCGTCTCTAGATGATAATGCTCCGTAGAATGAAGCATCACTCTCATTATGATCACCACAGCCAGCTCAAGCCATGCAACTACAGACAAGTTGAGAATGTTCGGGGCCCTTACGTCTGACATGCATACACCATCAGCGCTAATCCCGCCACCAATCTACCACTCCCGAAGCTGACCTCGCCGCATCGCCGCCAAGAATAACAAACCGCATCCTTTCGTAGAAAAACATCCAGAGCGGGAGGGAGGGAGGGGGCATGAGATCCAAGCCTCACCACCGAAACAATGGCCTTCTTCCTCCGCCACCTAACAGACCCAACCTCCATCGCAGAAGAAACATCCCTCAGCAAAGTCATCCAACACGTCCGGGAAACCGCTGTATGTCTCGCCGTGCTCGGCCAAGTAGACCACGGCACCGGTCTGCTGACGATCCTCCATGCGCATGGTATCCCGCCGTTTGACCTCCGAGAATTCGGGCCCGAGGTGTTGTCGGAGGACTTTGACCGGTGCCGGACCCTCGGCAAGGGATGCGATGAGAATGGATCATCTAGCACGTATGAGGTCCCCGTGAACCCGCCGCGTGCGGACCCTTTTACGAGGATTGTGTTTGCGTTTGGGTGGGAACATGTCGGGCGGTGGCCGCGGTGGGCTACGCCTGTTCCGAAACCCTTTTCTTCTTCTTCTTCCTCGACCGATGGACAGCAGGCTCGTTCATCTTCAGATGACGGGCGTGATGCGGCGCTCGACGCCCTGGAGCAGTACGCCCGCACCCTCGTCTGCAACCGCTTCGCCCCCACCTGGCGCGAAGACGAGAAAACCTACGAACTCGCCCGCGAGCTGGCGCTGGGGCAGGACAACAGGGCGAACCCGCACGGCCCGATCCCGATGCGTCTGGCCGGGTTCTGGGGTCTCTGGGAGCGCATGCTGGCGCCGTGGCAGATGAACCAGGTCGTCAAGGCTACGGGGCGGGTGTTGGCGCTTGGTCTCTCTGTGAGGTTGTTTCGTGATGCGGTGGATGCTGGGGCAGTGGGTAGTGGTGGTGATAGAAGCAGGGTACAGGATGGTCAGTATCGACTCGAGGAAGAGGACGTCGACGATGAGTTCCTTTCAGATGAGGCCGAAGAGGATGAGGAAAGGATCAATGACAGCTCTGCAAGCAGCGCCCACGCAAGCGAAGAAGAAGAGACCGCCATCGAGCTATGGGGCAGAACAATAGCGACCCTCCACACCGCACAAGACCAGATGCCCATGCTAGGCAGCATGCGCGAACTCTGGCGTTACGGCTGGTTCACGAATCCCTCCAAGAACGCCCTCGTCAAGCACCTAGCCATCAGCCTCGACCACGTCCGCGAAGCCGCAGACGCCGGGTGCGAGATGCTCCGACGGCGACTGGAGCGCGGCCCGGTGCGGCCGTATGAGGGTTACACCATCGCCGAGCTCGCGCGCGCAATCGATGAGAACACGCGGTCCTGTGCGCCGTATGCCCCGGACGAACTGCGCGAGCGGGAGGATATGCTCGTCGAGCGGACGGTTGTCGGGCCAGTGGAGCTTGATAAGGATAAAATCTTTCGTCCTGAGACGTTGTTCCGCTACCCGGTCCCCTCACACCATGCGATTCAAGACCTTGAGAGGAGGCTGGAGCTGAGTTCTCCGCTGCCGGGTCAGTACAAGGCCTTTTTCCGCGTCACGGACGGGATGGGGCCGGTGTGGTGGAATACATCGCAGCACCTCCGCATCCTGGCCCCGCTATCCAAGGTCACTATCCAGGACGACGAGCTTCCGGTCAGCATGCAGCTCGAGCTGTTGCCGTCCCGAGGTCTCGCCGACGGTAGCTGTATCGCATGGCCTCTCCTTCGGCGGGTAATCTGCATCAGCGAGGGCGGGTACGAAGGGGACCTCTGGCTCGTGGAGCCGAAATACGTATCCGAGTCCAAGGACGCCTTCTTCCAGGTCTATGACCATGCATCGGCCCAGGATCGACAGTTGCTCCGTAGGGAAGTGGAAGAAGTCTACGGCAGCATTGACGACTTCCGTAAGTTGGAGTGGGGTCTGTTGATGTGGACGTCGTGGTTCACGCAGATGGTTCCTTACCGCGACCTGAGTGCGTTTATGGATGGGTTGGCGAGGGGAAGCCGGCGGACAGTGGAGGAGTGGACGCTGCAGTTTGATCCGAGCACGAGGAAGCTGGATGCGCGGTTGTATCAGACGGCGAGCGCGTTGGATCCGGACAAGGAAGTGGAGAATGTGAAGGATGGGAAAGGGAATCTTGTGCTTTCTGCGCCGGAAGCGATGGCGATGGGGCCGTTGGTATATCCGGAGAATGCAATGACCACGCCCATGGTCGATCATTGAATCTAGAGGTTCGTGATCAGACATTGCGGGCAATATGTATCGGATGTGGTGCTACAAAATGACATACCAACGAAGAGTGTCCAGACTCACAAAGTAGCACCCACCTTCTCCTCGACCAGAATCTCCGGTCTTGGGCAAACACACACACACACACACACACACACACACACACACACACACACACACATCGCGCGCATATAGATATACCGGTTGCTTCAGCTAAAGATTCGTCACAGCCGGAACAGATGCGGTTGGACGATTCAAGTGGTGTACAGCTTACCGTTAGCGTGATCTCAAGGAAGTGAGCTGGCCGGGGCTGTAAGTTCTCACCTCTGGCTACCACTACTTATTTCTTCCTTCTATACCTCGATGATTCCCAACGGAATATATACCAGTCGTCAGACGCCGCCGCCTGATCTTAACCGTATCTTCAACTGCATCAGAACTGAGCTCTAGAAAGAGGCAATTCAATCGCTTCGCATATACAAAAGTCACCAATCGCCTGCCTCTTCGTCCCGATATTAATCAGGTTGACAGACACTTTCACTGTCGTTGGGACTCTCTGTGTTATATATCCTTTGCTAACCTAGTCCAGCCCTGGCAACAGAGTGAGTCAGCCACAAAATCTTTGTAACTTTCCGAGCATATCAGCGAAGAAGTTGTGGACAAGGCCTAGCCCCAAAAGGCGCGTTCTACCTCTTATGTGGTCATGCCATTCACGTCATGCTACCACGTCTATCGCACCATCATCGATATCTTTGGGCAAGATGAACAGTCCTGGTATCATCTTCATCAATTAAATTGCTAGCCTACGCATTTGCCTCGCTTCATTCACTTCAAATTCGCTTTTCCTCATGACAATCTTTCACAACAACTCCTGCTGGGTATTATTGTATAATTTCGAGTTTTGGAACTCTACCGCGGTGCTCAGACAGCGGTTCCCTTTTTCTCGGATTCGGCAACGACCTCGTGGTCGTCTTCGGCAACCCCGCCGTGGCGTGTGACCTTGAGGTTTCCGGCGGCAATCTCTCGTTCGATGTCGTCAAGGCGAGACTTCTTCTGATGGGTCTTCCAGGCTGGAAGACCAGAGTTGAAGACATCATCCATCTCCTCGAGAGTGAAGCCCTTGGTCTCGGGCGCGAAAAATGCGGTGTGAAGGAAGGCCAGGGCATTGAAGGTTGCAAAGATGTAGTACATCTTGTAGTTGATGTTCCACACTGTCAAATGTCTGTTAGTGCCTACTTGTATGGAACGTGTCGTGTGGCTCAACTTACACAAAGGTGGGACAGCAAAAGCAAGAATCATGTTCCAGAACCAGTTGGTCGAAGTCGATAGAGAGACGGCTTTGGCGCGAATCTTACTCGGGAAGATCTCGGCAGGGTAAGTCCATGACACAGGACCCCATGTAGTGGCAAAGGTTGCGACAAAGAGATACGAGCAGGAGACGATAGCAGAGGAGACCGGCCTCTGGTTGAGGACGAGCCAAGTAACAGATTCATTGTCGGCGTTTCGTGTCTCATCGGTGTTGGGCTGTCCATAGTACTGTTGAAGTGCGCCCGAAATGAACAGCCAGGTCATCATCATGAAAGAGCCGCCGACGAGCAAGGGACGACGGCCTAGCTTGTCGATAAAGATGATGGCAGGAAGAGTCATGACGACGTTGATGATATATTGAATAGATGCAGTAAGCAGCGGGTTGCCTATGCCGGCACCCTGCATGATGTAAACAATGTAGTCTGGATCAAATCAGCGACTCGTCGTTTACACTCGCAATAGGAAGGCCGTTACTTACACATCATGATGTTCATTCCGCACAACTGGGACCACATCTGGATACTCATTCCGAGCAATACACGCTTATACATACGGGGAGCGACGAGACCCTTGAAGCTAGAAATGTTCTCTTCTCGCTCGAATCGGAGGGCCTCCTCGATTTCTTGGTACTGTGCCAGGACTTTGGGGTGGTTGACGTCGCCGCTGCCGTGAAGATGAGCGAGGACCTTGATGGCTTCATCCCAGCGGTCCTTGCTAGCAAGCCAACGAGGACTGTAAGGAAAGAAGAATAATCCAACAAATAGAACAGCGGCAGGGACGATCTGGACGCCCCAAGGAATGCGGAAAGCGGCTGTCGGCTGGTCGGGATCAGTGGAGCCTTTTCCGATGCCCTCGGCGGCGCCGTATTGGATGAAGTATTGAATCAAGATACCCCAAGTAATTGCCCACTGCTGGAGCGAAACGACGCGACCACGAATCTCTTTGGGGGCGATTTCGGACTGGTAGACGGGCACAATGGAGGAGGCGATACCGACACACATGCCCGCAATGACACGGCCGACACAAAGCATGCCGACGTTGACGGAAGCGCATTGAAGAATGGCACCGATGGTCCACAGAATGCAGGAGAATTGCAGTGCGACCTTGCGAGAGTACTTGTCGGCAATGAAGGAGGAGACGAGAGATCCGACGAGAGAGCCGGCAGGCATGGAAGCCGTAATACCACCCTGGCGGTATGATGTGGGATTTCCAAAGTATCTCTTGTAGGCTCCGGTTCCCAAGACACCACTCATGGAACTGATATCAAAGCCGAAGAGGCCACCGCCTGCGCTTTAGTCAGTATGATCCTCAAGGTGTAAGGCCAGCCGAGAATTGAAGGTAGCATCACGAACCAATAGCGGCGAAACCGCAAATGAAGTAGATGTTTTGCGCCTGATACATAATGGCGGTATTCGCACAAAGGCGACTATCTCTAGAGTTGTGTTCAGTTACAATCAGGTGAATCGCCCGTCTAGGTGGGACAAGGTGAAGTTGGAGTGTCGTATGTATGCGTCAGCGGAGTAGGTCCCTCAAGGCTCGTGAATAGACTTGCAGGTGGGCGCGACCGAAACTTAAAGTAAACGCTGAGGCACGGCGGTGGTTTGCCTGAGGTACCTTTGGAAGCGGTTCGGGGGCGGCCGCGGTTGCCTCGTGAGTATGGTACCCGAGTCGCAGGATGCGTAACGACACGGCCCACCGTCGTACCGAGTTGCTGCGTTGAATGACATTGGGCTGCGGGTTGAGTTGATCGAAGGGGGACCCTGTCTGGGGAGAACAGGACGGACCGAATGCAAACGTTGGCACATGGGGTTGACAAGGTTGATGTGGAGGACTGCGCATCCCGTGGTATACGATGGGGTCATGGGTAGAAGCAGGTGCGGAGGAGTAACGAAGGGTACAGACGATCAGTTCCTCGAAGGGCGGTAGGGCCGTTGTGTGACAGGTGGAGCGAGTGGGCGAGCATGGTGAAGGCACAGATGTCTGGGCCGTTGCCAGGTCGTCGGTTGAGATAGCGAGGTCGAGGAGTGACTAGGTAGGAATCGAATGCCTGCATAGAGCACCTCAGTCGGGAGAGCTCGAGAAGAGGTGACCCAATGAGGCACAATGAAGTAGGTATGGGGAATCAGGAGCTTTCAGCGTACCATTGATCATCTGGAGTGCGTGAGCAGATGTGTGGTGTGTGGGAGACGAAATGCGGAGAAGAGGAGAGTCCACTCGGGATGGGAGGGATGGGCAGCCGTGAGTGGCTGGCGAGATTGGATGATTGGCGATGTTACCAGGCGAGCGGCGTGGGAGACTCAGACGAGAAAGCTGGGCGAGATCCCGAATGCCACACGGGCGGTAGAGGTGTCATTGCGTTGCACATCTCATGCTGTGTTCGTGTCGGTGGTGTCACTGGGCGTGTTCAACTTCCAAGTACCAACTCAGGTAGGTATGTTGCTGCAGAAATGTGCAGACCGGGAACCTGCTGTGCGGTCGAGCTGTTCATCCGTCTGTCTGCTGGTCTGCCCTGCCTAGCTACTTGTCTCTATCGCCTGAGCTCTCTTTACTCAGACGACTACCGTAACTGAGAACCTTGGTGATGTGAATTGTGGACACGGATGGACATGTCACATCTGGGCTGTCGTCGGCTTTTCCTCTCGCTGATGCCATATTGCCAGGTTGTTAGTCATGGATTCATACCAACTGCACAAGAATGAACCCACGAAAGCAGGCCAAAGTTGGTCAAACCTAGTTACCTTACCGAAGGTACGTAAGGCAGGAGATATCCGTAACGTACCTGGGCTGGAAACCTCAGGCGTCAGGTCGTCAACTTCAATAGGTACGTTCCGTAAGGTACAAGTCCAGACTTCAGTGCCTGCCCGACGGAATGAGGAACACACGGTCCACCTGCCCTTCCCCTCTCTCTCGTACCTTACTGCGTAGGCCGTGTATCTCTTTCTTCCGGACCCCTGCCCGCTGTCTGCCCCGGGCGGGTCAAGAACGGTGGACCACCTCCCGTTGTTCCTCTCCCCCCAGTCGACGGACCAATCTGCGCGGCCCATTTCCCCCGCACCCGACTTGGATGACGGATCGTGATGGAAATAAAGATCAAACACGCAACTCTAATGCTGGCCAGTCATATTGCGGCAAGGGCGAAACGGCTGGAAGCTCGATGCCTTAGCAAAGGAAAGTAAGTACGGAGTGCCTACAGTACACTGGAAACCTATTATCCATGCTGGATGCCGAACATGTAGGAGAAGACTGGATAAAAATTGGCCGTCATCCCTGGTAGCTTAGGTAGGAGGATTTGCGGCTTGCCCAGACGAATTGATTGAGATGTCATCACTTAGCGCCAGGATGATTGATGTCTTGGTGCCCTTTCGGCTGCTGCTCCGACAAAGACAGGCTTGGGGCAAGCTTGGCGATGGAGATTCGCCTCGGCCATCTGCTGAAAGTTGCGTACCCGCACGTATGCATCTGGCAAGTACCTAGACGCCGGGCGGTAGAAGAAGAGTACGAAGTCGTGCCACAAAATCTGACGTGTAGGCTTCTCCGACTACGCTGCTGGACCTTCCCTTAGAGACACCTGAAGAAGAGTTACCTTGGGAAGCGATGTATCTTGCCAAGTGAACCTGTGGAGAACAGGCGGAGAACCAGCGGAAAACTTTTAAAAGTCCACATGGGAAGCTTTCTGGAGATCTAGC